CAGGGAAAGGGCTGAAACTCAAAAACTTAGGGACTTTAGCGCTTCAAACGCACAAAATTCAATCCCAAAACGACAACAAAACGCGGAGAATTTTCGAAATTTGAAAAATGCAGATCCAAGGAGCTGAATCTCAGCGAAAGGGCTGAAAGTCGAAAAGCTTTGGGATCTTAGCCCTTGACTTCCAACGCACGAGATCCAATCCTAAAACGATGGCAAAACGTGGAAAATTTTCGAAATTTGAAAACGCGCATCGCTTACATCTTTGCCTTGCTTAGTTTCTTATTTAGGGGAGGAGGGGGATCCTAGTGGGAGGGATGTTATCGGACGCTCCAAGCTAGTAAGTATATATAAGTACTACGGGCGTCGCGCTGCGCGCGCCGCTGGGGGCTATTTTTGGAGGGAGAGGAGTAGGAAAGGGCAGCCGAGGAAAGAACGAGCGAAGGGAAGGGAGGACGAGAGCGGAGAACGAAGCAAGGGAAGAGGCGCAGGAAGTGCCGTAAGGACCGGCGGTGGCGAGAGGCAAGAGGGAGCGGAGAGCAGAGAGGCGCCGGCCGGAGTAGAGCCCAACCCCAAGGCGAAAACGACGGGGCGCAGCCAACCAGCTGGGCCCTTACACAGCGCCACGAAACAGACCCGGGCGGCCCGTTTGGTGGCGGTAAGGGCCCAGCGAGGGGCCAAGCGAGGGGAACCAGGCGCCGCCCCTGGCTGCCGCTAGTGCTGCCATTTTGCGCAAGGGGTGGCGCTGGCGCAGCCACAGGACAAAACACCCGAAACAGTCACCACGTACGGGAGCAGCGCAAGAGGCCCCACAAGTGAGACACGCAGGAGGCAGCTGCGGAACACGCCGGGAGCTTTTTGCGCTGAACCTTGCCCACGTACATGCGAGCCCCTCAGGAGTACCGTGCGGAACAGCTGCAAAACAGCTACGGAACAGCTAGGAGGCCAGCAGGAGCCGCGCATGAGGCATCCCCTTAACGCGCCCCTGCTTCCTCCGCCAACATAAGTACAAATTAAGGCAAAGAACGAGAAAAATCTACTAAATTGACACGTTTGGAAGTACTCGCTGAGAAGTAAGTACTAACGAGTAAGTATTAACGGCTTCCGCACGACAATTCCAGTAGAACAAGTTGATCACGATTACGCACGAGAACAGGACAGTTGCGAGAGTCTCAATGAATTTCAATTCTTCTCAACATGGTCATAACATTCAGTGTCTGGTTGGGACAGTACTCCAGTATGATGTAGACGTGCTCTTCGTCTTCGTAGTAATCGTAGAATCGCACTACCTTCTCGTGCCGCAAACTTCGGTGAATTGATATCTCGGACCTCAATTTCGCCTGCGCACGAGGCTTCGCGATAGAGGCTTTTGACACGATCTTCACTGCAAACAACTAGGGTGGGAGAGAGGATGTTGTTGTTGGTAGAAGAGGAAAAGGTAATCAGGAAGTCATTTTGAACCACGAAAGCGAGAAGCCTTACTTACGCTTGGCATCATCATACTTACATAGCAAGAGGCTGGCACCCACGCGCTGTATAAATATAACACTACCAAAATAATCATAATACGATGGTGGACTACGCGTTCTTGCTGCCATGATAATGCACATCATAGTACCTCCCCAGTGTCGGTGTTTGTTACTTCGTAACATCTTGCAAATCCACCTTTGCCGATGAATTTGCCCTTTGTGTAGTATCTGGGGAGTTGCTTCATGATTCCTACTGCGAAGGATATTGTGTCGATGCCGTCTCCCGCGAGCGCGAGACTTCTCACAACTGTAAGTTATTGAGCAGCCTCCTGGAGGACCTTGATCTGAACCTTGATGAAATTACACAGGTAGCGTTTCTCTGTCTGCAGCTAGCAGTTGCCTGCCTTCTTCTCTTTGCAGCTGCTTGTACAACACCTACTGCCTCCAACTCGATCTCGATGGAGGTATGAAGAAGATGGAAAATAATCAGGTATGAAGAAGAACTTCGCGGAGCGTACGTACTAGGAGTAGTTGGTGTTGAATCGTCGTCGAATAGTAAAAGGATGTGAGAACACAGCGTTTTCTTGGCGAAGCCAGCAAATCGGATACAGCATTCGGAGCCGGTAAGCGAGAGGAAAACAGGACTCGGCAACGGTCTCGAGATGAAGACTTGACTTCTCACAGTGACTGAGGCAAAGCGTGCCTAAGAACTTGTCGTTCGCTCAAGTATCGTTTCTCCGCCTGCACGGCTTCTCTTGTACTTCTGAGTTCTTCTAATATATGTTGATTTTTGCAGAAGGATTTTATCTCTGAAGAATTCGCAACATCGCAGCGTGTCTCATCCCCTGCTGTTCTTGTTACCCTTTCAACGTAGGCAAGCCCCATTTTCCATGCAGGGCTAGCGCTGTGGAAGTATTTTCAAGGAGCTAAAAATGACTCATAGTACCAATTCCACTGACAAATGATAGATACAACGCTGCAGCTCTTCAATCACCTTCTTCTTCTACATCATTCCACTGCCTTCAGTCCTATCGTCTTCTTCAGTAGAGAGGTCATCATCCAAATTCTTGTGGAGTCTCATTCTGACTATGAAAGCCGTGCCTACAGAATTCACGATAACAAGGTGAAAAATAAGACGCTAGAGTTTTACAGCTCCTTACCCTATGCACAACATACTTTAGCTTTCTCAAATGGGTTATACTACCTAGTGCTATCTTCTTCGTCGGTCCTACGTGTCATGGCACTGGCCACTCACTTGGGTAGTCAACCATTCTAGCTAGTAGTTTCACTAAGCCGGTTTGCCTTCGGTGGTTACGAAACCATATCGCCAGACACATGCAGATTCAACACCTCCCATCTGAACACGAAAGAAACAACCTCCCGCGCACAACTAATATGTGACGGAGGAAGCTCTTCCTGCGATCTGCGGTGTATTTCCTGTGACACAAGGAAAAAGATCAATACACCTCGTGACAGAATAGGCTTGCCGTAAAAGCCTGCCACTTACCCCAGAATGCTAGACCGTCTCCTGTGTATCTACTAATCGATCACAAGAAAGCCGACCAAAAATTGTAATTAGTATATGCACGAGAGTGAAAATGGAAAAATGGAGCAAAACGAAGACGTCTCCCCGCAGAAAGACGTGATCTTGCCCCCACGTAGGTCTCTCGATTCACAAAGTCACGTGCGTGCCCATAAGGCTGTCTAGCTCTCTCGATCGTTGTGAATACTTATAGAGAGTCTTATATATTTAACCAAACTCGCGTGTCCTAAACAAAAGCGCCAGGAGGTGCACCTCCTCGAAATGACTTCACATAAATGCAGTAAAAATCCCTGGTCTACTTTGTTCTAAAAAGTGTAAGCACTTGAAAAATATTTTCGGAATTTCTTTGCACCGTTTGCTATTTCTCTCGATTTGAAGCAGCTTTGCGACCAACGACTTGCTTTTACAGTCTTCCACTTCAAACTAGTACGTAAAGTCGAAGAATGTCGGCGACTTTTAAGAACACAACATGCTGGCAATTATACTTTCTGCAAAGACTAAGTTCTGATATCGCCATGACCAGTTGAGCAAGGCCAAGATAATTTCAAAAAGCCTCAAAGCTTTTTCTATTACTGTTCCCTTTTTCGCTTCTTCCAGTTGCAAGTGGATAGCGAGCTACAGCTAACTACATCAAGTGCTACGCAGATTGAGAGGCAAGATCCGTTACATGTACTTATGCGTGATATCAATCTGTTACAAACCTCTTAGATGACGATTTCGATTGGCGCCATTGCCTCTTGCACATCTGCTGCACTGGCCCCAAGCTGCCGCAACTGAAAAACGAGTTCGGTTCTGAGCTGTTCGCGCACATTTCTCCCTGCAGCGCAATCGCCAATGCCACCTTTAGTAAAGTTCTCAGTTTCATGGGCAAGTCGCAAGACCTGCCGCTGAAAGGCCTCTCGGACGCGTTCCCCGCTCCATCGCACTGTCCGCTCTTCACCCTGCAAGAGAGCCTTCTCAACATCGCCACCACGCAGGAGGAGGACTGGACTGGCACTGGCGTTATCACCTTCTTGAAGACAACTTCGTGAAGTAGAAGACGGAGCACCAAAGTGAGATGCGAGTGTTCGATGCCAGAACCGGAGCCGCAAACGCGCAGGGAGAAAAAGCGCAAGGCCACCCGTTTCCCGATCGACGTATTGGCCTTCGGGGACAATCATAATCCCTAGCTTCAGAAAGAAGTGGATGTACTCCAGCTCGTGGACGTCGCGATGCTGGAAACGAAAACCAGCTGACCGTTCACGATCTAACAATGCTTCCCCTTCATCTTTGGACGTGGAGGGCTTTGTCCTCTTCTCTGTTGTAGGAATAGTGTTTGTCATCGGTCGGTCATCACCGGTTGGTATCATTTTCAAAACGTCTGCCACAGGTAAGGCAGAAAGTATGCGACCGAAATCATAGCTCGTACGTGCAACACGGGGTCGTTCTAGCTTACTTTTGCGCGCCTCTGCTAGGCTGATGAGGGCTTCACTGCGACGCTGGACCGGTATGGCAATCGTACTGGTGGCAAAAAATGGGGGCGTACTAATCATATGTTTGCTATTTTGCTTTTCAGCATGCCTCATGTCGACCTTCGGAAGCACGTCAACTTCCGAGGTGCCAATCTGCACTCGATTTGCTAGATTTTCAGTGGGCACAGGGCGTGGTGCGCATGCTGCGCCTTCTTGTTGCGTCAAGCTTTCGCTTTCGACGTTGCTGACGGCGTCAGCATCATTGGCGGGTAAAAATGCAGAAGAAATCTCTGAGCAGCCGCTACCAGCTTGACCAATACTGGAACCAACACAATCGTCTCCAGCAAGATACTTTTGTAGGTCATTTCCTTCCAAAATCCCGGTCACCCTACGACCGATATCACTGCCACCTCGTCCAGGTAGCGCGTTTTTATCTTTGTCGTAGTGCTCCCTCCCGCTGTCTATAGCACAATCTTCTAACCTGGTATAAGCATCAGCCTGCTTCCACTGTCCCACTTCCTTCGTTCCACCGTCAGGTCCAACATTCCCTTTTTGCAAATCTAACATACTCCAAGCTTCAAGCCGCAAGTCATTTCCGGGTAGATCATATACTCCTTCAACTAGGTTTTTCACATTGTCAGAAGCATCTTGGAGAATGTTTTCCCCGCCAGCGTTAACTGCTATGCGCACAAGCTGTTGTGCTGCAGAGCGAAATCGAGTGGATTTTTCGTTAGCAGCAGTTGCTCCGGGAGAAGTGGTCGCGATTTCTAAACCACGAGCGTGATGATCCATACACATACTCAGATCAGTTGGCAAAGGATAGTCGTCCTTCGCATCCTTGGGATCTTCTAACAGATCCAAAGCGCTTATAGCTCGAAGTAAAGTTGCTGCCTGGCCAGGTCGCAATGAGGCTTGCTGTGGACGATACTGGTGTCTTACAACTGTTTTTGAGGGAATCGCCAATTTTGAACTTGATGAAGGCAGGTGCCCCTTCGTCTCGTCCCTATGAGAATCAACAAGCGCAACACGATGTTCGTTACGTTGACCATGAGCATGACCATGACCAGCTAGGCGGGATAAGTAATCTTGCTCCGTTCTTTCTTCGATGCTCGCTTGTCTTTCTAGTACGAGCAAAATTTTTTCTCCTAGAATTTTTTCCACCAAAGCCCGACTCTGCACGCCCATATAGGCAAGACAATCCAGGAAGCGGACTGCCTGTGGCACAGAGAGCTGCGATAGACGAGCAGGTTCTCGCAGATACACTAGGGACATCGGGAAGCTGTTCAGTGCACGACATTCGCGTGCGTCGCAGGCAAAATCGACCATTTGCGCAGTTGAGAACGAACTGATCAGTGCGAGATTATGCACGACCAACCGCTCAAAAAAAGTGTTGCGAGAGGAGAGATGCTGTCGCGGGTGACCGAGAATCCGCAGTAAGCGGTGCAGATCTGGCGCGGAGATCATAAGGTGCCTTGGTGCAGCTTCCATTTTCGTCCTATCGTTCCCTGATGAAGCGCCTTCGATGTGAGAACCTTCGTGAGCGGCTTCTAAAAACTTTACAAGTTGGTAAAAGCCAGCTTGCAAGGTCTTCTTGGTGCCCTTTGAGGCGCACCAGCCTGCCTCGTGCAAACACGTGATGCAACTAGCCAGCTGCTTTGGGGATGAAAAACTTGGCAGTAACTGCTCAAAACTCTTTCGAAAACTTCGAGCGACACTGCTAGATTCCCCAACAGTGTCAGAAAGCCCATTCTTACCTCCCATGCTGCGTCCCGGTGTGTCTAGACGAAATGCCCTCGAAAAGCCGAGTAGCAATGCAGAAAACTGATCCGCTGATAGCGATCGCATGCGCCGTGTCGTCGGACTTTTCTTAGGCTTGATAGCGAGTTCTTTCCCATTTTCATCCACGAGGTTTGCTTTTCCTGTCTTAGTTGAAGACGGTAACTGCAACACAGGCATAGACTCCATCGCAGTGCACTTTTGAAGTAAAACCTGCTGCGCCGGCTTCGACAATTTGGGCAGGTTTAGATCTGTCCACGCCAAGAGTGGAAAAGCCAACTCCTTCAGGCTCAATGGTTCAAAAACGCCATCCACTAGACAAGCGCCTCCTAACCGTCGAATGCACAGCTTGGTCGTGTCTTCGTAAAACGGATGCAACTGCGGTAACTCGCGAAAGGTGGTGGTGGAACGGGAATTTCTATAATCAACAGAAGTCTCGCACTTAATATTTCCGTCATCTGCAGAGAGAGCGAAGTAGTCGTATTTGCGCTTGTAAAGCGCGAAAGATAGCAGTAAATCGTGTCTTTGGCGAGCAGTCGTCAAGATCATGCGATACAGAAATTGGACGACAAATTGATGAAAGGTTTCCCGAAATACTGGGGTTGAGAGTGTTCGAGGTTCAAAATTCTTCACATGATGGAAGAAAACTGCGACCAAATTTTCGAGCGGCAAGGTCGGCAATGCATTCGTAAGTTCACGGCAATACTCTGTCATGTCCAGCCCCGCAGTTGGTGGACGGTCCGAAGAGGTGAGCGGGCGCTTCACCATAGCATTTAAATTGGAAGACCTTTGCCCTGCGGCTGCTCTCTCTGGCGAACGCACAAGGTCCGCCAAGGACTCTTCATCTGCGTCCCCCGACTCGTGCGCCGGTTTTGAAAGTGAAAGTGTGGATGTAGTTTCCCCTGTCGAGTCTCCGAATCCACAAGCAGCACAAGTGTTTATTCCATCGCTAACCCAAAATCGCAAAAAAGAAGATCTTTCCTGAAGACCACCACACCCAGCACGCGCACTTGTCAAAAATCTCCAAAAAGCCACCAGCTCGGTGCCCGCACTTTCCGGGGTCGGTTTTCTGTGTTTTTCACGCGTGCGCTGTGAGGTGTGTGAATCTCCAACGCCTTCTTGCGATTCTTGTCTATCTCGATCCACGCTTACTTTCCCGTTCATGAGCTCGAGAAGTGCAATAACATCGTCACGCCAAATACGAATCCAATCCCCTTTCACTGCGTCAGAAAGATGCGGATACCTTACAATTGCAGGTGTCAAAATCTGTTTGCGGAAAGGACTAATAAGCGTTGTGATTCTAGAGGGCTGGCTCAATTCGGAGACGAGACCTCGCACCACTTGGCGGCCTTGTGCGTCCGCTGCTTGGAGGCAAAAGACGACCATCAACGTTTGCGCAAGCGGCACTGGTGACGAAAAAGACGTTCGCTGCGCAAAGGCATTCTGAATCACGTCCAAGACACGAGGATCTGCCAACAAGCGTTCTCGCAAGTCGCTTTTTATCACGCTGGCTAAACGACGGTCTGATTCTGAGACAGCGTGCTCCTGTTCACCGGTTGCGACTTTGAGCTTTATTGTGATTGAGTTTGAGTTGCTGGCCTGCTTCCCTGATTCTCCATCTTTTTGAGCAAGAGGTGTGCTTGACGTCGTGGTACCTAGAAACTCTCTCACCAATAACTGATACAGTAAGTTCACACGTGCTTGCAAGGGGAGAGATGGGGTGAGTGCTGGCTCTAATTTGGACATAAATGTCCGAGCAGCCTTTTTTCTAGCAGCTTCCCGCTCACGGTGCCAGCCAACGAAGAGGTCAGCGGCCTCTCTCTCACGCGCCATTGCAATCACCTCTTCTACACTGCGTTGCTTGTCTGTGGGCTGCTGCGGTCGTAGTGGGTCTGGCGGCCTCTGCTTAGCATCGCTGCTGACGTCGGAGGAATTTCCTCTAGTGCTGGATTTTCGTACATTTGAAGTTGTGGCCGCGTGGAGCTCGGCTATGAAAGGAAATTCAGGATCACGCAGTTTTCCATCTTTAGCCGTCTCTCGTAGCACGACTCTGTCACTCAGCGACACGACAGAGTCGCTGCTGCTGCTGCCACCAATCTGCAAGGAACCGGATGTACTGGAAGAAGGACAACCTGCTTCAATCTGAGGCCGAGGCTCTCCGAGGATGAATCTCTCATTCACCATCGCATCTTCCTCCTCAGCATTAATATATTCTCTTTTTGGAGAAGTCACGGCAGCAGTGGTCGAGTGGAAGCTTTGTAGGGCAAGGCGCATGTTTCGACGTAGCTGGAGTTTTTCCTCTTGCGTAAGCGGTCGAGGCAGGTCGAACTGCAGTGGTTCGTCACCATTACGTCGTTGCGCATCTCGCGTACTGCGCCTCCACGGCAATTTGCCTTCCGCCTCATGCTGCGAAAATTCTTGATACCGTCCACGATGCCGATATCGATTGGTTCTGCCAGCAGCCACTTGGCGGCTGCGAGATACGCGTGATGTGGAAATGAACATATTTGCGTTTTTGTTCAGTCAAATTTCTCGCTTCTCTCTCCCTCTTTAGGTTTGTAATCAAGACGCTGAAGCTTATTTCCGCGGACAATTTTCATTTGTTTAGTCTTCCATGCATGAACAGTGACGAAGATTCGAAACTCAAACTGTTTTTCTGCCAGTACTAACCGTAAAAACCAGTACTTCGAACACCTGAAAAAGAATTCAAGACGCCATGTCGAAATCGCGTGACATGGTCACATAAGAGACGTTGGCTTAGTGGAGATACCTCTTAATCCGCAAACGGTCTGCGTCTGATGCACTATTACTCATTCAATGGAGGTGACGGATATGAAATTCAAATAGAGTATGATGCCACAAGAAGGAGAATCATCAAGCACCAGCCACACAATAAGATGTGGGTGTTTCCTCGTCCCCGAAGAGTGCCAACACGTCTTGTATCCGTGTTGCAACTATCTCTTATCGCGCTGACGAACCTTGCGTTGATTTCGCGTTCGCACACCCAGGCCTTTGCGCAGTTTTCTCTTCGGTGCTTCCAGTCTCGGGTTGATCTTCGGTTCCCTCAATGGCAAGACAACTGAAACGTACAAAGAGAGGGGAGTACAGGATGCAATCCATCTTATTCAAGAGACTGCTTGTCGTAAGAAATTAATCGTAAAGCAGGAAAGACACATGAGGCCTACTCAAAAAATACATTGAAAAAAAGAACACGTACACGAACAAGCCATTCAAAATTTTCAACTTCGTAGTACCTGGCTCGTCTGCATCTGCTTCTTGGAGCTGTCTCACAAGGCTCAACAGCGCCTCCCGCTTGTATGGCTTTACTTCATCGTCTGTCGCAATGTCAAAGAGCTCATTTGCTATTGGCTCCCTCATGTTCTTCGGCAACTTTGCGCCTAAGATTTCGTTGACGATCGCCTTCGCGAAGGTGTCCGAAAAAGCAGGATCAGCAAGAACTTGGAGGAAGGGTTCTAGAAAATGCAGAGTCGTGTCGTCTGTCGCTGGAGTCAACACTTTCTTTTCCTCTGCAGCGTTTATTCTTTCATCGCCGTCTTGGTCTTTGGCTTTGGTTTTCGTCTCCACCTCCGAATTCGCTGCCTTGGTCTTTTTCTTTTTGGCCTTGTTCTTCTTATTGGCACCATCGGCTTCTGCACTGTTGTCTTCACCAGCGACGCCATTTGCTGCTGCAGCCGACTTACGTGCTGCCTCAGCCGTTGCCGCAAACTCGTCCCAGAAACAGGCAGCGAAGTGCTGCGCAAACCCGGGATTGAAGGCGCTTTCCAACGACAATGGCGCAATTGACAGGTAGACGTCATTCAGACTCTCGATAACCTCCGACTCCCAGTCCTGTTTCTGCACAAACGAGAACATCTCTGCCATTTGAATGCGAACCTGCGTTGAGTGAAATAAGTTGTACAGAAGATAAACTTTCTAGCCTAGGAAAGTTCACGCGAGATGACGAAAGGCGTATCTTAATTGGGTAACCAACATATATCAGCATGGTAAGGTCCACAGACAGGTGGTCCACAGAAGGTCTATAATTTAAGTGAGTGCTTGATGATACCATGAGGAGAAATTTGTTCATTCGCCATGTGTCGAGCTTGGGCCATTCAGTTTGCATCACTTCTAGGAATGCGCCCATCCATAGGGAAACTTTCTCCTTGTCGATACACTGCGTGAGCTGTGCGATGTGGACCGAAAGAGCTTGCTGCACTGGCTTTTTGTCGGACATCCATAGACAGTAGAAGAGCGCACGCCACAGCTTCACGAAATCCAGTTCTGTCAGCTTATCAGCCCGCTTTTTCAGCCACTTTTGCAAGCTTTTGAAACCCTTATCGCGGATACTTTTTTCCGTGTGGGAGAGCTTTGTAGCGAAGGCAGTGGACATCTCATGTTGATTGGAGTTATCGTCGTCCTTTGCGCAACCCTTTGTTCCCGTTGGTGGAAAGACTTCGTCGTCATCGTCGCTTTCATCTCCACCTGTAGTCTTTTTCAAATCAGCATCTTGCAGGTCGTCGCTATCATCGTTTTCCGCATCACTCTCACCTGCAAAGACGTCAGCTGCGGAGCGTCGGGTGGAAAGGACATCGGGAAGCCTTTTATCCATCAACTTGTGAATCTTTTCTTTCTTTGCTCGGTTCACTTTGGCCTCCTTCCTATTACCTCCTTTGCGCCCTGGCTTGGCCTTCTTCTCGCCTGACCGTTTGGCCATGGCCTTCTTCTGAGCACGCTTGCTCTGCTTCTTCTTTGCGGTTGTACGACCCATTTTTGCAGAGTACTTGAAGATGCGAGGAAAAAATCAAATGTCAATGAATAGTCACTTGTCGATGTCATGAAATAGAAAAAATGGTAGGTTTCACATAGAAGAAACCACTAACATTAAGTAAAATTATGCATATTGATGGTAGAGTCCTTCCATCACAAGCATTGGTGCGACGCCACCGCAGAGTGCATCCTGTGTTTCACGTTTTGGAGAACGAATAAAAGAGCATAGAGCATAGAAGATCTCAGGAGTTTCTTTGACTTCGAAGGTCTGAACGATCCAGCACAGAATGTGAGCTTTCCATGATCGACAGACAGGATCTTAGCGATCCTTCCATACATCGGTCGCACGAGAAACCTCTGCTGACCGTTCTGTCCGGATCCCATGATCGTCTCATCTACTTGGATCGTTTCTCAGTCGTAAGTCTTGATCTTTTCTGTTCGTTGCATCTGGGATCTACTTCGTGAGACTTCTTAGACATTTATGAAAGGTTGAACATGACTGAACAATGATCGTAGAAACCTAAAGGTCGACCGCCAGGAACACGATGTCGATGCGGTTTTTCAGTCCTGGGCTCCAGCGAGAGCCTTTGGAAAGTGGACTACTTCTTGTGATCATTAGATTTCCGAATAGTAGGCGGTTGTTCATTTCTTTTACGACCACGAGTGCATAAATTTCTTTCCCTTTTGGAAAAGATCATTTCCCATAATGGTATTCACTATTGCGTTTTTCGCGCCAAAAGCTGGGTTGGCCAGCTACTGTTGAAACCTTTTTAGCGGAACTAGAATGATTTGCATTGGAATTACTAGCAGGACTAGTGTCATTCCTTTTGGTATGATTTTTATGAGTTTGCGTAGCTTTTGCGTATGCCCTTGCCTCATCATCATTGGTTTCATCACTAGATTTTTTTTTCCGTGCTTCTGCGGCTAAGCAATCGTCGTCTGCATCCAAGCCCATCGCTTGAATCGCCTTCTTTGCCAGTCTATCAAGATGCTGTCGCGTGTCGTCTGTAATGTACGCCCTAGCCTCTGCACGGTTGACACGCTTCGGGTATCGCCACAGATCGCCCCACATACACTGTCTAGAAAAACGAAAACCAAAAAGATGCGCCTTCGCTTTTGACGTAGAAATACGCTCGAAGCGCGACGACTCCACGACTTCCTTATTTCCACTGGAAGAAGAGGAAGTTGTAGAACCGAAAGCACTGGTGGAGGAAGTAGTTGCTGATGTATCTTTAGCAGTACTACCAGATCGTCCAGAAACACTACCACAACCTGCACTCTTTGAATGATCATCAGTTCCAGTTCCGCTGCTCGACGATGAAATTGAAGTGCAGCCTTTCGTGCATCGACTACACACATCCATCAACACGTGACCGCCACGCTTGATGGATGGGAAAACGACACGCGGCCAAAAGTAGCTCTTCTCCTCCGCTGTCGGACACTGCTTTTCACTTGCGTAGCGCACACGGGGTCCCGGTCCACGACGGATCGCAAGGAAGGAAAATTTTTCGTTTTCCATATTTTTCGCGCGACTGCCTTTGCAATAGACTTTCGGGGATAAACGGCCGACTCGTTGGGAGAAATGGCACCAATCTCGGCCGGTCACCGCTAAAGGACACATGCTCTCATGGGGACAAGGAGCCACAAAATGAAAATGCTGCGTACCCATCTCTTCAATGAACATCTCCCTTGTGTGGTGCATGAACCGAAATCCAGTAGGCGTGCCTCGTTCTACCAGCATCAACACACCACCAGGAGCGAGCCGATTCCACAAATTGCGAATCAGCATATCGCGCGAAGGCTGGCCCTTGATGTCCATCTGCACATACGACAGTGTGATCAGGTCGAAGCGACGCTCTGGTGCAACTCCAGTCGTCCGTTCATCATACAAACACGACTGCCACTGCAATTTCGGAGGTACGCGCAGCGGTCGCCTTTTGCTCGTACCACTATAAGGGTTGCTGTAAGAACTTCTGCTTGGCTGAGCTAAAGGATCGGCATCACTCGACTCATCTCCTCTTGTCCCAATACTTCCCTCGTGGTCTCCTGCGAGTCCTGCCCCAGAGGCCACTCGAAAGCCGTCCTCATCGTCTAGTGTTCTAGCTACTTCTGCCTCCTCCTCCTCTGGAGAGAGTTCTTGCTCATCCACTCCAGTCTCAAGGAAATCTTGCTCCTCCTCATCCTGCAACTTTCTAGCGTCGAAGTAGTGTTGGAACTGAGGGCCGCTTGTGTAGTCCTTGAGAATATGTTGGCCGAGCTGCACCATATGCGCTGATGGTTCGACCAGTACCACCTCCTCCACCGTATCGAAAATGCGCAACGCAGCTGCGACACTTGGCGCAGGCCCGGAACCGTAGTCGAGGACTCGTTTGGGATTAAATCCCAAACACCGCAATCTAACTTCATGAAGGATCCGCATGTTTGATGCGTAGGCGCCCTGGTAACGCTCCCCCAGGTAGGCTAATGCAGCCTCTGGCGACCAGAACATTTGATACAGTTTGTGGTGCGAGTCATCGGCGTGTGCGCGAGCTAGACGCGTCAAGTAGGCCATTGTCTTCGGCGGCCGCACTCCACTACTCTTATTGCCATCCATCTCGTCGTCAGATGTTGATGTTTCTTCATCATTGTTTTCGTCTTCGTCAGCAAAAATATCCTCATACTTATTTGGCTTACTCCTCTTCGTCGCTGAGTGAGAGTGATCATCAGAATCCGAACGCGTAGAAGCTTCAACATGATCTTCGTCGAGATTGTCGATTTTGTTTTCGTCCTCCTCTGCCAATGACGGTGACGATAGGTCTTTGTATTCCTGACCGCGAATGGCCGCCTGATAGGCAGGGTCCTTGACAATCCTGTCCATGGGTGATTCACCGTCGTCAAATTCCGGCAAGAAGCGGGAAGCTAGCCTTGCCGGAATTTCCGCCGAGGAACGTGACCGCATAATGTCTTGAATATACCGACCATGACGCTGCAAATCGCGCTTGTTGCCAAAATCCTGCAACAAGCGAGAAATGCGTTCGCGAATTGATGGAAGCAACTGGACACTGCGGAGCGACGTTACAGCAACTCGGTCCTCTGCTAATTGAGAAATTCTCGGAGGTGCTACATTAGCAGCTCCGGTACTCCAAGAACTACTACTAGTAGAACTCGATGAGGCAGACGAAGTGCTTGAAAATCTCGTGTCAGACTCAGATCCAGGTACTTCCGCGTTGCCACTACTGGAGGACACTTCCGTCGGATAATTGTGCAACTTTTCCAGTTGCCTGCGCCATCTTGGTTTCCCTGCGATCCTGATCGCCGGTGGCGCGTCAGACGAGGACCCTGAATATGATCCTCGCGTATTTGACGCCGCATCGTAACCTCCGAATCCGGAACTTGCTCTTGAAGACGTCCTCGTTGTACAATCAGGTCCCGTTTCGTCCGTTCTTCTCACTAGTATCGGCGGCCCTAGTCGAATGCGGTCGTAACGGACCCCACGCTCTAAACTTGGCGATAGCTCTCCTAGGAGATCCAAAATTGAGAGCTTCGAGGTGCTTCTACTCGAAGAGCTAGAAGAGCTGGAAGTGAAGAAAGGCTCCGCTCCTTCATCCTCCTCCTGCACAATTCTTCTTTTCGCAGTGTCGTCGTTTCGTGTTGAGCCTGCAAAGGAGGTTCCATGATCACAGCTTTCTAGAGTTCTTTCCGGCCGCCGAAAGGGTGCCTTTGGCAGGTAAATGCCAGCGGGGGAAAAGCGCACTCGGGCAGCAACACTACCTACGATCGTGGACGTAGCTCCATGAGTCTTCGCACTCATAATCAATCCAGATACCTAAAAACCATAGCTATACTGAAATTACAAATACAATTAGTGGACTGTCCTCACGATTCTTGAAGCGTGGTTTTCATATTTCTCACTCATACAGTACAGTAAGTGACTCCGTCAGTGGTCTCGTCCTCTTTGTTCCAGCTCTTGAAAAAAGTCCCTTTCTGAAGTGGAGATCCCTCTGTTCTGAGGTGGAGATCATGAGACCAAGATGGCGCAATAATTTTCTCGATTGAACAAGCCTCTCATGCGAAGACTCATACTAGGCACCAGGAGCGCGATCATAGGTGCGAACAAGAACGCATGTCGGTTCTCGGTTGTTCGCTTGTTGCGCAACCGACCCTACTCTGAAGATGCTTCCACAAGGGTAGACACTGACGACCACAGAAAACATCTTTTGTTCAGCTGCGCAGATAAAACAACTACAAGAAGATTCAATATTTTTATGAGGGATCATGTTGTTGGAAGACACGACGGGTCTACAATTGGCGAGCGTAAAACACCAGACCATGTTCTTGGTTCTTTGTCGTTTGAGGCACAACAAATGTTTCGTTCGATCATTCGACCGCTTTCAAGAACTATTCTTGTTATGATGAAGAATTGAATAAGACACCAACATAGCAACATGTAGTAAGTTATAGCTTGTGTCCGTGTCGTGCTGTCATGAAAATTAAAAGAATGTCCAAGTAAATTATATGTTTGGATGATGGTGGAAGTGATTTAGATTCTAAAATACATGAAGTTGATATTTGTTTTAGAAGTAGCGAAGCTGCTTTTGATGTAAGGAAGAAAAATAGGTCAAAAATAGTCTCTGACCATATGCGGGGAAGAGCAGCGTAACCATGGATTATACTGAGGGAAATTCAGATAGTACCTAAACATGATGTTGATGTACAACTATAAATCATAACCGCCAAAGCATGCACGACGTCTTCGGAATCATATGGTCCACCAAGTTGTCCTGATTCTTATTCTATGCTGTCTAGTACCTACGCTATTTGTGGTCCCAGTATTTTGTACCGTGAGGGTAATCAAGAATTAACAACTCCATCCATATTTTTCTAAAGACCAGAGTGATATTTATTGACCACCCGAACCTATTCGGCCAAATGACAAAGGTTGTTCCGAACATCGGTCTCTTTGTGCATAATCACGACAAGACATGCAGCTCTCATCAAGAAGAATGTCCAGAATGAAATTTTGAATTTAGAGAAGGCTTCTATTTCTACGCTTGTAGGTACTAGCTTAACAGCAATTATAGGTAAGCTTTGTTAGCAGGCCTGACTAGATCGATGCAGCTTGCTGGGTCTCTGTTTTTCAGCATCGAGATCCTTGAATCACGACTCTTTCATATCCAACGCCGATGCGTCAGCTCGCCTGTTGTGATGAAGACGGCGAATCTATGTAACTTACCACGGATCATCCCATCCGTCAATACGAATCATCAGTGTCGACTACTTCTATGTAGCATGAGGGCCATAAGGAGGGGTAATTTTTCGTGACGGAGATAAAAACCTGGCGAAAAAACGCGAGGCGGTATGGATTCCGACGACGCTCAAAATAAAATCAAAAATTAAATTGATGTGATACCCTTGATTACGAAATGTATGCGCCAACTCGTTCCTAGCATGGAGAACATCACAATCACACGCCTACACCAAGTCATAGTTAGTCGCAAAAATATGATACACACGGATCTACACATGCCCATACCTGCAAAAGGATTTATAATACGCACAAAAGCAAACATAGCAACACCCGCCGACAACTACGCAGTATGGTTCTAGTATGGTTTTTCGTACTATTATCAGTTTCGCATGCAAACCCTACGCCGCATCCGTGTCGCGCCGTACGTAAAAAATTGAATCCCCGCTCCTCTACCGCAGGATAGGAACCTAATTTGGTTATTCCCGACGATGGTAACCGCAACCCGAAATGGTGTACTCGTCATCCCATTGAGCCTTCTCCCCACGTGCTCTCGAAAAAGAGAAAATCGCAGTTAGTTTAGTCCATCCTGGTAGCCTCAAGGTTGGTATTTGTTGATTTCTGGTTAGCGATGTGTCGATGTAGGACTAGATCGTGGGACGAAGGGGAACCTCCAGACAGTGCCATCAACTCCCCACTCAAGTTGCGCCCCAGCAGATGTAAGAGAAGTATTAGTCTTTTATCTTCCGCTCCTGCACAACCGTCGACTTCTGCACGGCCCTTTGCTTATCCTGCGTCCTTACTGTGGTGATTGAATATAGTACATACTACTATTAGTTAGTAGTTGCGAGGACTTGTTATATAATACTAGTATGTTTGAAATCGAATATGCCGAACTTAAAGGCACCATGACCACTAAGAAAGAAAGCCTATCCTCACGGCCACGGTCTTCTCCTTGTTCAGTTCTGTCGATTCAAGATTATCATTATTCTAACGAAACCTAACAATTCTTCAATCACAAGATCAACAACTCTTTCTAAGATATAAATTCATCGAAGTCGAAGTGGTCTATCTCCTGAGTGGTCTCATCTCTATGTTTCGTTCACGAGCTTCAATTCATGATGTTTTTGTACAAGTTCTTTTACTTAAATGACATGTATGAATGTAGCACGTTGCAGTTCACCAACATTCCCCTACAATGGATCCCACAACATTTGTGGGTACTCCTTACATCTTTACCTAAATGACATAGAAACTTCTCATCGTAATCATATGTGCAGCAATCATATCAGCACTATTTCGCGTAGTATACGTGCAAAGGTCATCGAGGGACGCACGCCACTTACGCTAAAGCATCATCTTAATAACCTGATGAAAAATACAGCTTTCATGTTGATCGATGGATGTTCTCCGAAAGAGTAAGTACTACCAATTCCACTCATTTTCTTTTTTGATCTGACGTATTCGTTCTTTTGTATTAATCTTGTTCGTGGCGATTAGTTACAGACTTATCGATCATATCTATCTGATATAAATCTAAGAAAGTAGTGGAGGTCATCGTCATATCATTATGAGAGTCATTCAATTATTTTATGTTAAATTTTCATCACAATTCAGCCTGAGGTCGCATTGGCGTTATTGATAATAGATCGATCTTTCTGGTGAACTTTGTCCTCCAGAAATTGACTCAATAGGGCACACTAGTAAGAATGTAATACATAGTAATCACTTATCCACCTTGGTTTTATTCCTATTGGAAATAAATGGAAAGAACTAACTACAACACTTCGTCCTCTGCATAAAAAGTATCACCCACGGGGGAATGCGGGTTGTACGACTTGTTGTACTTCTTGACTCACGTCGCGATGAACAAGTACAAGAAGTACTTCGTTCGTGGATTAAAGAGGTGCTCCCACAGGTGTCATTGATGCAATGTTGACGTGCACGTTCTGCTACAGATTCTTCTTCAACGACGTGGCAAATTTTAGTTCAGGAGCTAGAGCGTCTTCCTCATCCGCAACCGTCACTACTCGTTTTCTGGTATGGCATGAGTCTCGGGTAGTTATACATATACTGCTGTGTCATGTCATGTGTGTGTCCCTGATATGGCCACTCTCGACCACCGCAGATTTTTTTTTTTTGCGTTAGGACTATATGCCACCACCCTTTCAAACAATTGATTAACCTGTTCAACTATTGTCATCCAAGTTACATACTGGGGGCGCATAAGACCGCACATTCGGCAACAAGTCTACGTATATCGGAGGCCAAATGGCACGACTAGTACTTCGACTCCCACACTGCTGTGGAGTATCAGTTAGTATGAGGCAACAAAATCGGAGCGGTGACAAGTTGGTGGAATTGCCCATTTGGGAGCAGCAAGTGTGTCGGATTTGTACTTCGCATTTGCTGCTGATGATCGTAGTACTGATTCCATGCTTCCTCTTGAATTTGCGTATCGTTATCACCTTGAAGATCCTCCTCGTCCTTAGCAGAAGCAATAGTGCCACTATATATAATATATTAGTTAAGTAGATAATACAGGCGCTCATCATCCTTGTGAGTGTCTGTCATGATTCTCTAAAAAAGTGTCCTTGAGTTGTCTTTCTTGTTTCCCTGTACAACTTCGATGTGAAAAAAATCATCTTCTACTCAGCATTTCTATAATTCTTCACCTTATATGGTGATGGTGAAAAACTGTATCCTTAACATCAGCAGCAGCCCCCGATCCATTATTTAGTCCAGCCGGTGGAGTCCTGAAGATGTCGTTTGAAGTTAGTTCATGCTTTTCACAAAGCAAAGCGTGGATGGAATAACGATTTGATCCACAGATTGCAGAAAGAAGTGTGAAATAAGAAGAAAGTTTCTTGCCTCTACAAATCAAAGACTAACTACTCTTAGTCTCGTCACAGTCGCTTGAAAAAAGGCGAAGGGAAAATATAGATAAGTATTCATAAAATATTTACGGTGGTCTGCTCGCCAGAAAAACCCTTGGCGGTGCAGGCGTGCTGCGTCCAGAACGACATGGCGCCGCCTGTATGGCGTTGTGGGCTGCGACCGCGACAAAAACTTGTGTTTGTGCGCCGGAACCTGGTGATGCGGCGGGCAGAGAGATCACCTGGCAAGCAGTGGGAAGCTGAGCAGTCGTAGTGGCTTGCACACCCACAAATTGGTGCGTTGCCTGTGGAGAGGCTCCCTGAAACACCGCGGCTCCTGCATGATGGTGTTGATGCTGCTACAATTAGCGTAAGTGTTTTTTTCGATACTTTACATGTTGCCAGTACTCAGCTGAAAGACGTCGACGCCAAGCTCCATTTTCAATCAGATGGTACCGTTGCATCTAGCTCTTCCAGGACGAGCAGTACTGCGGTGCAGATTTGTACACCTCGTGTTCCAGGATCCCTAAGATCTACTGAAAGACGGAAATTACAAGAATGCACCGAAATGAGGATGTGAATCTTCTTTCGCGGAGTGTTGCTATTGTAATGAATTATATATATACTTACTTCGATGACAGAGTTGATGCTGAGAGAGTAAAAAGAGCACTTCTATCGAAAAGCCGAGCTTAATGTAATGGAGCTGGTGTAAGCAACCCGGTAGGAATCGGGGATCCGTTGGGTGTTGCGAGTTGCAGAATGTGGCCTCTGGTCATCCCACCAACAGGTGACGGAAGGCCATTTAGCGCCCAGGAGTGAACAAACTGCTGCTGCTGTGGATGAGGCTGAAGTACGAATCCGGGCTGCTGGTCCTGCTGTGCCGGAGAAGGCGGAACTACGAATCCGGCTGGTCGTGGTTGCTGCTCGTACTGCTGCTGCTGCTGCTGCTGGTCTGAAGGTCCTAAATTACCACGGGCGCCCGAAGCATTACAGGCAGCACAGTCGCTTCCTGCTCCTGCAAACTCTAGATCCGTCGGGATGGCAGGCATCGCGGGCTCGCCGTTGGGAGGGTGTCCAAGTTGCATTACTCCTGCCATAGGAGTAGGTCGTTGTAAAGGCCTTCTGAGCGCTGGCTCCCTGGCGGACTGGCCATTCTTTGCCGCGCCAATTCTTGTCCGCTGTTCCAATTGCTGCCCCCGCAAACCTCCACCTACTCCCGGCGCGCCCGGACTATCCAGCGCAGAGGGCGGCTGTCGAGAATGCTGAGCGCCATGGCCGCGATTACTGCGGCCCCCATTCGTCCCGGAGTTCTCAACGGTTTCCAGTACAACCGACACCGCCTTGGCAACAGCGAGTTGTCTCGTAGCCCTGCCAGAAGCGCTGCCCTCCTCTTCTTGTTCGTCTCTGCTGCCTGCAGACAAGTCCGCTCTGCCTCCAACGACCGGTTGCGGTCCCACGCCGCCGTTCCTGCTGCGCTCAGCGCAGCATGTTGCCAGCGACAAGGCGATGGGCTGATGTGGACTCGACGCAGCTGAGCTCACACGAGAAGAATTAGCTGATGACGTAGGCTTTGGCGACGAGTGTTTGCTCTGTGGAACTGGCGGGCCTCTTAGGGGCGGCAGATGAACTGGACTAGCAGCCAGGTGACCACCCTCGGCGTCGTGTTGGGCTCTACTTGGAGGGGCTGCCGTCCCTGGCGAAGCGCTTCCGGAGCGCACGCCCGCGTATTCCGTTACTGCACTAGCTTTCCCATCGAGTGCTTGAGAGCTAGCCACGTCTCGACCGAGCAGAGCATCATTGGAAAAGCTCGGGCTGGAAGGAGGCGGATTTGGATTTGGAGGGTCAGCGGCGTTTCGTCTGCGAGCCCCTTCCACCGCATGCGCTTGCAGAATGCCTCTGACATCGACAACTCGGGCATCATCTCCGTCCGCAGGTGGCGTTGCTGCTCGTCCCTCCGCTGCTCGCACTGCGTCCTCTCGTGTTTGCGATTCTTGGCCAGTGCTTGCGACATCCAGGTTGTCCCTAGCCGTGGCGCCGCTACTTCTAGCAACGACGGATGCATCTGCGTCCGCAGCTCGAGCAGCCTCAGTCCCTGCCGATGGAGGAGCTGCAGTGCTTTTACCACCAGCAGCGGGCGAAGTTTGCGGTGACTGCGACAATCCTGACGGCGTTGGTGAGGGCCGCTCTTCATCCGAGTTGCGTCCACTATCAGGGGCGCTTCTTGGCCCATCCGAGGTGCCGCTCCCTGCTGCTGTGGTGGAACCCGAAGCAAGACTCGCCAATGAGTTCGCTAATTTCATAGTATTGTTCTCGCCAACATGACCTGCTTCACCCGGGGTGAGTTGTAATCCACTTCCTTGTTGGTCAAGCGCTTCCGCACCTTGCGTTGCAACAACTTCCTGCACGAGGCCTGCGCTTGCAACAGATGAGTTCTTACTTCCTACCCGTGCCGCTTCCTCCTGGACGAATTTGGCTGCGCCCTCCTCCAGTGACTCCGCCAAGCCACCAACCACAGAATCCTCTGGTACCATAGCGACCCCTGAGGCGTCCCTCGGCAAACCAAACGAACCCGCCGTCGCATTCCCAGGCGACGTGTCCCTGCTCGTTGTGATCTCCCCAGGTTCGCTAAGCTGTGGGGCTCCCCCGCGTTGTTCTCTGCAGGTTGTAAAAAGCTGGTGCACGTTAGTGCCTCCTGCTCCAGCAGCGCGCCTCATTGAGGAGGGTACACCAGTTATGATACCTACCTTCGGCGAGATCATGACCCTTTCCAGTTCAACTGGAGGTTGCCCAGATGCTCCATTAATAGCACCTCCATTAGCACAGTGAACCGTCATGCCACTCGGCCCAGGCGACCCTCGGCAACTCCCTGCGCCCTGACCTTGCTGCCGCTCGGCCTCAACAGCCTGCAGCTTCAGATTCGCCGCCTGGAGCAGTCTACCGGTCCCAGATTCTCTCCCACTCCCGCGTGGTGTGGGAGCCACGCTCCCGACAACGCTTGGGTGGTCGATGTAGAAAACCAATGGCTGTGCATGCTGAGCCCCAGGACCGGCCGGAGTGCAGAAGCCGCTTTGCGGGACGTGATACACGCAGTTTTCTGCTACGAAAGGCATTGCCACTGCCACGCCTTGCTGCACCGCATTTGCTTGACCACCAGTGTGCACTGCGAGAGTTGCGTAGGTCCCAGCGGCGGTGTGCTGCAGGGGCGTTGGTCGCCCCTGTTGTTGTTGTTGTTGCGCCGTCGGGGACGCGTCGTCTAGAATTTGCTGTTCCCCCGAGCGCCCTCTTTGAAGAGGCCTTCGCCTTCCCGTTCCAAGCTGCTTTCCCTGCGGCCTCGGCGATGTTTTCGCCGAGCGGGGCGGACCATCCCCGTTGTTCCCCCTCTGAGGCAATCTGGCCCGACGACCGGCAGGCCTACGCTCGAACCCTTGTTCCTCGCAGGCATCCGCTGTTCGCGCGCCTACTGCTCGTCTCCTGGCAGGTTGCCGTGCTCGCTCCTTAGTTCCGTGGCGGCTATGCGGAGTCTGCGCTCCAGTTCCCGGTGGACTCGGCGGACTTTCGCTCCCGTCCGAACCGAGGTCACTCTCAGGCCGAGAAGCTTCGGCGCCAGCAGTTCCATTCCCTCCGCCTGGTCCTTGCGGCGGAGGAACTCGTCCGTTTGGCAGTGGAGTTATCGGACCCTGTCCTACCGCCGGTGCCCGCAGGGGCGCCAAACTAATCGGTCCAGGCGACGGCCCTACTCTTGGACGAGCAGCCACAGGTGGTGCTGCTCCCCCGCCACCTCCACCTTGTCCTCCTCCGCCTCCGTTAGTCGGACCCCCCGTGCAGATCGGAGGAGGCGCACTCGCCAAGGACGGCGGACCCAAGGCACTTCCACCACCGGTAGAGAGACTACCTCCCAGAGGCGCAGGCGTGTGTATCTCTCCCGTGGAATTCGACAGCACTGTGTTGCTCCCGCCCGGAAACGAAGTCCCGATACTGCTGTTGCCCAAGAGAGAAGATCCACCATGCGGAGTGGCTTGCTGCTGAGACAACTGACTCCCAGCGCTCTGCGCAGAGGCGGCGCCGCTCCGCGAACTCGTGCCTTGCGGCTTGACGACTAAAAAGGTTACTAATGAAGCCAGAGCTGCTACGAGAACCACGATGACCACTACTAAGTAGCGCTTTTCCATACTCCGATTATTGGGACCTGCGTCTCGGGGGTCACTTCCCCGGCTGCTTGCCGTGGACGCCTTTCTTGTAAACAAAATTCCACCGTCATAGTCATGCTGTCCGTGTTGCAGGTTCGAGTCGCTGGCCTGCTTTTGAGCCAATACGGCATTGGAGGTCGTGGAACTTCGCACATCGTGCTGCTGCTGACTGAGCGGACCGCCTCCAATTAAGAGATTGCCACTCCCCTTACTACCGAAGGGTCTAGCAAATGATCGGCTCGGAATCTGGAGATCGCCATGGTAGTCATCGGGGTCTACTCGCGCGGGGTCCATTAAATCCTCATACTGCATTCTCTGCTGTATCCCGGCAAGTCTTCCTGTGCTCGGGTGCTGTACTTGACGTAGTACATTCTGACACTCATCTCCCGAAAGGCTGTTGCGCTTGATCTGTAAAGTTTAAAGTTTGCGAAACAAGTGAACAGACAAAGAATTACAGCCACTTGCGCTTTTTTTCTAGGATGGTGGTGCGATAATGTTAATGATTGTTCTAACACGCATATAATTCGCTCAGAAAAAACACAATAACATCAAAAGAGAACCACCTTCCCTGGTTGTGTATTCAAAATCTAAATGTGTCAATACGCGAAGCTGCGCTCTCTTTCCTGCTTGGCCGGCCCCTGGTCCTGGCTGCGCGGCACTCGATGACAGCGCTGGTCTCGTAACCACTGTTTTCTGCTGCGTGCTCCCACGTCTCACTGCATTCTGCACCCAGTCTGATACCGAGCGATCACGCCCAACATTCATCCCGGGAATCTGACTGATGTCATGATGTTGCATGTTATGGCTAGTGAAAAAGTTGCGACGGGAGTCATCTTGTCCTCGTGGATTGGCAATACCATGTTGTTGCCCAACACCTGCCACTCCGCGAGCTGCTAGCTCGCCTGTTCTTCCACCTCCCAGCCGCTGATCGTGTTGGTCATCCAGTGGTTGTTGGATCTCATGCTCATGCTGATGGTCTAGGGCGCGTCGGTCCTCACCGTTGTCGGGTTCTAGAAGTAATTCGCCATCGTCCTCAGCGTTGTCGTCCAGATCATGCATTCTGCCAGCGAGAAACCGGTCTCTCACACCAGGATCTAAGGAGTAGGCGGGATGCGGCACTGGGATTTCCCGGCTCTCCGGGATCAAGCTCAGTACCTCCGCTTTGCGAGCAGCGGTCAACTTCTCCGGGCCCCCGCAGGAAAAATCCAGCATGTGCTGCTGTGCTGCGGCGGGCGCCATCGTCGTTGTGTTTGTCTCTCGTAACGGCAGCTGCATGGGCGTGTGACAGTGACTCGCCGCAACAGCGTCGATCATCGGGTGGTGCTGAGGGACAGCGCCACCGCCGGGTGCTAGATTGAAATTTTCCTGGACGAGATGCAGTGGGGGCTGGTGTTGAGGCACAACCCCGGACGGATCGTGACCCGCGGGCTCGAAACGTCCACCATGCCCGTGCACCATGCCGCTGGAAGCCCCTGTGGCATGGCCTCCCCAATTTTGGTTTGGCAGCTGATGGAAACTGCGCCGTCGAGGGGCACTAGAACTGCTTTCCGCATGCCCACAGCCACGTCCACGAGGCGGGGACGACACGGCTGGCCCGACTACGATGTGCTGGCGCGAAGTCTGCTGCGACATCCGACATCCTCGATGTTGTGGACCACAACCTGCTGCACTATCATTGTCCATTCCAATCCCATGAAGATTGAGGTCCATGTTGATTTGCTCACCAGTGTGTAGGTTCATCTGCGCTTGCGGCGGCATTGCATTTCCGCCACCGGCTCCTGTTGGGGAACCGCATGTCGGCAAAACCCGAGAAATTGACGATGCTCCAGTAAAGGGAGCATTGTTTCGGCACCCAGTCACTTCAAGCGGTCCCCGCCCATCGTTCAGGTTTAGGCGTTCTTGTTCATGTCGCTGTACTGCATCTCGCTGCAATATGAATGTATGACAGATCAAGGCAACCGCGAAAGTAAATCAAAACTCTACTAGTCAGAGTGCTGCAGGACGGGTACCGTTAGGCTGCTATACATTAAGAAGACTACAAGGACATGAGTACAACCTAACAAGTATGTCATGGACTTCGTTGGATGATAAGTGTTCGCTCCTTTTGATGATGTTAGTCGATTCAGATTGGGCCTACGACATTGTTGTTTCATAAGATGACTATCTGGAGGAAGTAGACGCTGTTTCGCACACTGTTTCGTGGCTTGAGTGTCCGGCGTAGCGAGTCCAGGGTACTCACAAGGTGTTCGCTGCTCGAAACTGGTTGGGGAGCCGCTTCTTGCGGTATGCGGCAAAAATCCACGAGGCATTAACCTGGAACTTGAAGATAGAATGCGAAAATTTCAATTGACACAAAAGCGTAGATTTTCATTTCGAGCTGAGTCTGAGATGAAGACTAAGTAATAAACCTCAGAGCAGGAGTGCAAACACAGACAACCAATTGTTCAGTACCTATCTGGAGATTCTGGAGAAGAGTGACCAGCAGCGCGATGACGCGGTCCCAACCCAGAGTGAAAATTTTCGGAGCTGCAGCTCCTTGTTGTCCTCTCGGCTGAGCTGCATGGTACCTGTTGATTCGGCGTCGAAGGATCGAATGCAAATCATCTAGCGTGCTTAACTGATTGTGCTTGGTTCGTCTTGATGTCGCTGCATAGATTGGTGATTCGGTGGTGGTGGAGGTACAACTAGTCCCAGCTATAGAATGTTTGCAACGTTTAATGAGAAAACTACCTGCAATACATTGGGGCAATTATCTCCGCGAGGTGCGCGATCACTTTGCATGAACAGGTCTGTCCGACCATCGACACCCTTATGAAAGAAGCCTGCTTCGCCTTGAGTTGTAGACGAGCCATGACTCATTACTCCACCGCATGGCGACCCGCTTGGGAAATTGATGCGAGATGAACGGGGAAAAATCCAACAGGGCAAGTGGGAGATCCTAGGACAATAATCGCTGAAAATACGCGTGAGCGAGAACGGACTGATAAGAATGATTTTCACACGATAGGAATCTGTCATAAGAGTAGGGGCTGGCCACCAGACTCCATTATGCTTGTATGATTACTGGTTGCGTGCGCCGGAGCACCACGCAACAATTCACCGCTCTCTGCGGCGAAGTCGCTACTTTCATAGTAAGCAAGACGCTATCTTGTGCGTCTGCTTTCTGATATTTTGCGAGAGCTAGAATATCGTTACCCGCGGAAAGCTCGCGCGGCGCGACGAAAGACTAGTAGGTTAATATGGAGCGTCCTGATGTGTGGGGAAGCGACGACCTAGCGTGGTCACGCCTTGCTCTGGAACGGTCTTCTCCGTCGTGCAAGAAAAATTCGAACTCTGTCTATTGTTGGTCAAGTTTAAGTAACTACTAGATTAGAACTATCTACCAACAAAGAAAAACATATGATTAGATACTCATACTGGTGCTATTTCCTATTTTCTGTTTCCTTGAAGTAGTTTCTCCTCAGCCGCGATAATGCATGCTAGACATAAAAAGTTATGACTTCCCACGCAGAAACAAAGGGACGAAGCGTGGCAGAAACTAAGAAAAGATTATGGCGTACAAAGTTCTACCTAGTACAATTGGACCAGAATGAAAGAGGGAGAAGAGAACACGACAGCTAAACTATTGAAAGGCTACTCCCTCTGGGCTCCCAGTTGTTCATTGCCTTAATTCTTTAACTATCTACGTAAGTAGTCCTATTTTGCTAGTATGTAATTCACAATCTCCACTGTAAAAATCAATAATGTAGTCGCGATACTATTGACTCATTTCCTTCATCAGAAAAGTATTTATGCATTCCTGTACCAAATATCCTATGCTCCAGCGTGTCAATGAAATCTCTCTACTTGTAAAGCTTCAGTCTGCTTTTGAAACTCCTCATATTCAAGATTTCGGATTTGATTTCTGATTCAAAGTTCTGACTTAGTAGTAGTAGTGTACACATTCTTGAGATTTTGAATTTTGACTCTAAATTTTGACTTTAAGTTTTGACATTAAGTTTTGACTCTAAATTTTGACTTTAAATTTTAAGTTTCGAATTTTGAGTTTCTAATTTTGAGTTTCGAATTTTGAGTTTCGAATTTTGAGTTTCTAATTTTGAGTTTCGAGTGTTGATTTTGAATTTTGACTTTAGGTTCTGAGTTTTAAATTTAATAGTTTGAATTTCGATTTTAAATTTTGACTTTAAGTTTTGGCTCTAGCTTTTGAATTTTGAAAGTAGGCGAATGCTGCGACAACACTGCAAAAACGCGCAGCGTCTTGTTATGCTCATGAATTTTGAAAGTTAGCGCATGAATTTTGAAAGTTAGCGCATGAATGGCAAAAGCTAGGGCCTGAATTGTGAAAGTTAGGCCGTGAATTTTGAAAGTTAGGGCATGAATTTTGAAAGTTAGGGCGTGAATTTTGCAAGTTTGTTAGAGCGTGAATTTTGAAAGGTAGGGCCACGAGTTTTGAAAGGTAGGGCCGTTAATTCTAAAAGATCGCCAATAATGGCCGCCGCGTTCGCCAACATTTCTGACGCATCTTGTCAGATGTGCTCCCTGGTGAAGAGTGCCCATGTGCGTCGTTGTCTAGTGGTACCGAGTGTCTCGGGTTCCCATCGCATCCTCACCCTGAGGAACCACACCAGATGGCTAGTCTGAAAGGAACACTGCTACTCCGATTTTCATTATACACGAGCGGGATCATAGCAATCTAAGTGGATGATTCTAGTTGCCCTTCAGTTCTGTTGTAGTAGTTCTTGTTATATCTAAGTACCTCCAGGTGCTTTTTGCGGTCATATCTTATTGGTCTTTATATAGCTCCTTAGTTTTGCTATAGTTTCAGATATGATACAATACATCAGCAGATCTTTTTCTAATGGCTCCTAGTAGTAGTACAAGGATACGAATGGTCCATACTAGACCAATCTTTTCATTCCTATAAGCAATCCGCCACACGAGCTTGCGGGCAGAGATAATCCCTGCCTGCAGACCTTGCACTGGAAATACGATGAATTCAATTTCTGGTGGTACTTCCTAAAGGTCCATCCCTATGTTGAGTCCCTAATTGTAATTGATTTTCCAAGTAGATGAATAAAATCACCAAAAACCTCCAAAAATCAAAAACGAAATCTCCTACCTTTTCTCTTTCCAGTTAAATCTTCTTCTTCTTTTAGAACGCTCAAGATGTGAACGATTCATGTACTTAGAAACAAGCAACGATGAATGAAGTTCTGGCTATGATGAATCATCAAAAACGGATGTAATTGAGTGCCTACTAGAATGACGATGTTATGGAATCAACCAGATGAAAGAAAGAACGATGGTCAACAATGAGAAACGAGTAACAACAAAATTTCGTAATTTGAAATTCCCAAGCGAGGTTGAAAGGCACAATAACAGAGATTCTACATCGAAGTGACACTCTCGCTACTAATTTCGACTTCAAGTTGTTCGACAGAAAATTTGTTAATACCTATGAATTCACCGGTAACAACTAAAATGGGCACGAAAATAATGTCATTTTTCTGCTCTATAATCGACAAATTCACGTCACAACGAGGACCAAGATGGATTAACTACTTTCTCACCTTGTTCTTGAATTGATAGTATCCAAATCCGAAGCACACCAATGTTGTTCAAGGTCAAAGATTTACAAATCATGGCACTTCGAGCACAACACTGAACGACTTTGCTTATCAAATATGATCTTCTTCTTCTTCAGCCATGCTAGTTACATAAAACATAGTTCATTTGTTCGGGTCATTTCTTGAGATTCCGTCCTGATCTGGATTCTTTTTTGTTCTGGAGGATTTTTGGCACTTCAAAATCGTCACAAGATGGGTAAGCTCTGACATCATCGTCCTATTCCTTGTAAGCCAGCCTATAAAGACCTAGACGGACCACAAAAAAATGAAGATTGACAACACCAAGAAAGAAACATGTACTTAAATGCATCCTGCAGCAACACCTCAAGAAGACTCTAAGGAAACGAAAAAGCGCAAAAAAGGAGCCTCGACATCATGGCTGTCGAAATCACGCAAGTGGCGTCTTTTGCAAACGACGCAGCCGGCGACAACACATGTACTAGTATGTAACATGACAATGGACATCGGCGACCATGATGTGGACAAATAGAACCGCACATCCATCGTGTTCATTTCCTCGCCGAAGTTCCCAATTGCTGCCTGGAGATTAGTAAGTCAGAAACGCTGTACACACTTCTGCAAGACAGAGGAAACGATATAGATCTTTCCAGAGTACGTAGAAGAATTATGTCTTCGAAACCAAGACTTCTTTCAGGATCCTTTTCATTTTTCCAGACGCAGACACCGTCTTCGTTTCTTGTTCATGTCAGAGAGAAGAACACCCCATCAAACTTGTCGTCGAGAACCACACGCCACAAAGCGTCATGGACGAAGAGGAGGTGGAGACCCACTCAGGAAAGTCAACAACCTCCTTGAGCTCCAGTCGCTCCTTCCTTCGACAGCAACGAGAAATTTTTTACACCAAACCTTTTATTTCAGTTATCGTACAATAAAGGATTTTCATTTCAAAGTCTTCGGCGAAGGGGCCAACGGAATAATTCTGCTCCATCTGCTGAGGTCCCTTGCCTGTATCCATAGCATGATGAAAAGTCATTGAATATGGTTGCAGAAGAGTGTGAGCTGCTGTTCGAACATAATTCCCTTAATCAGTTTGAGTCTGTTTGCTAGATCCGTGGTCGAAAGATGGGGTTTGCCGCGTACTTGCTTGTAATCGGAATACTGCTTCGTCGAATATCTTGAGAACTACTAGTTCGTTACTACAATTTCATTGAGATTGATGTACACTACTTAGGGTTTTCGTTCTGATTTGCGGTCAGGTGTCGGACACTTTTATCTCGGATGTTTAGTGAAATAAGCTCTAAATGCAATAACTTCTTTGATTCACTAAGTAACTATCTGTGAAAATTAATTTCCATGACATAATTACGGGATACGAAATGTTCAACTTGATTGATACTCTTTTAGTTGTTAAACTTACATTTGTTTTGGGTTGCATACTTGGCTGAGATAACTATTTTCTACTTCTTACATACTGGCATATAATTGTCGCTTGCATGTTCTAACCATCGTGTTGCTCTGCTACGTCACTTTTCATAGGTAGATGTCGTTCTTCAGCTACGTCAATTTAATAATTACTGAGATTAGCATAATTCGATCTACTTACATAGACGTCACTATGATGCATACTTTCCTCGGTTTTGTACAAGTTCAGCAAAAATCTAAGTCAATCATTGAACATACCTCCTTTGATTTTTCGTATGTAGTAAGTCAGTTTACTTACGCTTTCAAAAATTAGATTTATTTTCACTACTTACTCATTGGCTCCCTGCACAAACTGATTTATATCCAGTCTGTAAAAAACCGTCACCCAAATATTTGTCTTCACGTGTGTTGGCTGATCTCACTCTCAACACAGGTACTTAATGCAATAGTGCACTTTTCGAGCTCCCTTCCCTTTTTTCGTGACATGCAGAATACAATTCCCAACAAATCAAAATGTGTTTCCTACACGCCCACAATCGTCACAGCCTACTCCATAACCCTCACTCACCCCCTATGATGAACATAGAATGTTCATCCACTGCTCATCATCATCCCTCCTCCCCCCCACCTCTTCATTCCAAGAGAGATGAAATATAGGTCAAGCTGTGCCACAACTCAACCTCTCATCCTCGGAACAGTCTCTAAGCCCCAGCATCTCACTCCCTTGTTCTATCGGCCACCTCATTCCAAAGATGAAAACTACTTTCCATCTTCGAAATCCGAGTACAACAAGGGTGACAAATCAAAATTTAGCGATTATCATAATCTTTATGTACAATCGCATTTTCTCCATGCGCTTTGGTGAGACCCTCAGCGTTGGCATCGCTAGCCAGGACGTTCTTCTCAACCGCGTTGGGATCATTGTCGGGTCTACGCCACAGCGAGGCTGCCGTAGGCATGGTCTCGACATACCACGGATTCGATCCTCGTGGGCCAAGCTTCAGAAAACCGTGCTCTCCATAAGAATCGCCCAGAAATTAGAAGGGACAGCTGAAGATACTGATTATTTCAGAGTAAGCTTGTAAACTAGTGCAGAGGCATCAAGAAATGTAGAGATTATAGATGTAGACGCCCAGAAACTAGAAAGAAGGAGGATGAATGAACGCCAAAGACCGCCTTCCCCATCATATCTGTCTGCACGTACCTACGTCTTTGGTGAAAACATAAATTTCTTCTGCCCACACAGTGCTGTGAATTTCAAAACTACTTCAGTATTTTGCTTGGAGGGATAGACCGAGGACATGAGGACAACTACTTTAGTACTACGAATTATCTCTTTAAGTGTAGTAACTCCAAGTTTTTAGTGGCCGTAACAACTGTTCTGAAAAATCCAGTAAGGATAGCCACCCCACTGACACATTCTGTCAAATGCTTGGCAAGCAGACTCTGTCAACTGTTTATCGCAAACGTGTCGACCATCGTTTTGCCCACCACGGTAATAACAAGCGGTCTCCGAAGTGTCGACGCCCCATCTAGAAGTGGTTGTTTGTTGAACGATAAATGAAGAATATCAACATCAACGATTTCGAAGTAATTGTACTTATGCCACATCCACTTTTCATGATGAAGATAATGATCATGACCTCAAGATCGATATTGTCCTTCAATAGTAGGAATACTTTTAGAAAAATATGTGTCTCTACCCCACAGCCAAAAGCGCGTGATCGACTTTGCGAAAGGGGTAGCAGATAGTCTCGGTGCAGACTTTCTTCCCCTTCGTCGGATAGAGTTTCATCAGCTCGCCATGGCGCGTTTCCATTTCCGGAACCTCATGCAGAATACCACTCTTGTAGTACTGAAAGGCGCTGTAATCATCGTTGCGCGGTTCCATCGCAGTTGTGATAGGTCCGCCTTTGAAAATCTCCTCGCGCATCAGTCTCTCACACTGATTGTATTGTTGGCATCGTCCCAGACCTCCGCCGATGTAGCGAAATCCGTCGACCCTGTTAAGAATACAGCGAGACGAGGTAATAAAAAAATGACTTCAAAAGGTGACCAGTACTGGAGAAGATTTACGACATGGAGTATTGAACAGTCCTACTACTTTATTCACAACCAATCGATCTTTACCTGAAATGCGCATTGGTTTTGCATTCGGGTGTGGTATCCTCACGTCTGCGGATCATCGCGCATTTCTCGGGACCGGAGTAGGCAGACAGGCTCGCCCAGCAGTCCTTTGTGACCAAATCGTGCTCTGAGCCCCAGTAGTGCGAAAGCCAAGGATAGCCTCCCTCGCAACCTTGGTTCATCCAGTTGCACGACGTTTGCTGGTCCAAAGAAATGATCTCCTCGATCTCACCAGAATTACCTGTAATGTAAGAGGGCTTATTGTTGTGCGTTTATCCATCTTGAACAATGAAAGCGGCTGAAAGCTTTCTTATGTATCTCTAAGCTCTTCATCTTCAGCAGAAAACCTGCGTATGGTGCACTGATATGTTCGACATTGACATAATTCTTTTCATGAGAATGAAACTTAATAAGTCTGGACGGAAAAAATTGGAAAAAAAATTGACATCCTTCGTACCTCTCCAACCCGTGTGCAGGTCGAGGTACTTGTATATGAGGCGTGTCGTATACATGTTCGACGCAGCTGCAGCGTAACAGTTGCCGCAACTTCCTTGCTCCATAGCGGGAATGGTCATCTTCTTGTACTCAACTCCATCCTTGACGACGACAATTTTGCGATAATCGAAGCCTTTCTCTGGGTCACGCCAGTCATCCGGTTCGACCCGAGTGCGCGCACCATAGTCGTCCTAGTGATGCGATCGATATATTTAAAGATGAATAGTACTCCTTTCCTCGTAACAAATTATCTTCATTATGCAACTACGGCAACTAATGGATTCTGATAATGTCTGAATGATATGATCGAAACGAGAAGCGACAACAACCATGCGGATAAAACTCAAAAGAGAACGAGGAGCAAGTAACCTCCGAAAACTGAACATGAAAGTAAGCTGGTAAAAGAGTTGCAAGAAGACAGCATCTCCCAGCATGTTAGAGGAAGAAAAAATTTTCCTAGTACCTCAAGGAAAAATTCCCTTCCATCGGCAAAATGGCGTAGAGACTCGCCCGCACGCGGTCCCCACATCTCCGAGACATCATCCGGAGTGATTTGCGACACATCCACTTGCAGTCTTTCTGACAACATATTCATTTCGGAACTGGGACCCTCGTGGTCAGTGGGACCCACGTTCTGAGGCGTCGAAAAACCATACAATCCGGGAACCGCATCCACTGCATTTTTCAGACTCCTCTCGTGCGCCTGGATCATCCTGTAGTTACAATTTACACTTTGTTGTCAGGGAGTTGCGAAGGTAACTCTAAAGATCATAGAAAAAAGTACTGCAGCAATCAAATTCAAATCCGACTGAATCAAAAAAAAATAAAACATACAAGATGAACTAACGAACTGTGAGCATTCGTAACAAGTTTGCAGCTACTCTAGCAAGAAAATAGTGATTTGTAGTACTTCTCAACTTCAGAGTGTTCCTCGAGTTCGATGCCCACAGCTTTGCTGCGCGCCTTCAGAAACGTTCGAAGTTCATCCTTGTCCATGAGTTTGTAGCGGACTTTGTGATTTGCTTTCTTCAGCAGTTCGTGTTGCTCTGTCAGGTGGTCATGCACCTCGCCGATCGTTTTCCGGGACATCGCCTCCTGGCGAACCAGATCCTCGAGTTCGCTCTTCGCGCGTTCTGTGAAAACGGGATTGCTCTGCAGTTTCCGCATCTCCTCCTCGACAAGATGATGCTCCACGTCAGGGGTGGTGCCCTTGACTTCTGCGAGTTTGGCCTCGAGCTCCGTAATTTTGCTGTCCAGCAGGGCCATCTGCTCGGACCGCTCGATGCCGCCGCTAGTTGCGTGCGCAGAAGAAGCCAACTCCGTTCCCGGAGCACTCTTTGAGCCAGTGGGTGTGCCAGGAGGTGCAGAGGTGAACGAACCGACGAAGCTACGCAGGGAGCAGAAGTTCCATAAGTAGCAACCGATCAGCATCAAGAGACCCAACCCGATACACGCCTTGCCGCGTCCTGCCGCATCCGCGAGCCATCCACCTGATGTGGTTTTCATTTGCACGCCACGCATGAGCAAACCGACGCTGTCATGTTTCATTCGCTGCAGCACCGGTGGCGGACTGCCGGTCCCGTAGTTTCCTCCGGACGGTGAAAGGATGCCGCCATTGCGCCCGCTCGGCGAATTCAGTTTTCCGAACAGGCTTCCTCCGCCAGACTCGGTTCTCAGGCTTTTCGCGCCTGGAAGTAGTTGAGAATTCTCGCCTACCGGAGACGGTGACTCCATCGCGGCGACCCGCCGCGGACTCGGGCTTCGCATCTTGTCGCTCTGGCTGCTCAGCATGTTGGAGCCGACATTTTGACTGTTCGCTTCGGTGTCACAGACAGCCTGGTCATCCATGTCAGCAGCGCTTGCTGGATTGGTCATTCGTCGCCCTGAGTCTTGCGCGGCGCTCCCGTTCTCCTCCTCGCCTTGCTCAGCCGCATTCCGCTTCGCGTTCCACCACTGCAAGACACCGAAGAAGACCAGCAGCCATCCGGTGGAGAAAAACAGCATGGGGATCAAAAAGCTACCCCCCATCATGAGGGATCCGATCGACGATGGCACCCATGCGGATGCCTGCTGTGTAGCAGCTCCTGCCGCAGATGCGTCGTGTAGATGCGCCCCCGCTGCAGCTGTTGTTGCGGGAACTGCAGCCGTAGATGGCATCAGTTTGTCCGCACTGTCAAACCCCAACTCGTGCGCCATCCAGGCATACAGACGATTGTACTGGCGCCAGAACACACCCGAAGCGCCGCCCGCGGTAGATTGCGCCTCCCCGCTTTTGGCTTCGTGCACAGCCTGAGAAGTGTGCCGCACCATCTCGCTTGCAGCTACCTGCTTCGCCTCGCGGAAGCGGTCGGCCTTCGCAACTTCGGACGCTGCCCGCTTGTCGGAAGCCACGTGCATATGCGCTGTTTCCACGTGCAGGGAACCAGCTGCGTCCATGCTTTGCTGCAGAATAACACCTTGTGCCTGAACTTCCAGCTCGATGCGGCGACGTTCCCGCGCATACGTGGCCTTGCGCAGAGCCTCGCCAAATGAAGAAAAGATCATGGAAAAGGGGCTTAAAACGACGGTACTGGGAGACTCTTACGCCTAATTCTAGGCAAGGAAAGACGCATGCTTACACTTCCTACACCTGCTGTTATTTCCAAAAATTTACGATTGATCACACTTCTTCTTCTTGTTCTTCTACCGTTTATTTGCACTAGTACAAATGAGACTCGGATATCATAACTCCGCTTCTAGCTCTGCAACATTGTGGCCCTTCTTGATCTTTTGCTGTGCGGCGGTCGCACGAGTTGCTTCCTTGGCGTCCATCTCCACGAGGCGCGCTGCTGCAGCGGTGCGCAACTGCTCAACATGCTCCCGATGACTTTGCATCAACTTGTCCAGCTGTCGACGCTTCTCCTTAAGCTCAGTCTTGAATTTGGTCTCCTCTGCAAGGATCGCAGCGGTCTCAGGGCTTTCCGGTGACGGAACCGAGCTATGAAAGAGTTTTTGCGTCAAAATTTGGGACTATGGAAATCATTTGTAATCATCGCGCCTATATCTATGGATCACTTTGTCCAATCAAGATAGATTTTATGATCCTCGTAGTGAGTCTGTCTACAGTACCGCGATAATCTGACTGTTCGGTTCACCAATTATCGCGATAATCAAAAAATTTCAGCTTTTAGCAATTTCAGTCCATAAGGAGCACCACCGAAGGGAGTTCTATGACGGGCCACGAAATTATCCGGAATGTCACCGACGCGCTGTCCGTAGTAGCACATGCTGTAGCCAGGATCCGCAACGACGGCTGGAACACCCATCGAGTAAGCCTTGATCACCGACCACTGCCCAAGAATCGTCCAACCTATGGCAAATTCATGTTGATCTTGTGCTATTTCTACTCAGCTTGTATACATGAACATTGTTGAGTAGAAAGAGGCAAATCAATATGTAAGGAAAAGCACAGTATTCATCGTCTTGAAAGTTGGATTCTAAGAAAGAGGAGTAGATTTACCACCACGACCACGCGAGCTACATCTTCAGAAAAATAATAGAAATAGTACTGCAGTGACTGATTTTCTGGTTTTTCTTCATGTTGTTCCCGAAGGCATCGGCACCCGGCTCCAGGACGTATTTATTAGGCGCATAGAACCTGTGATAAGGCGCATGGTCATTCGCTTGAAGCGTCACCGCGAAACCCTGGTTGTAGATCTGGGAGTATTGACCCAGCAGTGAGTCCTGAAGAAACCACTTCTCGGCGTCTGCAGCACTCAGCGACTTTAACGAATCAAGGGGCACTTGACCTGTCTCGCCGGGCGCTTGCACACCTCGCAAGTTGTAGATGCCCTCAGTCTGCACATTCTTGTCGGTCATGACCATCCGCATGCGCGCAAACGGCTCAAAATTGTGCGACATCGAAACCTCTTGCGTCGCACGAGCCGTAGTGCCACCTGTAGAAGATGTTTGTTGTAGGATTTTTCGAGGCTACACATCTTCGTCGACGCCGGCGCACGAGGACTAAAATTTGTAAAGTAGAGATATGAAAGTCGTATCTATTGGTCAGCGCAACCTTCTTCGAAATAGTGGTTGATTCCCTTGGTTTCCTGCGGTCATTGATTGTTCTAAATCAAGTAGAGTGGAATACGTAAATCTGCAGAATCGATGATGAATAATGAGTAGGATCAAAAACGATGATAATCCATTTTGATGTCATGAGAGTGATGGATATCAATTGTGATATCTCAGTACCAGGAGTGATGTGATTATGTCCTCCAGGACGATCGGGAGAAAGCCAACCACAATTTGCGCCTTTGAAGGTACCCAGAGTGAACTCCCATGTTCCCGGCACACTGTCGTGATAGCAAGCGACCGGAAGATCAGCAATGACACCGGTTAGGGACCAGCTCACAAGAATAGCTACACTTGCGCAAAGATACCACATCATGCCGGACTCCGCTCAAATGAGAATGCTCCACGACGTAGGTAAGGTAGTACGTCTGTATGAAATATTGCTCTGTGTGTCGATCCAACTCTGACGAATGCTGCAAATTCTTTTAGCGGGAGAAGGATCCTATTGCTTTTACGTACTATGCGTACTCGAGAAAAAAACTGACTTTACGGACGGAGAATTGAACGACAACATGCAGCGGCAGTAGACTTTCATTGAAAGTGCGATATGACAGACTTCTGTTTCAAACCACAATCTTATCTACGAAAAACGAAAAAACCACTGCTAATCTTTAGACCACTGCTACACAGGAGTCAACTAATCTTTACCTCTATCAATTCAACCACGTTAGAGATTTGCTCAGTGCAAGATTGTTCCTCGTTAAATAATAATAGAAACCTTCCGCTGCCCCAACAACAGCCTTTTTCAAAAAGCTGCAGCGAAACCAAGAAGCGACTCTACTACTGGTTTTAGTGGGTGAATGGCGATGAAGATGACTAGGGTAGCACGAGCGAAAGATGAATAGTCATCAAGGTGGTTGTTATTCGAAAGAAATGTTCCTCTTTTTTGTCTGACAATATCAAGGAGTGTTTTTAGTAGACGAAAATCACTTTGCTGCTTTACCTAGTATTGGGACACAGTCCACTAATAGACTACTCACACACGACGGTTAAATACATGGAAATCGAAATTTTTCAAGGCAGTGGAGGTTCTACCAGTGCAACGAAGAGGAATGAAAAGGAGTGAAAGGAGTGGACGGAGAATGCTTATGTGCTTCTACCGATCGTCCTCTAGCAGTAGGACATAATGGATCGATGAACTACACCGATAAAGGATCTTGCGTACATCGATCGATTTCCATCGACGACGGGATACAGATGGAGATACGAAACTCATCTGTTCCGATAAGTACGCCGACTTCCATGCGATGACACCGATGCACTCCTGCCAACGAGATACAGTGTGACATCAACATGCGTAGACTAGAGTTGCACTTTACTTAGGCTGAACTTGCGCATGCTCATTCACACCGACATACAGTCAGATCACCGAGTATGAAGATTCATTCAGGGAGGAAACGCAACTTCACACGTCGTTAAGGCAGAAGCTTGATCTCTTTCCCCGATGTGTTTGAAGAGCCCTGTCGGGAATATCTCTGCAGAGTTTGCATCGAATATCATGTCCGTGTAGTTGTATGATGTGGTTCTGTATATATTTTTTCACGAAGACGTCAAGTTTCTAGGACCTTTGAGGCAGTGCGTTTACTAACTTGCACATGATGTAGGAAGACGATGTAGAAAATTTTCACATGTAATAAATGAAAGGTGAGTCTATAAGCATAATATATGTATGAATGTATCCTCGAATGGTTTGCGTTTCGCACTGTAGAAAATGTTTCGCTGGCCATATCAGATTTTGCATCTTAGATGTTGTAATTCATCCAAATGTTTGGTACAAATGGATATTCCATTATGGGATATGAGTTACCTCCCCCGTCTTAATCCCCATCGAGCTGCCTAACCACACCGGAAAAGCGGTCGTCTGACGCCCACATTACCCCTCTAAACCAAAATCTAAAATTAAATTTTGTCACAAATCGTGCTAAGTACGCATAGTGCACTGGGAAAAACAAGAACGTGTTTGTATTTTATGTCTCCCTGAAAATACAAACTACTAAGTAACAAACATCGTTTCGTGCGAAAGCAAATATCTAAAGTTCGATGCAAGACTTGTTTTAACACTGCCGATATTGCACCTGCAGTGATCTTCACCTCTTCCGAACGAGGTCAAAGTCGAAAAGAAAACGTCTCTTCTTTTCCACCCACATCCTGCCCCTGTACGCAGTGCATTCCATTTCACAAAAGGAAATGCCCGCGCCAGAGCTTCTTGAGTCGAAGTGAGTAAACACGACGGCTCCTACTTCAGTCTCAAACAAGACAATTTATAGTAAATAATGAAGTTCGCAAGTGAACACCTTCACCTCATGCTTGAGGTGGAGCACTAAGGTCTTTACCGTCCTGACCGTGCGCTCCACAAGCGGGTTTGTGGGGAGAGGCTTGGCAAATTGGAGTCGATCACGTGTGTTTTGTCATCATCCTCGGATGCCGCGTGGTCCGGCGAAGAGGACGTTGCGCCACTGGATGAGGTACTCTTCACGATCGTTGGACTGCTTGAGTTAGAGCGCGGAACATTCCATTTCTTGGGTTCATTTTCTCAGAAACTTCAGAAGGAAACAACTGAGAGAACAAGTTATTTGCAGCGAAGAAGATGAAATATTTTGACCCTTAATTGAGGGCTCCTCCTCGTCCACGCGCGGTGGGAACACCCGTGGCACCAGATTGTGCTGCGTGGCGGAAGGGGAAAACGCGCCGAATTTGGGTGTACTATCCTCGACCCTCTGCGAGGTGCTCAGCGGACCACCTGCACTCTGGGCAGATTGCGTCGTGTTCAGAATTCCGGATTGATGCTCCGTACTACTAGAAATAGAAGTACCCATCTGCTGCAACAACATCGTACTGGTCTGCAAAACCTTAGTTGTAGTAGGTGCAGCATGATTGCCTAAGAAACTTGAATTTGTCCCACCATTCGAAGCATTACTCTCTCCAGCTCCTCCTACGACGTTTGTATCCGTCATGATTGTCGAATGCCCTAGAGCATTGTCCTGATCATCAATATAGTGTTTAGGCGTCTGCTGCTCGCCAGGAGGGTCTTCTCTCCTCGTCTCCTTGGCCTGCTCCTCGATACCGTTTCGGTTCATCATGGTCGTTGGTATGCCTGCACCTTTGCCCGTCGTATCAACAAAGGCAGCAACGCTTTCGCAAACCTCTCGTCCGGTAGACGGAATACCATGTCCGTTTGCACGTGGTTGATTTTCTTCACTACAAGAAAAAAGTGTTGTATCAACATGTTGATAGGACGAGACTTGTTGCTTCGGCGATCCTGTTGCAAGCTCGGTTTGAGGATGTCCGACGACGAAAAGGTTTTCGCCCGTGATCACGACGTCTGTACACATTTCACCTGCGTCTTCATCCGAGAGGCGCTTCACACCACCAGTGCTCAGAATAAGAGAGTTAAAAGTAGTACGTCCAGTATTCATCAAGGGGTCCACAGTGGAAGAGACCTGCTTCAATCCGGCTGCTCCAAGGTAATTGTTACTTTGTGGAGGATGAGACATCGCGACTGCTTTGAAGTGCTGGTCGACCACGTCCACGTCTTCCGGGCTCGTCGTTTTTTTGCTCGTCGTAGGCGTATTTTTCGCGCCATCCCCAGCACTATCGGAAAATGGGGTAGAGGACGCACGGTTGGACTCGACCGACTGGCTCGTTACCATTTCTGCGGAAGAACTCTCCTGCAATGTACTTCTGCGTTGTGGTTGGGCCTCAATGCTACGTTCATCGACCTCTACGTCCCCGCCGCCCTTCGATACTACCGATGCAGCAGACGCTCCACCTGGATCCACTCCATGGTGTAATCCATTCGTAAGGTCATCATGACCAGATGCTTGTTTGGAATTAACTTGTTCTGTATGCTGCTCCGCTTCATTAGATATTGTTGTTCCAGGTGTCGTGGCTTTTGGTGGACGCAGGTTGGCGATCAATCCTTGCTCAACACCGGACGTGTGATTACTGCGAAAAGTGTCGAAAGTCCCGCCTATACGGCTGCGCCTGTGATTTCCGCCTCCGTAATGGTTGCTCCAAGGTGGATAGGTGTTGTGACTATTTTGCAAATGCGTCGATCCGCTAGTACTACAGCTGGGCATCGGTACACTCTGGTGCGGAGGTGGGCTCTGGTGCGGAGCAAGCATAAGATCACCGCTCCCTCCGACGCGTCCATTGTAGGAAGCGCCCAGCGCAGGAACCGCAGTCGTGCTGGTGCCAGGTTGTAGTTGCATATTGCCGTTCATCAGATGGCCCCTCGTATTAGAGTTATACATAGTGCATAAAAACGTCTATAACAAACCTCCTTAGTCGCAGTACAAAAAGTGTTCATCTTCATTCATGATAATGATACAACAACCGGTAATATACTTGCTCCTTGCTTTTCACAACATGAGCATCAACAATTTTGCTGGCCTTAGCATATTGCTGGTTATGGTAATTCATCCCACCAGTATAGTTGCTTGGCCCCCCACCGCTGTTCTGAAAGGGATGAACAACTACGGTCGCTCGTCGTTGCACTGTTGAGTCTCGTGTTGAAGAAAATCGGCTCGAATCGTCACTCGGTGATGGGGATCCGCTTCGACGGGACATACGATTCAGAAGTGTGACTGCACGACGGTAACTGGGGTTGGTTCTCCCCATATCAACGCCCTCGTCTGACACCTCCGACGCGGAAGACCCCAACTCACTCGAGGAGCACGAGGACCCAGCCTCCATCGAAGACGACGCCGCGGACGAGCTGCTGCCTGACGACGCTAGGACCTCCTCTGACACCGCTTGTAACTGGGGACCGAAACTGCTGTTGCTGTTGACACGAGGCACAAACATCGGCCCCAACGTGCTTACGACCGACGCGATGCCACCGCCGGTTGTCGTTGTCGAGACCACTGCATTTGCTCCCCCCGAAAACGGTCGTGAAACAGCATTTGCTCCACCAGGGCCGCTGGCTGCGCTCACTCCCGCAGTGCCTGAACCCGACGTAACTCCTGACGGCGGCGACGCAGTTCCAGGCGGGCTCGCGGTATCTGTCGGCGTTACGACCACATGAATATTTGAATTCGTGTTCGGCACTCCGTTCGACGCTACAAAACCACGGCCTTGCTGTTGTTGTTTCACTTGCCCCATATTAGACGTCGGCTGCTGATCCCGCCCAACTCCAACGCCGTGATTGCCATTCGCTACCTGCTCAGACGTCCCGTGAGCCACTCTTGGAGTTCCACTTGCCCCCGCGGCCACAAAGCCTGCGTTTGTGCTCGTCGAAGCGACTGGCGGATTAAACGCGGTACTGCTTGACGCAAAAACGCTGTTGAGACTTCCTGGTGCCGCACCGTGGTTCACAAGGACAAGCTTACTGCCACGAGGCGTTGGAATCTGTTCCAGCAGCCGCATTCCCGGATTCGCGGTCGCGCTCTCGTATAGCGGGGAGCTTGTCGCAACGCTTTTCTCGGACAACCGCCGATTCGCACTGATAAGTAAGTATATATATATTATAAGATGGCAAAGAAAATTTCATTCGTCGACCTCGACTTCATTTTGCCTGTGAGGTTCAATTAAGGACAGCAACCTCTCAAGCTTATTATCATTAACGTGGTCGCGACTACAGCAATGAATGAACAAACGGATTTTTCGACACAACTTGACTTCTGCGCGACGAAGCACAAATCAATGTCAAAAATATCTATGAGTGCCTGTTCTCTGACGAGCGACGAAGCGAATAAGAGTGATCGCCACTCTGAAGGTCACCATTTTGCGACAGGTCCAGGTCCAAGTGTCTGCGGCAGCTGTCATCTAGTGACGACGCATCACTTTCTTCAGGCTCCAGTAACGACGCTGAAGAGCGCTGCTGCGAAACGCCGGCAACGCCGCCAGCGAAACTAGCGCGACTCCCAATCGTTCCAGCTGTTGTGACGCCGCCTGGCATTAAGGGGTGCTCTCCGCGATTGCGGCTTGGCTTCGTACCGCGGCCATCGAGTTGCTTGTTCTTGTAACTGCTAAAGAGGACCGTCCGGAGGCTCTTGCTCCGACCGCTTGCCACACTCTCGCGACCGCGTGTCGTGTGTGTGCTGCTCACTCCGGTGTTTCCGCTGAGCACAGTGTCCTTGCTGGATCGCGACCGTGTTCGCCGGTGCGTGCTAGCGCTACCCGCAAACTGCGTTGCTCCTGAAAATCGGGTATTATGTTTATGCATCGCGCCGTCTCCAAGATAGGCAGAGAGGTCTCCAGCGCTTCCGAAATTATGGAGAGTGTGATTGGTCCCGGATAAGCGTGCGCTGCGCTTGCTCGTCCTGCTCATATCATGATTCGCGAAATTGGCGCCACTGCTGCTACTACGCTTAGTTACCCCTGTCAGTACTGGGATACCCGAGCTACCGCGAACAAGTTGCGACGCCCGCAATGAGCCTCCGTAGAAGTTGTTGTGGTGCTCTTTCAGCAACAGCCTGGAAGAGGCAAGGGACGCAGACGAAGAGGTGGAGTGATAATTGTTATACGTTGAAGCACGTCGACTGCTTGTCCGTCTGCCACCATGCACGCTTTTCCGACCACCACCAATATTGGACGAAGGGTACACAACATCTTGTTCTCCCCGATGATTGATACCTCCATCAACATCTTCTCCGTCGTAGTAAAGATGTGACCTGTTCCACGAATCGGCCTTCATAGTGGTCCCCGGTGCGCTGGAATCGAAGCCCAGCGCTGAAGTACCCCTTCCATCACTGGGAATGCCTCGCGAGCCAACGCTGGTCTTGTTTCCTCCCGAGATCAGTGCGTGTGGCGGATAAAGCGGATGGTTCATGTCGTAAAAAAAGGTCGTTCCATGTCGACGCCTACTCCCCGCAGTTCCCATCAATCTGTCACGCTTCATCTCCCCTCCGCCTCCGCCACCTCGTAATGATGGCCGATGCCCAACATTTTTATCGCCTCCTGCGCTGCCTCCTGTTGACCCAGTCGTGTGGGTGACAGAACTTTGTGAAGGCACACCTGCATGCATCCAGAAACGTCCACTCTCGGAACCTGTTGTCGTGACCAAAACGGAGTCGGGATCGTCCGCCCTCCACTTGTATCTATCTTCGTCATCATTCTGGTGTAAGTTTCGAGACGGATCCCCACCGAGAGGATGATTTGCTCCCCCATTCGCTGTGCTTTGATGTTTCGACGAAGACGATCCGAAGAAATGGAAAATAGGAGATACTATAGCAGTTGGGCACAGGCCGGGATCGAAGAACAAGCAACTCAATAGGCGTGCGGGCGGCGCACACGTTACAGTCCACAAGTCCACGACGAATTCCTCTAGCACCTCTGATTCGTACAGCATCCATGGCAAGAACACGCCGAGGAGGATGCCGCTTAAATAGTGCTTCTCCAAGCACAAGCCTGCGACACAGAAGACCGATACGGCGGACGCGAATAGAATCGCGCGCGATCGCTCGGTGACTCCTAGGAGCTTCATTTCGTGCACCCAGACGCAAAGAACCAGGACAAAAACAAAGACATGCGTAGAATAGAGCCCTCCATCGCAGGCATACACCAGGTTGTCTAAGTTTAAAAACACGTAGTGCCATGTGGAGGAGGCAACGGCAACCATCGACTCAGTGAGAACAACCCCGTTCTGCAGTAGACTTTCGGCGGACGCCTCTGGGCCAATAGTCCAAAGCTTCAAGATGCCGCCAATCAAAACCTGTACGTAACTTGTAACTCTAATATTGCTGTCACCATGCGTACAAATACTGCACTGTCCTGTACTTATTTGCGCGGCAATATGATCGACAAAAAGAAGGCACAACTATCCAAGCTTAGAACGCATAAAATGATCATACCGCGAAGGCAACTAGTGTGTTCAAGTGCGTGACACGGTCCAGCTTTCCACCTGATAGGAGGCTCAACTGTGTTGCGAGAAGCATGACGAAAGGCAGCCCATCGTGATACGTGACGACTGCTTGACGTAACGCACGCTCCTTCAGTTTTTCTCTGCTCGTATCCTCCGATTTTTCGCTAGCATTATACTTTTGTGGCCGAGGCTCATCATGACCCCCCTGATCCTCTCGCTGCATCTGGCTGTTGTATTGTTGTGATGGAAGAGCAAGACTTGGGTCCCCGGTTGCAGCCGTTGCTTGATTCTCTGCTGTGGCAATACTACCTAAAGATGCAGTATTTCTACTTGCACCATTATTGAGATGATCGTCATTTCTCTGATCGTCTACGGTAGACCCGAAGGGCTGCAATCCCGCCCCTGCGCCGACGGTGATCCTTGATGTCGGCGACTTAACTTTGTCTGCGAGCTCTCCTGCCCGCTCATGGTTTGATGTTTCCCGTTGCTGCAAGAAAAAGAGGGGAACAGCTAGAGGCTTGCTCGTATCAAAGTCGCCTTGCCGTGTCCTGCTTCTTTCGTCTGATGAATCAAGAATAGATCCATCATCGGCTTGACGTTGCTTGTCGGAAGAGGAAAGGCTAGCACTGGAATCTTGCTCCTCCGGTTGAAGAAAAATCCGTCGCCACGTGGCTAGTATGTGGACATTGGTGCACACGGTGGCGAGATACACACTTAGCACGAAAAATACACCACTCCACACCACCACGCAGCATGACTTTCCCCCACGGGACGCCATCCGTGGCAGCAAGGTGATTAGAACCTCTATGCTACAACGTGATTAGAACCTATATGCTCCAACCAAACAACCCGTCAAGACAGGATACCATGCAACGATAAAGATGATGAACGATGGATATGCCAACGAACCATAGAAGGAAAGAGGAAAATCATCTTTGCATAACCACCAGCAAAACCATAATCAACCTTATCTCTAAATTAGAATCGACCGAGATAAAACTGAAGGAGTACGAACATATTATTCCATTATAAAAGCTTATCCAGTACAACACACAGAATCGATAAATTCAAATATTTTGTTTCTTAAAAAGTAGGCTACAGCATCAACATAGTTTTCGTTTAAACAGACAACAGACTTCAATCCTCTTCACTTTATAAACCTTCAACTGTAAGAATATATCACTCGCGACCTAAACTTTTGATTGTTCATCTGCGGACAGTGTGAGAATGAAATTGGTATAAAAGCCGTCGGGCTGGAACGATGCGAAATCAAGATGAGAGGGCCATAGACGTCCATGTAATAGACGCACTCGTATCCACCCTCGCATTGATGACACTCAGTGCACCTTTCCCTCTTTTCTCTCATCTTCTTCCCTGACTTGCAGTAAGCCTCACGAGGTACCGTTTATGTCACCGAGCATTAGCGGAAGATCCGGTGTGCATCTACTAGTAACCACCAAAATAACAGTCAGCGAGGATGCACCTGCACCGATCCGAACACCTCCTAGCAGTTTCTCCTTGACCGGCAGCATCAGATTGCAGCACCCGAAGGTCGGTCTCGGTCATTTGAGAAGCAGAAGTCTTCAGATGACTTCTCTACTCGAACATTAGAATAAAAAATAATGTATCTTGTCCAAACGGTTTTGTATTCAGGAGGCTGTCGTGAAAAAATTGATAGGAACTAGACGACCTCTACAACTAGCTACCTCCTTACTGTTTCATGTGCATCAATTGCAAAAAAACATTTTTGGTGGTGTATTTATGCTTATGATCTTCTAACAACAAATCTTCATCTTCCACCGGTATGCAGTTGTAGTTTTTGATCGTTGGACAACATCCTGCTTGACGTGTTTCAAAATATATTCTTGCAGGGGTCTGATCGGGGAAGATCAATGGTGAAGTAGTAAAGACCGCATGTCCCTCTGATCGTCTCATCACTGTGACTCCTTCACCTTTGGCATCCTCTGAGGTGATGGGGTATCTTCTTGTCGGTAAAAATCTTCTCGATCTCCCAGAATAGTGATGATCTTCACCGCACTTGTTGTGCAAGGCTATCGGCTGTAGGGAATCGACTCTACCGTCCAATATCGTCGTTCGCGCCTGGTGTGCAAAACAAATGTACTCATTCTTTAGTCCCCGCGAGCGAAGAAGTATCTTTGATGTAGTTGGCTCAAACTGAACAGTGATAAGCAAATCCATGCATATCTTCACTCTGTAACAACGTCTATTTTTCTTTAAAGCTATTCATTGTGCATCTACATGCGCATCCAAAAGATCAATAAGAGGGGAAACTTGCACACCTCCTCTACCTAGATATCTTGATTGAAGGGACTAACCTAGGATAAATATGAGGAAAAATGAACCTCCTCCACCTACAGATTAGGCTTAAGACCTTCAAAACAAAGAAAAACATTCTTCACGAGTAGACTCGAAGTACCTGCATGCCGATGCGTCGCAATCGAACCCGTCGTTTTCGCCCTTCCATGTATCTTCTCCGAACAGCTTTCCAATAACCGAGCCGTGTCGTCATTGCCCGCACCAGCCGAGTCTTTTTAACAACTTGTAAGGAAGTCCGTAGTCTCCCTTGACGTGCTCCGTAGAAATCTTCATCCCCGGAGCAGTTGCAGTTGGTAATACCTTGCCATCTTGAGAATCCTGGCCAGATTTCGCCTCTCTGGTCCCGCCTTGAATTTTTCAGCACTCGAAGTCGTGGGCGTCTACGAGTCACTCGTTTTGCTGTCAGGCTGCTGCTGCTACTACCCTTGCATTCAAGCGCAGGAACGAGGGACTTCCCGTGCGAATTCAGGACAAGGAGACTTGCGATTATCATCCTGCAAATTTCTGCGCTAACTGTCAACAGCTCGGCAACTACTATCCTCAGGGATGACTGGTGCAAGCTTTCGGCCTTCGCATTTCTGGGAACGAGAAACGGCCGAAGGTGCAACATGGGCTGGTGTTTTCTAGTAACGAAGTCTTTATGACTGCAAAAAGTGTCCATTTTTCTCGAAATATTTTGATCAATTCAAACTAATTGTATCAATCTTCACTGAGAGGAGTCAATGCAATACCTAGTCGTGCAATCAATGTACAATATCGCCGCCTTCTAAGTCATAAATTCTTGCTCACCACTCATAAAATCATCAATGGATCCTTTCAGATAATCAAAGTCGATTGAAACAACGCGGAGTAAGCGTGAGTACCCAACCCTGTCGCGTTGACTTCTCAATCAATCTGTTGCCTTTAAGAGACACCTCTATGTATTCTTGAGATGCTAGAATGGTCTTGGTTCTCCAGGCTACACGTCTTTCTTGTCCTCCCTAGGTCTAACTTCTAGATAGTGAGCCCTGTGATAGCAAAGATCATATAGATGATTAGCAAGATGACAAAGAAATTGTACACGATTAACAAGAAAATATCGAAATATTGCGACATTGGATCAAGGATGTGGAGATGAATTTCGAAAAAAATATGCAGCTATATGGAAATTGATTGATTCTATATTCATCTAAGCTACAGCAAGAAGACTGAGGAAAGTTCAATGCACAAAACTCTGTTCATGCCCTCTGTCTTCCTCTTCTAGAAGATTATATATTTATAAGGCTTACTAGATTAGCTTAGGTTAGCGTTAGCCGTTCAAGAGATATAGATCGATAATATCAAGGCTGCAAATGTATGATGTGTATAAAAGAGAGCCGCTAGTACTTCTACGTAATCATGTATCAGAATGAAACACATCAGATGCAAAATCAAGCTCAAAAACTTAGATAATCAGCATTTTCGATGCGCGAATAGGCTCGAATTGTTGTGTAATCTTTATCTTATCCACGACTACGAGGAACAAGACAACACCGTGCCACCTACCGCGCAGAGGGCGGCTAGGCGGCACGACGGTGCCCTAAGTAACTACAACTACTCACACATCATGGATAGAGGTAGACTATCATTTTCTTATCCGCAAGTAAATAGTTGAAAGCTGTAGAGAGATGGAGGGAGAGTGGAGGCCAGGGGAGGCCTGGGGGTGGGTCATGAGTGGGGCATGGGACAAGAACCTGAATCAAACATAAGTTCAGAAAGGCAAAACATTACTTTCGAAAAGCAATCAAACTCAGGAAAAAATGGTTTCAGATCGCAAGAAGAACAGACTTCTATCTCTCAGTCTCACGCAACAGACTCACAGTCTCTCTGTATATCTCTCTTTCTCACGACTCTCGCTCTCTCTCTACTTGCAGGTGAACTCCGGCGGAATTACACTCTTCAAACTGCTCCACCTCAGTCAGAACACAGATGTCTTCGATAATTTGACCACAGAGACTTATATCATGCACATCAGCACCAGCCTTGAATTATCATCCCCGCAAGATCTCTCCAGGCATTATCATCCTCTCCTTTTTGGCTTCACATGACGTTAGTACACTCACACAAAAGCGCCCTCTCAGACACTCTGAGATTCTGATGGAAAAGCCTAGACTCTCATACAATACAATACAATACAATTTATCTCGCTTTTTTTTTTTTGTATCGTGAGCGAGTTAAGATAAATCAAAACCTACCTGCGTATTTTGCAAGCGAGTCCCGATAAGTCAAAACCTGCCGACATATTTTCCGCGTAGCTACCGGCGTAGGGGGGAGTTCTTAATCTCCTTAACAAACTACGCTACTGCCCCTACGATTTACAATGATCAAGAACTAGGAGCAAAGGCAGGAGCAATTACATACCTAGTACCTGCCACCCGGGGCGTTGCCCGTCTCCCCATTACGCGCCTATGTTGAATGCTACGTTTGGGCGGCGGAGCGCTGTCCGCTTAATCAAATCAAATATTTACACAATGGCCCTAGGTGGATCTGCGCGGCATCTCGCACAAAGTTCAGTGCAGACTGCCACAAGCACGACAATGCTCTGAGCCAGATCGTCAACAGTCTTCATCGCTGAACACGTCTTGTATGATTTTTTGCAGTAGGCCGGTCGTGATCATTACTCTCCAAATTTCCTGATGATTCCTTAATCTGTATCTTCTATCACTAGGTCTACACGAAACTATACTGCAAATTCAGTCTTCTGGTCGTGGTTGTGCGCATGATCGTCGATTTGGTATACACATTAATTTCTGTGCCGATCTTGACATCTTCTTCTATGCACCAACATCTTTCTGGCACACCAAGCGTTCGATTTAGGATTTCTATAGACTTGAAATAGCGAAACTTTCATTGATTCTCTTTGTCTTACGGTAAATAATTGTCGATTAAGCTTATGATTGGTAAGTGTAGGTGTAAAAACTTCTCTGCTTCTCCTTGCGGCCTCAATACTGCTGTCGCAGGTGAACAACTTGAGAGCGATTTTTTTTCGTCACCCCATCGTCCTCTTTTACGGTACTATCCTAGCTATTTTATTCACATACAACTACTACTAGTAACTGAGGATCCGTACTAGAATTTTAACCTTCAGTCAAATCGTCATTGAAGTAGATGTGAAGTGTGACGATGTGATCGTCAGGATCCATGCCCAGGTCAAGAAATTCGAGGTCTTGATCCACGATGCCGTTCTCGACAAGAGTTTTCCCTAACTCCAAAGGCCGACCGAGCATCTTCCACGTGTACGACTGGGCGTGAAAATTATGGACTTCAAGATACCTGGACGTATTCGGTGGACGATGAAGTTCAGAACAGAGTAAGTAGTAAACACTCAGTCACTTTAGTCTTGCTGAGAAATGAATCAAGAAGTGGGATTGAATTTTCGAAGATGAGAAAAACAAAACAAGTTTTGACGTGATCCTTGGCCGGCAATACTCTAGTTAAGTATACCCACCTCCTAGACATGAACATAACTACACTTTCAGTCTTTGCGAGATGAAGATAAATAATGGGTACCTTTCCTCTATTTCCCCCAACGTTTCTTCACTAGGCACCTCCATCAGCACACTTTGCTTTGACAGAAGATTCATCACGTAGATTTTCCGTGTTTTTGCCGTCAGTGTTCCGATACAATATTTCGCGTCTCTCCACCAAGGGCTTTTTATTCCTGGTGCAGTAAAAGAAGGTACGAAATTGTTAAGGAAGTACAAAATAATTATAGGCACACTGCCACAAAGGTTAGGAATAGGTAACAGGACATGATGCGGACAACGCTTCACAGCATCTGCACCCTATAATGATAATAATAGGAGCTTAGTTGACTAGAAGCGAGTACTAGAAAGCAGTGAACAATGGAACCAATCACAAGGTATCTAAAATTGCAGTTCAATACTCGTATCGAAGCCTGGCTCGGGGACCTCTGGTGGCACGTGAAGATATCTGCCCTGCGGACAATAGACCTCTTTCAGGTTCGTAACTGACGTTTTTCGTGGAAAACGAAAATTTAAAAAAAAATGCATGCTCATTGTTGTCATTCGTAACACATTAGGCACTGTTGCGGATGTTGAATTTACTACCATGACTACCTTCATGCATGGAGTAAAAAAATTTCATGCAGCTTATTTTTTTCATATTGAGATGCTTTAGTTTTACATGCAGATCCAAAAATAGAACATTCCATAAATAAATGCCAAGAGGTACATGGACTCGTGTGCGTTCTGGGGTCCCGTGTCTCTGGATCGAACCAATGTGTGATGTCCGTTCCCGATGCTGCTAATATTGGCTGACTCAAAGGATCTGGTGGGATTTAGAATCATTCCTACATTGATTTGCAAAGTAAAAAACGCGGAAAGAGAAACTGTTGAGAATATCATCCGACACCAGTGGAGGACAGTATTAGTAGTAGTTTACCCATTCCCGGGGACACATGATAACTACATATTGATTCCAAGCAAGACACAAATCACCCGCATCTTCATCTTCTGCGGTTGACCCTTAGAAGTTAGTACCTTTCTTATAGTCCTCAAGCAGTGGCGCCAAGTCGTAGACTTTTGAAAAATAGCTGTGCCATCGATGCTCCACTACCTCTTTTTGCGTGTAGTATCGCCGTTTCTTATACGGCTTGGGCAAATTGCCCTTAGATGACGAAGCCATTTTTTTGCGATCAATCTGCACCCCTTCTAGCGCATGATCTTTTACAATTGTTTAAACAGGAAGACTTTCCTGATGTTTCATTTTTCGGTGGGATAGCGGTCGTCGATGTAAAATATAACTGGAAAACGAATCGTTGGTTAACAGGTACGTAGTTTATGGTGGGTTTTCACAATGTCGGCTCTTTTCTTCCCTATATACAACAATACTTGAAACTACTAAACACTGAGACAGACACAACAAAGTCTGAGATCTTAGGACACGTAGGGGGTTCCGAGGAATGATGTCTTTAACAAGAGCACTGAGGGGGGTATTTTTTCTCCTGAAAAAACGAAAGTCAGTATTCCAAATTCCTTCTACTCCACTCGATGGCCCGGTCTCGATAATGTACGCGAACGATTGCATTAATTATGGACCGATGAGACGCAACACGTTCACCCGAAATCCCGACCTTTCCTCCATCCCTCACTCATGCTAAACTGCGATAATTAAAGGCCAACTTTTGAGTCTCTACTTTCTTGTTCTTACCCGACAAGGCGGCAACGCACAAGGATTTTCCTCAGACTTCAGGAGGGCTCGCTCAGATCAGGTTGCAATGTGCAACGATATCAAAAGAAGGAGAATTGGCCTCAACATACAAACTTGCGATCGTGGGGAGGAGAGGTATATTTTTGTCTGTGCAGTCCGAGGGAATCTCAAAGAAGGATGAGAGTCTTAAGTTCTATAGACCTGACACGAAATCGACGAAAAAGCTAAGAAATGGATGCGAAGAGGTTATTGGAAGGAACTTTCCATGGGGTCATCAACAGCGGCATTTTCGAAGATCCGGAGATCTCCAATACATAGAAGAAAGGTCCTCTGTTTACTAGATTGTAACTACTTACAAGCGGAGGAATAGGCATATAGGCGCATATAGGCAAATTATAGGAAGATGAAGTGTGAAGGGAAGTACTGTATGAGTCTAGGTTAGGTTAGGTTGGTGCCTACCATCCGATGTGGCAGGCATTAGCGGCTACTGAAGAGCCTGGCAAACATGCTAATCTAGATCGAAAACGCTACACTATGCTAGCTAAGGTAAAGAGTCTGAGGTAACCTTTGAGCAGGTAAGGAGTTCTAATTGGAGGAATTGAGAGAACAAAAGTGGGAAGAAGTAACGAAAAGAGAGAATCGCGAGGGAGGCGTTATAGGAAGCAAATGAAGTCGAATGGGTATACAAAGGAAAGCCTACAAATCAACAATTTGATCTTAATCGGACAAACTAAAACGATTTCGCAAATTAGTACTGTACAGTTCTGTTCGGGCGGTCTTCACCGTAGGGTGCTCTTGCGCGCCTCTCTAGTCTCGGAAACATTTGATTCGCCTGTTGCTCTATGCCAATAACGACATGAGAGCTGCGTTCCCACTTCAGAAATAGGATGAGGGACCACTCTATTGGCTCTATTCAGTCAATCAATCAGGGTGCCTCCACAGGGCACCTTTTTTTTTTTTTTGTAGTCCAAGAACGCCGGAAGGGTGATCCCAGTGTTGTCCGGTGTACTTGCCTGCACCGACCTCCCCGCAGCTGCGACTGCCGCGCCCCTACGTCCAGCTTATATATATTTCTTCTAGTCTCGAAGGAATAATCAGGAGTTCTTTGGCTCGGACGAGGAGAAGAAGATCTTTGGAGCTTAGTATGACAAGGAGTAGGGCCCACCTGGCAGCTCCCAGAATCAATGTCAGCTACTTCTAAGTTGACCAACAAGAATGACGGAATGAAAAAAAAACGTTTACTTTTATTGAGTAGAAAACGAAACGACTGGGACCAGCGACATTGCATAGTGGGTTGTACTCTATGCTTTGTTTCGGGACGAACCACTTACTACGTATTCACGTCTGTGCAGCACTGATAAATCATACATGAAGATGAAGAGTTCTTAGGAAGTGATAGACGAGTAAGACGCTAGGTGGGCAATCGACACATCAGCTAGCACATAGTTCTAGTTACAGTTAGAAACAAGCTGTAATAATTATAATGTTGATTGAAGTCAAGCTGTAATAAAAAGAATAACAATTTATTATTGATGTATCATCAGTAAGCACTTAGAAGTAACAAATCAAGAAGATCTGAGCCACGATGAGAAAAAAGAGGAAACCGTCGAAATTATAATTCGTCAATCATGTCTAGAAATTATGATCCAACCAATTAAGGAACCACGAATACGCCGCAGCCATACAACGTCGCCCTAATACCACGAACTTGCCGTTACTCAGGAGCTACTTCAAAACAGGCTACAATTTCTACTGGTTTGTAGCGGTTGAAGAAATTGTAAATCATACAATCTGTATTTCGTCGTGGAAAACGAGGGAAACGTACAACCACCTACATAAAACGCTCTTCTAGAAACCCTGCCCGTACTTGCGGAGCATGATACTATGGACATCTCCCTACGTTTTGATTGCTGATGCTAGAAGTAGAGGCTTCGTTTCGACACTACCCTCGACGACTGCATGGGCACGGCCTCGTTGCAGCGATACCGCTGCAAGGACCGATGAGCGGCCTATGCAGCCGTTGGATCGTGTGATGGCCGTGATCGCTTGTAGTCGTCCTCGTATGATGCTAAATCATACCACTGCACAGGGCTTGATTTATCTGCCAGTAAACTCAGAGCGTGTGCGTGATGAGAGCGCAGAAAATTGCACTGTGGAGGCGATACCTCTTCGACAAGAGTCGCAACATGCTGTTGTGCACCAACACAAACGTGCTCGTCCGCACTTAATCTATACTATAACAGGAAGCCAGACAAACGACTAGAGACGTGATCCCGGTGAACTATTGTAACGAAGAACAGGCAAGAAGAACAAACGAAGGGACAAACACTTTGTTGAGTTTAATTTGATGTAACTAGACCGAACTACAGTGGAACAACAGGAGGAAAACAGCGGCTTACTGTTTTAGACTTACTTAACTTCTTCGATACGAAGTTGTCGGAGTCGGAGTGTATCAAATTGTAGATTTAGTACTAGTATCGAATGTATAAAGTATATATAATTTTGTGTATCTTCAGCAAAGATTAGGCGTCATCTTCGTCCAGCCACTGTATCCCAGCACGATCTCCCCATTTGAGGCGCAAAAGTGCGTTGACTTTCGCCTTCCGCCAGTCTGCCTCTTCATCGCCGGTAGCGGGTTGCGCTAAGTGGTGAGCACGCAAGGATACTTTCTCGGGCCTGCAGAGCAGCGCGTCGCGACTATTGACTAGAACCAAGTCCACACCTGATTCGCTCGCAACACTCCCTGCATCGCTAGCGTCATCCTTTTCGTCTTGCACATTAGACAAAGTAAATCTAAATTGAGAGTACTTAACTACATCTCGTCCCGCCTCGCTTATCAAAATGTTCCCAGGACGTTTATTTTTTCATAATATCACCCGATCCAAGAGACTCGTCCTTCGCATAGAGGACCGAATATTTGTCGTTTGTTTCTTGCAGCACCCAAACCGGCATGATAGGGTTCTTCAAATAGTCGCCGACTTCGCAGAATTTTGAGAGGAATCCGACGTACGACCGTTTCTCAACGCCCAGTTGTGTCGCGGCACCCGCTTGACCGTCCCCATCTGCTATGGCTTGTAGGCTCTTACTCTTCGCAGCAGCGCCACTCCCAGAACTCGTCCCTGATGTGGATCCAGAAAGGCCTCCCGTGAACCCTGTGGAGCCACCCTCCCGTTTTCCATCGAAGCAGAAAGGCGCAGGACTGCCAGTCAGCAACAGGTTCGTCAATGCAGCGCCGTCGCATGCACCTTTACCCAATATCGCTTGTGCTGCTTCGATTCCATGCCTGCCAGTGGACAAACAAAAACAAATATTAACATTACGGTCACATGCTGCGCCAAGAAAGAGTACTCAGGCATAGGCACACGAATTCACCTATCGTGTCCAAAGGAATGAAAATGAATCTAACGACTACCCACGGCACAGTAGAGTAGACTAGTCAAGTATCCCATCATCTAATTTTGTACGTCAAAAGAGCTGAGAGCACGAGTTTTTCGGTGGTGAAATCGTCTGCAATAGGTAGTGGGTCTTTGGCATCATACTCCCGAAAAAACATGGCATTGGTTGGGAAACTTACACTTTTCCCCTCGTCTTCACTGCAGCTTTGTGTGAGGCAGACACGGGTGGCCTCCGCCAGCAGCTTTGTCCTCTCTTCTTCCGATGCACCTGGAGAAATTTTGTGCTTCATTGAACCGTGTGGGGACTCAAAGAAAAGCATGAGAGATGTTATGGTTGAAAGATGTCCTAGTTGTCCGGTATCGATCAGATGTGGTAGGCAAAGAAAATGATCGTTCTGTCTCTATCTCTAACATCAAAGATACTGGGTATAGGAAGTACTTTCCGCCCACGCTTCGGGATCCTTTTTCCATCGCGTCGAAAGCAGAGTAGCAATCACAAATGCTTGTAAACACGCTGTAATGGAGTCGTCACCGGAGAGTCGGAAATCGTCCTCCTCGATGATCAGGTCTAAATCCTCACTTGGAGGAATATTGAAGAGGCTGTAAACCGATGAAGGTATTTCTTGGAGTCCCGTTTTCAGTGGTGCCTCTTTTACTCGACCACCAGCGTCTGTGGTCTTGCTTGTCGCAGCAGTTGGTTCTTGTCCAGGTGCTTCTCCAACCTTGTTCTCAGCAGCAGCGGCAAGTAAGCCCTGACTATCATTTTGAGGTGATTTCGGGCTCTCTTCAGCGTCGTCATCATCTGCTGCGAATATGTTCTCGAAGTCTATGATCGCAGGAGATTTTACAGCTGCATTGCCGGAAGATGTGTCTAAGCCTATTCTCAACGCGTCGTCATCCTCATCTTCCTCAACGATGATGTCCTCCTCGATTTCCGGACTTGGAGGACCATCGCTTTCAAAATCGTCCTCAAAATCCTCATTAGACGACGCGTCAGACGCTTTCTTTTCCGCTTGAGAAATTGGCGGAGCGATCGTCACAGCAGCTACAGGCGACAAAGTCGTGGCTGCCTCATTCTTTTTACTGAGATCTTTATCATCATCAATATCACTCGTATGTCTCTGCATTTGCGACGCATCATCTTGTTCTACCTCATCATCATCGTCAAATTTTTCTACCGCAGATATAACGTCCTTGGCCTCGTCGTCTCTGAGGAATGGGTCTTCATCGGCGTCATCTTCTAGTTTTGATGTGATTGTGTTCTTTCCTGTTTTTTCTTCTTCATCGTCGTCTAATCTTGTAAGGAAAAAGTTGTTTGGTCCCGGCGATCGTGGAGAAGAGGTCGCTGTCTTTGACACTGCATTTGTTCTATGGTCTTTATCATCTTGCACATCGTCAGGTGCATCTTTTTTTACTTTTAAAGCATTCTCGACCTCATCTCTTCCTGATTGTTTTTCATTGTCGCTGTTGTTGATAAGCACATAGTCCTCTGGTTCGTCAAGCATATCTGAACTCACGTCAGAGCACACAGCCACCGAAGGTCCCTGCTTACTTGCTAGTGTCACCACTTCGAATACGCTTCCCTTTGGTTTTTTTACTTCACTTGGCTCAATCTCCTTGTCCATCTGCTCGTCCGCACCCTCTACATGATCTATGTCCTCGACGTGACCTTCTACAACTTCATTAGTTTTTTCTATTATGTCCGCATCGGTATTTTCTGCTACAACTACTGCGCTCTCATCCGCACCAAGAGGTGCCTCATCAATTTCATCTGGTACTCCAAGAGGCGTGGATACGGGGTCTGCATCGACGACCTTGAAAGTTGGAGGTGACCCCGTAATTGCATCATCTGTGCCATCAATTGACAGTGCCGCCGTGACCGCCTTGGGTTGCACCACCTTGTTTTGCACCAGGTCAGGCGTGCCGGGCGTCGTCGTGCTGGCGCTCGCTCCACCAGGACCTAGAGCTGCGTCACGTGAGGAATCGGAAAAATCTCCACTACCTAGTCGCTGAAAAAAACCTGACGTCTTCAAAGCTGCTGAGCCCAGAGGTGGCAAGTCGCGCAACTTGTCTCCGCCGCCCCGCTGCAGCGGCGGCAGGGCACCAAGCAGCGGCTTCGCGCCGCGTGGTGGTGGAACAAAAGCATTCGCGGATGCGACGTTAACCGGAGCACCTCCCTCAACCTTGTCCGCTGTACCCTTTTCCTCAGTTGTTGAATCCATTGCGGGTTCCTCTGTGGTACTTCTCTCTGGCTCCACATCAGCAGCTTGATGATCATGATCTACATCGACTACATCCTTAGCATTACTTCGTGCCGCACCGTCAACGTCAACATCAGATGCAGCCGAAGTGTCTACCTTCTGGTTCGACGCTGTCGACTCCTTACTCGTAGTGCTCTCCTTGCTTAAACTGTTCAAATGATGTGGCATACCAATGCCTGCTTTGGAACTGGCATTTATCAATTCCAACTGTGCAGTGCGAGTTGGCGGGTTCGTAGTCAACAGATTTTCAGCAAACGATACGAATTAGAGGTCCACTGATATAAACACGTCGTCTACCTCTTGATATAAACATTGGGCTACGATCATGCATATCAGCTAGTCGGAACTATTTTTGCAAAAGCAAAGATACATAGAATCAGATACAGACTAAGCTTCTGCTGCTTGCAATGGAGCTTGAGAGTCTTTCTCATTAGACTTGGCACAAAGACCGTCACATCATAATTTTCCGAGAAGACAGGGCTGCCTTGGCTGGACCCCTTTGGGCTGCGGCGCATGCTGAAGAGCGGGTCACGGCTGTCCAGTGCACCGCGAGTCTCACTTCCAGGTGCGGCGGCGCTGTTCGTGAATGCGTGGTAACCGCTATGCGCTCCCATCGGCGTCACCTGCGAAGTCACATCACTCCCTTCAATAGGTGAACTCGTCACTGCATCGGAATGATTTAGAGGAGCCTAGAGTTGAAGCTATTGGTATTCAAATTCAGAGTAAAAATAAGGATAATAGCAGATGCGCGTTTTTAAAGGCACGATGAATTATTATGATTGTACAATGAGATCACATTTGTAGTAAGGTAGTACATGAAGAATTTTAAAGTATTCACGTCTCAAAATGTTGCCACTTTTGACATCCACTGGACCTCTAGTGAAGTGCGTCGTTCTACCATTCTTTACAGGGCTGAAGTTGAAGATGTGCTCTCGACATAATAGACTCAAACGGTTGCGGGCAAGCTTGTGGTTTGAGCTGTTGTTTACCAGTTGCATGTTGCTGCCATTATTTGCGGACTCAATGGAGGCGGGGCCTGAAGCTGCGATGCTAGACGTTCCAGGTAGCGGCTGGGACAGGCTACTGCTGTTCAGGGGGCTCGACGAACTGGAGGTGACAAGGTTGAGCGGCGTGGAGGAGCAAGAGTTCGGGAGCGGTCCGTCTTTCGAATTGCACTGCGTGCGCGTGGAAATTGTACTGTTATCCATAAGCGTAGTGCTAGCCGGGGTGCTAATCAAAGTTGTGCTGTTGTTGTTCGTGAAATTGAGGGGTGTGCTGGCATCGATTGGCGTGCTGACCGAATTATTGAGCGACGTGAAGCCACTGTGCTGCAAATTTAGCATTGTCGTGTTACCGGCCACAGCGTTGTGCGTTCCTGGCCATGCAGGCTGTTTGCTATTGGTATTCGTCCCTGCACCAGTGCCGCACACGCCAGAGCGCAACTTCGCGAGAAGTCCGCGTACTTGCCGACGATCCGAGGCTCGCAGGTAATCGGGGTACTTTTTACGCAAAAACTTCTCTAGGGCCGCTACGCCTGTATCGTCGCTCGCGCGCGCTAGAGACGCTTGCGGCACCACGATGCTGTGGTGGTATCGAGCTTCCGCAGTTGATCCCATTGTGCTCATCTTGACTATCGCGGTTTTGCCGCTTGCGGCACCATCACCCGCGACCGGCGTTCTGCAGTACTCCACGACCAGTGTCGGAGGCGCATACTGGAGGGCAAAGCGCAAGGGCTGGATTGCACCTCGCGTTGAAGTGGAGAAGGACGAACTATTGCTCACGCTGCGATCAAGAGGACCACCTAAGATTAGCCGCGCCTCTTGCAACACAAAAGCAGAAGACGCGCTCCCGTTGTTCCTGGAATCACCACCTTGCAACATCTTTTTCCTCATGCAAACTAGAAAAGAAAAGATTATACACACTTATAACAAAAAACAAACGAAACGAATGAATCATACAACATCTGAATTATAGTCTAAACAGCCAGCTTGTGCCTTATTAAACACTCTTGAAGAGAGTGTACCATATCTATAAATATATTGCAACATGTTCGGAAACTGAAAGAATGAAGAGACTAGTCGTTAAATACATGAAATGTCGTGTTGTGAATATCCAAGATATCAACCAGCCCTTGCGTACTCAAACTCAGTATATCTCGCTTGCTTCCAAAACTGAATCGAAACACACAAAAATCGCCGCTAATATCCAACGACTAGTGCGTTTGTAGGGTTTTGTAAATGGTAATTGCATAAGTCATTTCCTTTTCGACGGCCTTCCAATTTTTTTCTCTCCTCATCTAGAACATTGTGCGGGAGCAACCTATTTTTCGAAAAGATACTCTAATACCAATCCATCTCCCAGCATCTAATCGAATAAGTGACAAGATGAGGGAAACAAACGCTCATGTTTATGTTGTACAAAATCAAAATACAACAATATTAGTGCTCTTCTATAAAACGTGTCTATGTCAATTATATGTTTCAACTCATGCCTGACATGCGATAAAATGAAACCAGGTGCCTGCCAATATATACAGCATCAGTAATATTCTCAAGGAGCCCGCTGACAGCTCAAGGCCTCGCCGTAGTTCTCCACACATTTAGAATAATTTTCGCTCTCCTAATACTCTTTCACTCTTGGGGACACACCAGCTGTTTAGAACACTACAGTTGTAGTTGGGACGACGCTGTCTCATAGATTTCAATGTCTCCTGATTTCTCGTTGGCGGCAACTTTGGCTCCCATCAAGTATTCTACAAACGAACTTAAATAGTACAAGTGCGCAAAAAGACATGAGAGACATCATCACCGAACACAATATTGACATGACAGACTACGTAATCGACCGTAGCGGTCAAACTAACACTATTTATTAAGAGAGACTATAGTCGAAAAATTTTCACACATGTTACTTACTCACGCAGAACCTTACCTATTCCCCACTGGACGTCGTTTACCGTAAGAAAATTTCGTGGATAAAACGATCAATCATGATATTATGATCATGCAGCGCGAGACGATGCAAGGAATTATCTTTATGATATAATTGGTTGTACAAATTATTCACAAGTACTTATCCGAATCCGCAATTGATGTGAGCGCAGAAATTGAGTCTCCCAAGATGGAAAAACAAACGGATGGTGTAAGGTGTGGAACTCAAGATCCCCAACCAGATGCCCACGATCCGAAAGACCGCCAACCAGACGCTTTTTCGCCAGATTTTGTCCTTGGTCGCGTTCCGCTGCGCCGGTAATTTAGTGCCGTGTCTGCCGCTGGGGCTCCCCCTGAGTCGCCTTGTTGTCTTTCCGGCGCTTGTTGACCTTCCGTTGGCGATGAGATCGACACGGAATTTCCACCTCCACCAGCGCTGCTACGTTTAAGAGCGCGATCGATTGCCGCCGCGTAACTACCGTCATGATGGGTCTTGCGCTCGAAGGTCTGCCCGCCGGAAATTTGCAGCAACGCTGCCGCCCGATCCTCCTCGGCAAAGGTGTCTGGCTGCGTAGTCAAAGCACAACTGGCTGAACCGGGTACTCCTACGACGTTACTTGTTGCTGGATCTCGAGACGTACTACCCGATGCCTGCGGTCCGAGAGAAGTCGATCCGTTACTCTGGTGATTCCGCGCATCGCTGCTGGAGCTTGTGCCGAGCGAGGAGTAAAAGCTTTTGAGATACGCGTCTGCGGAAGCACCAAAGTCAGGCGCAGGACTGCTCAAAGGACGGTGACTCTCTGCGACAGCTGCTACACCAGGATAAGACGAAAGCCCGCCTGCACGTGCTGTCGTTGCGGGACTCGTCACGTCGCCCGCGGCTGTCGCCAATTGCTTGCTATCTGATCTGCGGTCACTTGTAGCACTGCTACAACTAAACTCGTCCAGCTTCTCTCGTCGCGGCGTCTGTGCGAAACTCGGCAAATCAGCAGCAACGCTTGGCGTCACTGCGTGAAAGCTCATGTTGGCGTGCATGGACGACGTCGCACTGCTTGGGAGGAAAGGATATGCTGAGGACTGCTGTTGGTTCGGTTCGGATGACGGCAGACTTGTGGACGGATCCAAACCGCTGAAGTTGAGTCCAGTCCCTCCTCCATAACTTGCGCCCACTTTGCTCCCGGACGATGATGAAGAGGATGAGCCGGTTTGCAGTCGAGAGAAGTCCGACGCGGACGACGATGGCGGATCACTTGATGCCGGTGCGACGTCTCCTCCTGTTGTTGAGGACGCTGCAGCAGCTATTGAGCTGTTAATGTTTTCGAACAAAGCAGACCACCAGACTCCGAAGACATCTCCTCCATTTGATGATCTGCTTTGTTCAGCGGTGTGCGCCAAAGTACCTGCTGATGGCGCGGCCATCATGTTGTTTCTTCTTTGAATAAGGTTGCGCTCCTGTGCCAGCCGCCTCCAAGCGTCTACACCGACTTCCTCTTCGGAGGTCTGGGCCCGCGTTGACGCGCTGTCAGCACTTTGCGCATCTCTACCCAGATGCCCCAACTTGCCAAATATGCGCTCAGCAACTTCCCGCCCTGCAAAGTCGTCTGACGCGGTAGCAGCTACGGATGATTGTATACCTGTTAGTTTCGAAAGTGTTAGGTAGATGAAACACTCACACCTGTTAGTTTTGGAAAGAAACAACATGGACATGAACATTAGTGGCAGATGCATGCTATCGAACCATACAGAGTAAAAAGTACTAGACACATCCGTGATCGTCATGCCCACTTTCTTGCATCTTTTCCGCGTAAAAATCACAAATCCACAAATTTAAGTAAAATGATAACCTCGCTTCGCGATTTTAGCGGTAACAGAAGCTGGGGCAACGCTGCGATCAGAAACTCCTGCATTTGTATTCACGCCGGATCCAAGCGGTGCCGAACCATTCGCGTTCACGGCTACTGGGGCCGTTGATCTCGTACTCGTTGCATCACAGCCTGTGTCGCCACATATCATGCACTTCTGCAATTTCTGCGAGCACGGAGGACAACAAACAAAGTCCACGTAGTTTGTTTGGAGTCGGCTTTTGCAGTACTCGCACGTCATTGTCTTGGATATGCCCTTCATACGACGGTCAGAGCTATCGTGTTTCGGACAAAAGTACGCTGTTTTCGCATTTTGTTTGCCGTAATACCTGTTGTGTTCGGAAAAAATTATTCAAACGAAATTGGATTTTCCCGAACTTAGTAGCATGCCCTCCTGTCTGCTTGATAACTCTTCGTTCTAAAAACGTGGCTTACCGAGATCGAAAATCAAAAAATCGACTTGAACTTGTAGGCACGGGTGTTGTACTAATACAGCATCTTCTTTGCCTCCTCTTCGCGCTTTGCCGCTGCTGCATCGTCTTCTGCCTCCTGTGAGCCGGCGCCCATCGCATTGCGCATCGCCTGCACCGCATCGATACCAACCTCAAATGATATCCGTTCAATACTGAAACTTACAGTCCCGAGCCAGTTTACTTGGATGCTAACGTCTCCTATAGCCCCTGTAGTGATGTATTATCAAACACTTGATAAACGTGCGACAATAACTCCTATGAAAATGGCTTACGGAAAATGATGCGCCTTCGTGCTGTCGTAGCGAGTCGTGCTAACAGATGGCCGGACTACCATCATTCACGACGCGAAACCAGGACCGTGTTGCTTCATCCGTAACCCCATAAGAAGTGGCGGAACTCAACTCATACCGTTATCATCTAGTTACTTCATCGATATTATGATACATTTCTTTTCTACTTTTTGGAGTACCATCTTTGAAGTAGAGAGGACTCTGGCACTCCTTCAGGTCTTCGTTTATGTCGTCAACCTTCAGCCTCAAATTCTTGAATTCTCCCGGCTCCGCGCGCTCGAGCCCAGTTACGTAGGTCCCAAACCACTCCTTGAGCACATAGCGCAACGCATCCGACGCCATCTTATTGCTCGTTACAAAAAGTCTGTCCAAATATTTTTTTACACCACGATGGAGGTACTTATTCTTACTCTTCCTCTCACACACACAACAAAAATCTTTTGGAGGACATACTGGCACCCGTGAATTATGAACAACTACTCAATAACATCTTCAACCAGAGTAGTTGTGGCAGAGTCATTTGATCTACTCAAGAGAGTCTAATCGAAGTAGATATAGGCAGATAGTAGGCAATTTACACGCCCACAGTGACAACGACTACAGTTTTAGACCTAACTTATATTTTCGACCGTCGCTTCTAAGGGAGTACTAGCAACAAAAGCAATTCACACGTTGTCACGTCAGACGTCAATCATACCCTACAGTTTTGCCTATGCAATGGGAAGATCCAAAGCTCACTCTGCCGTTACGCTCTAAGCTTTTTCCTTTGAACGTGCTCGGTCTTTACCGATATTCATTGTTTTCAGCACGTGGTCCTCTTCGTCCGTTTTGCGCGCCTTTTTCTTCCTTGTGACTTCATCAGATTCCAAGCCGCAGAATTTTTTTCTGACTTCCACGGATGAAAGACGCCATAGCTTCAGCGACAGGCTACAATGCCACCTGAGAACCACAATACATTATAGCAACAATAATAAGTCGACGAGCGCAGCCGACCGGCAGGCAGCACCTCCTCAAGGAGCAAAATAGAGAACACAATTTGTAGAACTCTACGTAAAGATGCCTCACCAATACTCAAATTGTGATTGGGTTCAGATTATATCATATGTGGACTTTGTGAACAAAAATAAAAGGAAATATGGCAGAGGTATCTCAATTAGCATGTGCTCAGGAGCTTCCTTCCTACTTGTCGTATGTCCGAAGGAAAGAGATGATCACACGAAGAAAAATACACTCATTCATGAACTACCATGAAAAGTCAAGTTGTAATGGTGTGTAGTTGGATTATGACATCGGGTTTTTGACGCCCATGCGCCTGCGACCTGATGTAGTTCTGTATCGGCGGTCAACTCTTAGTCCAAAATGCGCGTTTTTCGCAGAGTCTTTGCTCCGTTGTCATTTTCTCATCATTTGATGACTTGAATTCTTCTAATGCAATGCTCGTAGAAACATCTCATTTGGAAATGCGCTCTAATTTGGAAATCGAAGAAACTGTTTTTGAGAACTACTACTTAAGTGGCAGATGTAGAAAAAGATAGATTTTAAGCTAGCAATCTTAATTGAGTTAGCGTTAGTTATTTCTGTGGACTACTACACTAGAAGCTAGTACTTCTGATGCTTAGATGTAGAAATGTTGGGATCAGTTCCGATCGTGCTGCGGTTGGGGCCCGCAGGTGCTCCTGGTGAATTGAAGTTACTGAAATTTTAAATGATCAGATACTGTGTCCAACTCGGACCATGATGTAGTACAGTGTGTACCAGCACCAGAAAAGATTTTATACCTTGATTTTCAGACTTTTGTTCCTTGAAATCTCGATTATACATACGACCTTCTGTCAGGCGGACAACCGACTTCTTGTAGCACTAACCTTATATTTCAAAGGAGGACGTCTTATTGAACGCAAATTCAGTGCTTTTGCGAGATGATGAGAATACCTTAGTACTAGTAGTTGAAAGTTGAATAGTAGATGTAGCTGGTGTCTGAGTAGTTTTCATATTTTGCGTCAACTTATCATAACTGGAAGATTCACACGTCTCTCAGATAACTGCTGGCTCTTCCCTACAGACTGCACTTGATAGGCAGACGCTCCCCGATCATACAAGTTCCAGCTACTCAAACACAGAGTCTCTATACCAATAGGATCTTTTACCTTAAATACCTTCTTGCCTCCCCCCGTTCTGTTTGTTGCAATAGCCCGTGGTGAATTCACACTCTAAAAAAGATGATATTGCAATCAATTTTTTCATTTCATCGATCCAGCCCATAAAAAATATTGAATCGTAAACCCCTGTTGCTCTTTGTCCATATTCTAGCAACGCAGCTGCACTGCGTGAAATTTCTGTCAGCCCGACAATACAGACTCGGAAGCTACCGGCCCCATCCACTAGCGGCCGCGCCCGCTCTGGGAGAGAGATAAAACGACCACCAGATTACACCAATTTTGAAATTGGATCTTGATGAAGATGTTTTCAACACCTATAATTCATCCAGTTTTCAATCATTTCTCAGACATCATCTTCTCTTGGTGTCTATTGGGACAACAAGAGTACTAGAGAACCAGCTTGGAGGTTGCTGTCCTAAAAAAACTTTCTTATATAGCAACCAAGCAAAGGAAGTGAAAGAATACTGTGGCATCGTGACGAATTTCATGATTCCGATCGCCAGCAATACTGCTAGGATGAGGTGCCACAATTTGTAACCGGATCTAGCAGATTTCAGCTTCTTCTGCAATTCGATATTTTCGGTCTCCAGCTGCACAACGTATCCGACCAACTCATCATAGTTTTTCTGCACTTCGCCTCCTTCTGTGGTTGGTTTCAGAGGCAAAAGGAATTCGCGTTTTTTCATTTTTGCTCGAAGAAATTGCGCCGATCGGTTCAAAATGCAAATCTATGGATGAAAATACTTATGGTTTTCGTGCTGGCATTAGATTCTGATCTATACTAGAAAAGAACTAAGTGAGTAGCAAATCGTAGAATGAAAACATATAAATACTTCCTCCCTTCGCTCTCTCAACGACAGTGAGTCTGGCTTCTTTGATATCGGTCTTTGCTAGAGCTTCCCAGTCAGCCTTCGCCAAATTTGATGTTCTGTCTGCTGCAGCGGCCGTCGCCTGAGAGGTCAATCAAACTAAAACTTCTTCATCACCACTTTTTCGCAGACCGTATATCGCGTCATGGCCATCGAGGATAGACTCATATTTTCAAAAATATCAAACTCCGTCTGATTGTACTTCGTAGTCCAATTCCCTGAACCTCCTAGAGGTGTCTTCATGCCAATTTTTGGGAGAAATTATACCTGAACGAGAAATCGATGGTTCGAGAAGTCAACTGGGTGCGAGTCTGTCGGCTGAAGGCAAATTTGTACCGCTGTGGTATCTCCTGGTTTCAGCAACGCTGACGATGGTCGCACGAGGTAAGCGGACATGAAGGAGCAGGGGGGCAGACAGTGGAGAACAATCCTGCAAGTGGCTCACAACTTACGACCGTCGAGTTCTCGAACCCTTGATGTACTTTAATGTTGGACTTGGCATAGGAAAATGAGATAAGGCTACGTGTAGAGCTCCATCCCCCACTTTTTTGTGCTGCTTGCGAAAGTTATATTCAATCCTATGATCATTGTGATGCAGGACTTCCTTCTAGAAAGACTACTAAGCCTACTATGCATGTATGATGTAGGACAACTTCTAGCTGACTTGCATTTGATGATGAAGAAGAGAGCCCATAACTTTTGGTGCGGTGGTCTTCACCTTCCATGCTACAGGATTGCTTGAGACATTTCGGAGTCGCAGAGTTTGCTCTTCGCCGCCACTGCCGCCTGAAAATTCCAGTTGCTGTTTTGGTTCGAGAGCCAGAAGGGCGCTGAAGTCTGCCATCCTTTCTACTCTGACTTCTCGAGGACTGCACACTGCAACAAGCTTAAAACTATAGAAAGAATTTGAATTTCTTAGTACCCGCTTTATAAGCTTAGTATTTCTAGCAGCTACTTTTAAGAATCAGAAGGGTGAAAAGCGAGAAGGCGGGAAGTCGAAATAGTACTTCCCAGAATATGATGAATCTGAGTACTGACGCGTAGGCGTACTATGCGTCTTGATCATGGTAATATATGGTCGAAGCTATAAATCTACTGCTCAAGATTGATTTGACTGCCTAGTCACTCATCTGCCTAGTCACTCATGTAGGAACTGAAAAACTCCAAAAACGAAAAAAATATGCTTTTCGTTTCGTGCTTTCAGAAGACTCACGGTCATGCTTTCTGACTGTGGCTGTGGGTAAAACCATAATACAGGATAAAAGACTAAGTACCCCTTTAGTTACTAAAACCGAGATCTATCGATGGAATAGGTCGGTCGAATCTAAGCTTTATCAATAATGGGGAGAAGATCAAGGTACTACTAGAAAACTTTTCATTTTCCATCAAAATGTACTGATGCGTTTCTGCTCCACCTTAGAAGATACCCTCCCTCCATTTGCGATCGCTCTCTTCACAAGTTCCTAGAAGCCGCCCTTTCATTCACCTCCCTCCCTGAGCTGCGGTTCTTGTTCTTCAGAAGAAATCTTTATTATACCCTCTCATCTCACGGTCCAGTTTTCTGAAAAACACAATGACACCCGCGAAGCTCCTCGTCCTCTTCAAATCATCGACTTTTAAACACGTTTTAGGAAACAACGAGCGCAATCCATTCATGATCGCGACATCCTGTACTCATTGCGGAATTTGACACAAACAGATTCAGCATATGAGTAGCGTAAAAACAAACTACCAGCTCATCATCAAATGATTGGGATGTGGTCGTGTCCTTCGTCTCTTCGAGATATACAGCATTTCCCGAACAACCAAACAATCGGAAACTACCAATCAAAATCAATGCGTAATCAGTCTGTCAAACAAAAAGTCTGTTGAGTACTAACACGGCGGGTATCAGTTCTGTAACTATTTTGTGCATCTTGATGCCTGAAAAAAGCGGAAGCGGGCCTGGCTGAGAAAAAACGACAGGAAAGCATCACGCTACCTACAGTTCTTTCCACTTGTCACGAGTGTCGTTTATCTGAGCGTATACCTCGTAATCCAGAAGCACATCCTTGAGGTTGTCGACAGGGACAGCCTCACTCATGTATCTCATAGTATGGCCATCGCCGTCGTAACCGAGCTGCACCTGCTCCCACGACGTAAATCCAGCTACAGCTTAAAGCTAGTGGTTGTATCGAAGACCCATCATGGCAGGTGCACCAAAATGCTTCTACGCTTCCCTTGGAAGTACCAGACCTAGTATCTTTCTTAAATACTATCATGTGGTGATAATATACCAGTGGTATTTTTTTAATAAGAAGGAAAATGGACACTTGGACTCTGCATACATCCTAGCCTTAATCAAATTTTTCGTTTTCTACCAGCGGGCCAAGTAGCGCCTGTAAACACTTCGCGTTGTTCACGATCGTCATTCGCTTGCAGCCACGCTTGCCCACTATGAGGCGACCGCACACAGGACGAAAACTCTCGTCACTCAAACACAGCGTGCCCCACTTGTTGCGCGCAGCATTCCATATCAATGAAGAAAAATTTTGATATTCGTCCTATTTCTTCCAGGTAGCACCGACACCTCTGTCTGGGACTTTTTGTAACCAACCACCCTTCGAAAAATCAAACATGATAAGTTTAGATTATTATATCTCGTCACTCAATTATGGTCTACTTTTGCTTAGCAAAGATCCCCATCTACATTGATGGAGTATGAACGCGTGTTAAGAAAATTAAACATCTTCCCCTTTCATATTTTGGTTGCTGGACGTCCCGAACCTGTGCCATCTGGCGAAATCGTCACTGACGCCCCCAGCAGTGCGTAATCAGCTAAGCCAGCCATGTGTTGCAACAAGTCTGAGTCCACAAAGTGAAAAAACGAGATCCGCGGAAATGGAACGAGCTGTCGCAACACTGCGGGCATGACATGCTCTTCCGGTTCCAGTGCATTCTCGCCAAAGAAGCGCAGAGCATCCGGTAATTCTTTTCGAGATACGAAGAGATTGAGATCTCCACACTCAAGCATGCTGTGCAGGATCAGGATCCACCAGTGATTAGAAAAACGCAGACTTCCTTGAACAAAAAATGACAAGGATAACCTGTCTCTTGTTTCTCCGAGAGTCCAGCACCTCTTTGGTGGAACAAATTCATGTAAGTAAATATTCCCCACGCAGGATAAATGCCCACAGTTCCGCGTGGTTCTCGGCCCTGAGATAAAGAAATGCACTGCTTCAAGAAAAATGTGAATCGAAATATAAATCGATGTCCTGTATTCTTAATCTATAAACTCATTTTCCGCGAAATCGGGTATGTCGTCGAGTACGCAAACTATGCAAATCGGCTTCATACGGTAGTATTCGAAAAAATCTTCCAGCAGTCGCTTGATGGAAAATACGGATTTGCCGCTGTCCAAGTCGTCACTCGTCAAAATCTAACATTAGACATCACAACAGCCGCATCGCCTACTTCGAAGGAAAAAACATATGTGAATGTGTTCAGAATACGCGTCTGCTTTCACCAATGTGGGCACGCTGATGGATGTGATTCTCTTTCTCTACGACCATTTCTCTACGACCTGCAAGTACTTACTTAGTTGTCACATCAGCACCTGTAAGTAGTTAGTTGTCACATCAGCACATCGCGCCTTACCACAGCGGATAGGCGTCCTCCGCGAGTAGCGTTTCTGCTCTCTCCTCTGAAACAAATGCTCTCCCTGGACCCTCCCAGTCGCCCAGTGTGTCCTTAAGGCGGATCTGCATTCGTGTCAGGTCTAAAAGAGCCAGAGACGCGTCGTTTCAAACCGAACGGGGAACTGTTGGCAGGATTAAGCCAACCATTGAACGTCACGGCCTGCTTGTCGTCTTTATCGCGGGTAAGCGGACTTAGCGAGAGACTATAAGTGATGACGCCATCTTTGCAACTTGAACTTCTCCTACTAGAAACTAACAAAGCATATTTTTTCATAGGAAACATGATTAGTCAAATAGGATCGGCACATGTGCAATGATGATGAATCGCTTTGCGCGCATTTGACCGTTTTGAGAAGGGAGAAATGAAGAGAGAGAAGAAAGAGAAAAATGAGAATGAGAATAGTGCACTTGAGAATGAGAATGAGAGTGCGAAAGTGAAGTGCCATCTTGTTACGATGGCGCCGCGTGTAGGATGCGCGGCCCCCAAGCGAATAACCGATCACGTTTCTTCTAGTGCTGCACTCACTCAAACCAGCTTAGCGATACATCTTCGATGTCTTCGTAAATCTGAGATTTTTCCTTGCACTTGCTTGGGTCGCCCAGTCTTGTACTTGTTGCTTTTTCTTGCACTTGCTTGGGTCCAGGTTCTTCTCGGTAAAGGATGAGGCAGAAGAAACGGGACCGTCACGCTTTCCAATTCCGCTGCTTCCCCATCTCGTGTCTTCATCAGTGCGAGGAGTAGGCTGTTTCGAAGTAGTGCCGCCTCCATCTTGCGCGGATGGGAGGGTACAGACTAGAGGTGCTAGGGGCAGAGAAGGTCCAATAATGATTCAGCACCAAAGGACCTAGACAAAAAAATGAAGCCGCAGCCGACGTGGTCACCACTAGTGCACGCTTCGACCACCGCCAATGTTGAAAGTCGATTCCTAGTCGCAGTCTCGGCCTCCGTGGGACGTCACTCGCACCAGCCGCATCGTTCCTAGGTTCTACAACGTCTCTCAACTCGTCACCAGCTTCGACAGTGACCTCCACCAGCTCTGTTGTCGCGGACCGTTGACGCCGGCCGCCTTGCAGCGAAATCCGTGAGGTAGTGTACTTTAGAGCTTTTTCTTGCACGTCAACATACTTACATCTATCTCCATGACATTGAATCTTCCTACGTTCTTTAGTACCGCGAAAAGTCAAATAGATGTTGATAGAACTTCTAACTCCCTTAACATTGCGTCTGCCGTGAGCACTCGGTGTCGAAGAACCAGGCTTGCTTTTGTTAGAGCTACTAGAAGTCTCTCTTGAAGATCGTCTTGGTGCTCTTTATCTCTCCAAATATCGAAAGCGTATTTCTTTCCAAAATATTGATATTCCTTCATGTGAATTCAATCAAAGTGCATTGATTCTTAGGACACTCCTTCATCTGCAAATGAAGTCAAATAATCAAAGCTATTCAGGAGGCCTTAACTATAGGAGAAGCTCGCGCCCTCAAACTGGATTCCCCTCTGCCAGAGAGCAAAGAAGAGTCACACCAACCCAAGGAGAAGGACGAAAAGACGAATCAGACACGGCCTAAGGAACGCTGCTCGCTGAGCTCTCGTTTTGACCGAGTGCCCCATCCGAGATGGGTGAGCTCTTTGACACTGCACTCCATAAGACCTCTAAACGTACATGCAAGGATCGGGTGGCTAAAAATGGTTTGAAGCACAGCAAACCCATGAGCACTCACTAACCGAAACGAAATACATAAGACAGTGACAATTTTGAACACACAAATACGACGCAGACTCCAACAAGATCAAAAACCATCACCATGGGCACGCAAGACGTCCACTATGACCATGCGCGTGGATCATCAAACAAGGGATACTCACTGCAGGTTGCTAGATGATGTTTGCATCACGTAGGGCTGGGGAAAAGCCTCTAAACCGTGGCACGCCTTTTGTGCCACGTGCTCAAAAGGACAAATGCTTTTTCTGCCTGTTGTCTGTATAGGAAGCTGCAAACTTGTGCAGAAAGCTACGCAGATTCCTCATGAGGTGTTTTGCTCTTCAATATCACACTAATACAGGTTCCCACCTTCCGCGCTGCGCGAGCTTCGCACCCTGTAAACTTTTCACAGTGTTAATTTTTCGCACGAAAGTCGAACAAAGGCCCGATCCGAACCCTTGTTTTTTCACTGGCTTCACTTCGAACTGAGGACTCTCGCGAATCATTTGGCTCACCCTCTAGATCTAACATCGCCATATAGTTATCAATCTTATTCGGCACTCCGGGTTTCACGGTGCTGCTCGCCATACGGCTGACCCTCCGAGCACACCTCTCGTAGGAGACTCTCCTGCTACAACCCAAATAATGCAACGAGAAGTAGGTGTAATTGTAGTAGGAATCGTCCTGCACATGCCGATGTCGCTGCCACCGTACTAGACCGTAGCGTAATGAGGCAAACGGCTGCGCCGAAGCCGGTGCGTCATGAATACGAGTGATCTGACTAGCCCTCCTTGCTCAGCAGTATCCGATTGGGACAAGCGATCGGGACGAGCTAGCGCTGTGTAGTAGATGAGAAACGCATCCCGAGCATAAATTTCCTCCCGATTTCACTTTATCGGCTGATTTCTCCTTATTCTTGCGTATACTGCCTGCTGCAAATGAGAGTGCCAGCTTCTATCACGCACTTCGGCTCCTGCTTCTTACACCGTCTACTTCTGCTACTGCTTTTCTCCCGCTTTGGCTTTTGCTTCAGCATGCTAGATTACTCCCTTTCTTTTGCTTCCACGCACCTACTGCCCGTACTCTCTCCTTGTCCTTCTATGTGGTTCTGTCGAAACGATATTTCTCCCTGCCTTTGCCTTTCCACTTTGAACCTCAGAATCAGAAAGGCAGCAGGAGTAGAATGAATATGAATCTCTGGATAATGACCAGTCGTCATCTCACGGTCGGCGGCGCGCGTGGTTTCATGAGCGTTTCCTCGAGCAACCACTTGATCCCGTCTGCCAGTCCGTCGTTCTTCAAAGCTGCACAACCGTGGACCTACCTTAGAGATTTCATAAATTGACTAGTCCACTTTCCGCGAAGAAATACCCCCTCGATGGATCTCTGTTCAAAAGAGGTTTTCACTTCTTTTTAGGAATGGGGAGAGGGGGGATAATGATGATGACGATCATAGTGATGGCCATGCCTAGTTAATACTAGTGCAAACCAACAAGTTGCTTTCAAACAGCAGAAACGATTTACTTAGAGGGCTGAAAATGAATTAAACACAAACTAGAACAGGGACATAAGTAAACGCTTGCTTTCCGTTCTGACTCGAGCTTTTCAGTTCTCAAGCGTGCACAGACCTCTGTCACACTAAGAGCGCTCCGCAAATCTTGCTTATTCGCCAAAATCAAAATCGGTATATCGGTCGTAATCAGCGGGTGTGCCAGAACATTGTTCAGTACGTCCCTTGCTTTTTCCATGAAGAGAGAGAGAGAGAGAGGAAAGGACGAAGGAGAATAGAAGTCAGGTTAACAAGTACGACGGAAAAGCGAGACAATCTTTCATGATGAATAGTCCGTTTTACGATTGCATTTCTAGAGGTAATGATGTAGGTCTTGTTGCATGCTGCTTACCGAGATGTGCGCACATTAAATTCAAAATTTGTTTGTGAATTCATCGGACATCGATCACACGGCATAACGTCAATCCTCTCTGGCGTTGAGTTGGAATCCACAACAAAAACGATGCCATCTACCTCCGCAAAATAGTTTTGCCAGACGATGCGAAAATTTTTGTGTCCCCCGAGGTCCCAGAAAATCGCGTCAACGCCAGAGATGTGGATTTTTGCGACATTAAACCCTATTGTTGGCGGTAATTTCGACAGATCTGCCCAGCTTTTCATTCCGAAACCGGCTTTCAGTTGCTCTAGCACAGTCGTCTTTCCTGCATTGTCGAGGCCCAAAAAGAGACAACGACGTTCTGGTCTCTGCACCACATACTCGTAAACGCCACTTAATAGCGAAAACATTCTTCTTTTCAGATCTTTCAGCTCTGTGGGAGGATGTGGTTATACAAGTAAACAAAAATATATGATAGTGCGAGTCCGTATTCGGATTGAACAAAGCTACAACAACAAACGGACGGAGACACCAGTTAATATCCTTCTCGTTGTACTCGATAGTCTATTCGCATGTCCATGGATTGCCAGGATTTTGGATTTGGATGTGATCCGATATCCGCAGGGTTTAGCTGCATTCTCAAGCGGATTAACGCAGCCTCTGATGGACTACCAAAACCTTGCAGCGCATAGCAAGGGTTGATGAATCACGTCCCCTAAAATATCTCTAGCTGCAGGACCGACAGATGTGCCAGGCTGAAGCTGAACTAGAGAAACTGATAATATATAAATATCCAGTTTTGGACTACAAAAAAAACAAATAAATTCATCAAACATCAGAAGAGATCAGCTGTGTTAGAAAAGAGGTACTTCTAGTGTCTAGTCTCCTTACTGCCTCTTCCTTCTATTTTTCCTCCATCCTCTAGAATTTGCCGGGTTCGTCCGTCGTGGAAATCCATTACACAACAAAATATTTGGCTCCATCGAACAGAACAAGGCAACGCTCCGTACCCCAGTCGTTTAGCGCAGTTTCTCCTTGCATCAATCAAATCTGTGCACAAACGTGACGAAATCATCATTGTTCGTAGGTCACGATTATCGGAAATCCACGCTGACACACTGTCGTCGATAGAATTTCAAGGTGCCCACAAGCCTAGCACTGATATTCCTCTTCAGAGCTTTCGTTCATTATGTACGACATCTTTAAGCAATAGAAACCAAGCATCTCCTTGTATTTACTTTTTCCATTCTTTGACCTGCGTGACTCTTGTTCGTCTGAGAAATCAAAAAAACTCAAAATACGTTATACACCATATGCGAGGACTTGCAATGAAGCTACACTATTTTCCGAATACACTATGACTATTTCTCATGACTCGAGTTGATATTCCAACTTCTTTACCACTGAAACTTTGAATGCAGACACTATCCCAAAGAACATAACTACACATTTTCTTCAAAAATACTGACCATGATGAAAAACGATGCAGGACTGAGACTCTACAATTAGAAGCGAACTACATGATGAACATGTTACGTCTGTCGCTTGACTATGTACATATCAGTCTCCATTACTATTTTTTGAAGACGATATCAAAAATATGAATAAGCTGACAATACTAGAGTATGACAGAAATTACGAAAACAATTTTAGTACTTAACAACAAATGCCCTATTGACATGCAGTCATGCAACAATTAATTACTGACACTTACTCTTCTGACTGCTCGTGGAGAAATTTGCGTGAAAAAAGTTTTTGAATTACATTTTTGAGAACGTTTTTCGGGTTCCCCCATTTCATCTTTTCAGTACTTATCCTTAATCATCATCTCTATGTAGTTGCAGTTCCAGTTACTCCCACTCTCCCCAGGGCTCCTGATCAAAGTCTCCCTCACCTTTGTGAGCGCCCTTCGCGCCACGAAAGACTTCCATTCGGCGCATCTCGCGGTATCTACGCATTGCGGCATGAATATGCAGAGTTGACGCATCCGCCGCGAAACCTCGCGACCCAGGCGACACACCACTAGGCGAACCACCGAAAGAGGACTGCGGAGAGCCAAAGTCGCGGCCTCGATGCAGCTGTCCACCCAGCATAAAAGCCGCAGTGGTGCTCCGCTGTCCGTAGGGCGAACGACTGCGATAAGTGCTGCCACCAGGTGACTGCCCAATGCGATCATTCATATTAGAAGAAAAGCCTAATGCATCAATATGCTAATATACAACACTGGTGTGATCTTCACGGTGTTTCCACTTTCACGTGAGTTGTATAAAGCCATTGACAAGAGGACTCCTCGGCCATTGTTGTACTAACTGGTAAGCGAGAGAGGAGAGCCGGCCATTGTTGTACTAATTTCATTTCGTTGATTTCGTATTCAACGCCACGATAGAAAAACTGCAGACATAAATGTCGTGCGCGTGATCGCTTTGCGATAATTTCCGATATTGTTGTAGCTGTAATTGCTGAAGAGGGCCGACTCTGGTGGCGCAGTCGCGCTGGACGACGTGGCAAGCACAGTGGGGCCTGCGAAGAAGGCGAACTTGTTGTTTGCTTTCGACGACCCAGAGCGCGCGTCTGCCAGCTCTTGACCTCCTGCGTTGCCTTGTGCATGATTTTCCTGCAGAGCGTCTTCGTCGCCTGGTTCTGCGTTCGCGGCGTGATATCCACGTTCCATCACGGCAGACTGTAGAACGTCTGCGGGCAACACAAGACTATCGGCGCTAGCCAAAACAGCCTCCGAAAGCTGCCGCGAGCTGTCGAGCCGCTCTTCCAGTTGCTTCAATGCCTCAAGGTGCGCAGCGCACTCGCGACCCGCAAGGTTCATGGCGGCAAACGACTCACGCAGCGCCCGAACCTCCTGCACAGCGGCCGCAGACGTGGCCAAACTCTTTGTCAACCCCGTGTCGTGAAGCTTGGAACAGGTCTCCAAGTGATGCACACGCCGGTTCACGATGTCGAGTACTTGAGGCCACGTGACCCACTTCCAGCAGTAGATGCGTTGGACCGCGGAAAGCGACAACCGACGCTGTTATTAGAGCTACCGCGCTCGCATCTTCCCTGAGAGACATAGCCTTGGAAGCTTCTTTTTCCCCTTGGAAAAAAGGGCCAAGGATGATGTTGAGGTCCAGCGGTAGCCTTAATGTGACGCCTCTCGTGCTGTGTGAAAGTGCAGCTGCGTAGCGCCACCCAAGGACCTCGATGCCTCCTCCTCCGAAACACGACTCGTCATGGACGTCGTCTTATTCGCACATTGCTCCTCTACCGCGCGACCGTTTAATTTGCTCGGAGAGTTGCTGGCTGGCGCCGCCGGATTGCAGAGACTTTTCGAGCCTAAACCGGCAAAGTTTAAGAGACTTTGCAACGGCGTGCTAGCCGTACCATGGCTCCCTTGACTCGCTGGTCTCTTGTTGATAACCCCGGACGAGGTTGCAGAGGACTTCTTGTTTCCGCCAGTGGCTCCCTGCTGCTCCTCGTCAGCCACGCCGTCTGTACGAACATCAGCATGTTGCCCTTGTTCTCGGCCAGGAGAAGCAAGCCCATCGATATAGGAGGAAGACAAAACCAAACCGGCATGCTCTGCGCTGTGCTGTACGGAAACAAAGTCTTTTGTTGGCAAACCCGTCTGATGCACTTCCGCAGTGTAGAGGTGGTACACGGTCAGCAAGCCGGGGAAGCCTCGACTCTGTTCGACCTCGTAGGTCTTCGTGAGAAGCTCTACGCGGCTCAACTTCACCGTGTCGCGCTGATTCTTGTAGCATCGCCTCTGGCCGCTGCGCTGCGGAGTTGATATTGCACTTGTCGTGGATCCAGTTTTCATCACTGTTGCCTCCTTATGCTCTCCCGTAGAAGAAGTCACGTTTTTCCGCGAAGACGAAGGTTTCCCAGATTCGAGTGGCCGCAAGTCCTCGAGGAGCGTGCGTGCAAGTTCCGATTGAGTTTCCGGCTGAATGTTGCTTTGAATTTCCAGTTCGACCTCGTCGATGATACCCTCCTGAGATTCCACAGCAGTCGGCCCGTGCTCAAACGCTTTGCTTTTTGCGCCTGCCGCAGACGAGGACTGGTCCCCTCTCTTAGACGTGCAATCCTCGAAACACTGTTTCCCGACGGACTAATCTCATGCTTTTTCTTTGAACGAAACAAGCGCAAAAAGCTAATAACGCGAAAGCATGGCGATGGAGGCTCGATAAACATAAAACTAGTTCTAAAAACCTTAGCTTTCGACTTCGAACAGGAGCTTGTTTCGAGAGGCCCAGAGTTTCGGGCGTTGAAGTAATTGCTGAAGTCCATGTTTTCCGGGAAGAGGTGGACAAGCCGCTTTCCGATTGCTCGTTCTGCAGAAGCCCAAAGCTTCTCGATGGTGACGCAGCTGCCAGCGGGAACTGACATTTTTTCAGTCAGAAAAAGGTTTCGCGGAACTTGCTTCAGCAGAGCACTTGAAGATGTTGTAAGAGACGATGCCGCGTTGCCTTTCGTATCTGTTTGCAACAACAGCTCGTGTGTGTTGAAGAGGAAGAGCTGCTGCGTATCGTCACGCTCAAACTCCATGATCGCATGTAGTTCCTCTCCTTCCTCCTCTTCGCAGTCACCAAAAACACTCTCGTCTTCTTGGTGCAATCCTGCTGCTCCCGTGGCTTGGTCACACAAATGATTATAAGTTGCATCTTTCTTCGGACTGCAGCTACTGCCATTTCCAGCTTCCTCACCGAGTTCAGAGAAAAACCCAATCTGCTCATCGCCGTTCGAGCGCGGGCTCGAGCGCGGGCTGCGTCCAATCTTTGGAATCCGCTCTGAAGGCATGGTCCCATCCGTCTTCGTTGAAGTGATGTTTGCACACGCGAGCCGTGACATCATCACTTTCGCACGCAGCACATGCACGACACGGAGAATCAGTGGCACACCGTTGCGCTTCGACCACAGCTCTAAGCTGCTTTCATTCGAATTTACCTCATTCCACAAATCCTCTAAAGATTTGTTACCCTTCTCGCCCCACTCGGAATCCATTCCAAGCTGCAAAGTTGAGCCTCCGTGCGCTACGAGAGAATTGAAAAAAGTTGAAAGCTTTAGAATTATTCGTCACCTTATTGACAAGGAAAAGCTATGAAGAATTCATTCTCAGTACTAGTCCCTATGAAATCGTTGCACTAAAAATAGGTACTCGAAAGCCACTCCTTCATTGCCTCCACGGATTCGAATTTCTGAGGCCGCTCTCGGCAGGTACTACCTTCAAAAAGGTGTAGCTTCAGCAGATTCCATGCTGTCCACTGCCACGCATGCACGTACTTCACTTGCCAAGCACCGGCCTTCTTTTCGTATTCCAATGTGTTGAAATCACCAGCCGGCAGATTCTCGCACACGATATCCACCGTATAAAGGTAGTAGACCGTGAAAAGACCTGAAGATGATATTGCAAACTTGCGATGTGCAGCAAAAGGGTTAAGGTCTCCGACTGCCGACAAATGCATATGCATAGTGTTAGGACAACAACATGGATGATCTTCTTGTTGCATTTTTATACACGAATATTTCCTTTCGTTTATGGTACCTGGAAATGATTTGCTCTGCTCCCGTTCGGTTGTTTCGTCCTGAAAAACCACATCTTTCACCTCCAAAGGACACACGTCCGACTCCGCATAAGCTAAGGCCTTCGCATCTATAATTAGCGTGCAGATGCACTTGTTCTTTGTCATGCATGCAATATGGAGATCTTCATATATTACATTTGAGATATGGACGAAACACTTCGGAACCACCGAGTAATTACAGCATGGGTACAGGGGAAACGGCCTCCTTAAATTACCTTCTACTGCTTGACTCACAAACATTCTACGCCTACAATGACCTCGTTGTAGTGTGTGATCTCGAGGAAAATACGTCGCTTATAGCGACTAAGTAGAGGCCGTAACACGAGCCTGCAACTTTTTGGAGCTAGGCGAGCCATCTCCTCCTCGCGCACTGCACGCGTCCCAGCTTTGAAGAGGTGCTCCCTGATAGGCAGTTCATCCGTGCCTAGCTTCTCCGAAAGCAGGCCGTTCCGGAATCGGCTATTAGCAAAGCAGGAAGAGATCGAGGTCATCAACCTCAACACAAAAAAAACTGATCAACGTGAAATCAAGGACGCCAATGACTTTCCACGATACTAGCAAATCAAAAACTTGGAGAATGACAATACAACGAATTTAGTACGCCTGTTCATAAGAAAGTCTCCCTTTGCCGTCTGCTGCCACGTGTTCATCAAAAACAGTCCCTGGCGCCGGCTTTCAGGAGAACACACCTTTATGCTATTAAGTGTTTGTTCTGTGGAAGAAAAATAAATTCAGTTCACCGTATAATCCGACAAAACGACAAAAATACATGGTAAGATTTGTCCAAAATGCATTCAAGGAGTTTCATCTCATGGAGGTATCTATCATCTTACTTTTCCTCGCAGCACGTGCACACAGCGTACTGGTAGTGTGAGTGCTCCGTCCTTCGTCTTCCAAAGTTCCACCACCGTTTCGCCCAGGCGGATTTCTTCAGCCAATTTCGCGACTGGCTTCGTGCCCGGTGCCTCTCCCCAGTTTGCGGCCTGAGGTAGGTTTTGCGCCACCAACCACTTCTCCAAGTCTCCATCCGTCTCGGCGCAATAGCTTCCCACCTTATTGTGCGGCTGTGGCTGCGCCACACGGTCCGACGGCACACTCATCTTTTTGGAAATAAATTTGTTCTACTATGCAATCACTGCGTCTGCTATAGTGTGATTTCAGAGAAAAGATCACAATTGTAAAAGAAATGTAGTTACAATTACAATTGTAATGAAGGGGGGGGTTATGGCGGGCAGCATACTAAAAATATAGTATGGCCCACATTTTTCCCAGGATTCTGCCCGGCGATGGTGGAAGTGCAGTAACCTCCTGTAATAAAAGCCACTTACATAATTTGCGCCAGCGATTTCAGAATGATCGAAACTAAAAGCATGCAGAGAGCTGTCTGCCTCTGCCTATGCGCATTTTTATCACTTTAGAGACCACGGGAAGCTGCCTGCGTTTTGTCTCTCTCCAATTGCGCTAACTCATCATGGCAGGCGGTATACTAAAAATATGAATAAGAGCGTGCTGCAGTCCGTCGCGCATAACTCATTCTCGTAGATACAGGTAACAACATTTCCACTCCCTCATCTCTTTCTCGATCGTGGCACATAAGTTAGTACGGAGGCAGCTATTGGAGAAAAGAAGAAAAACAACTCACGAAAACATAGGAGTAAGCTTTATCTTTTCGTCTTCTCTCTCGGATAAAAAGACGGAACACTCTCGTTGTTGTCCAGACAGTCTACCGCAACCTCGTCGAGAATTTTTTTGCACATGTCGCTGTGCTGCATTATTCGATGAGCACGCCTCCTTGCAAGTCCGGACCTGTACTTATCCTGTGTTCGCTATCAGGAGCATAATCTAACCCTGCTGTGGTCGCATGAGCATCTTCCTGTGCCGGAATTTCGTAGTGTATCCTGTCCTGAGACAGCACCTCCGCAAGCTGCACGTCTTTGCGGCCCGCGCCACTAGGCCTTGCATATTGTGCCGCGTAGGCGATTGGGGAAACGTTATGCACTCCTTGCTGCGAAGCCACCCTCCTGCTTCCGCCAGGCACACCATCAAAGCCTCTAGAGCTCGAAGCAGCACCACCTGGCTGAACGCTATTTCCCAGCGAAGGACGCCGTGTGCCACCACTGCCAGACGATGAGTTGTCTTGCATCTGCCGATAGCTACTTTGTTGTCGCGTTGTCTCGTCGTCTTCATCCACTAGAAACCCCAGAACACCTACAAAGTGTTCCATTACACTGCCGACACCGATCGTTGTGATGACCACGAGAAATATGGTGCAAGGAACTAGCTGTGCTCGTGCGGCGGCATCTGGGACCCGCAACGAGAGTGCGAATGATATTGCGCCGCGCAATCCTGCCAAAATTATCAACATCTGGCTCTTCCAGGGCAGCTCTTTATTCAGAAGCTGTTCTTGATCTCCCTGATCGTAGAGGTCAGGGTCGAAATAATAATCGATTGATGATGATGAAGACGCATGTCCAGTGATCGCTTCGCCCGCAGACGCAACCGACTGGAAAACGCTCGGAAGTTGCGAACTGAGAAAGCGGCCTGCACCAGCCAAGCCCGTTCCGGAATTGCGACGCCCGCTAGTACTCCTTTCTGCGCTACTTCTTGTGCCAGTAGTTGTAGAGCCAGACGGTGACGTCCGCGACGCAGCAGAGGAAGCTGGCGCACTAGTCGATCTTGAGCTATTCCGCGCATACGGATGAACGAAGTGCTGACTGCTGTTTTGCGCCAGAAGTGCAGCTGGCACGCGCGGCCTGTCGGACTCCTCACCCGGAGACCACCTAATTAGAGGAGCGCTCGACACTTCATTTTCTCCCTACAAGCAACATGATCATCTCAAAGCGCTCCTACATAGAAAACTGTGAGATTAAATGCTCTCCTTCTAGAAGATGACTGAGAATTATCGATAGTGGTCATAACACAGTGCCCCGCGACAAATGTTGCGACTGCGCCAAAGCCGCTGTCTCGCTCAAGTGTTCGTCTAAGTCTGCATAATTCAGCATTTCCCTCTCTGCAGCACTTGCTCGCGTTCCCTGAAGCACGCGACCCACTTGCCTTGCCATCGAGGCTGCGAGAGTGAAGGGGCACAGCCATCCTGGCGCGTCTCCAGCTGCACTGTCGTTGTTTAGATCGCGGTTCCCTCGTCCGCTCAGGAGGCTTTAGACCTAGTGCTAGGAAATGGAAACAACCACAACCGAACGAGAAAAAGACGCGAATAAAAGAACAAGAAGAGACTGCATTACGTTTTAGAGGAAAATCCAGTCACTTTCAAAAGCAGAAGCGTCTCTGAATTTCGGAAGCCAACAACTACCAGTCTTAATCATGATCAATTTGTCCACCTTGGGCAGAGGTAGCAGTGGCATTTTCGTCGACCATGCCAGTCAGCCGGCACTTCTGGCCAAAATCTGTGTGTCCTGGCAACCGGAGTCGCACAGTTTGGTAGACGCGGTCTGCAAACGTGCGCCACAGACTCCGCGTGCGCGTACAACTGTTCAGGAGGAAGCTAAGCGCGACCACGTGCACTGCGCGCGCTAGGAAAATAAGAAGGAACGAGCCCATGAGCAGCCGCAAACTCGGCAATTCGGGCGTGTACATCACGGCGACGACACCTAGGTAGAAAAAGACGAGACACTCGCTTACGAGCGACAACACTCCCAAACCAATTTCCGCCGCTCTATGCGTCTCTTTCGATAGGGTTCCGTGTGCGCCGAAAACGACGCCGGCAATGAACAGCGCGACAATACCCGAGAGGTCCAATATCTGTGCGACCGCGTACGCCAAGTAGCAACCAAGAAGCATCAAGCCCAGCTCGTACGGCGGAAACTGCGAAACGCGATACCTTTGGAAAAAACTCTTGGTTGCAACGCTTGCAGCGACGCCGATAAAGAGTGAGAACACCGAGATGTACACGAAGTCGAACAGCAGCAAGCCGTAATAGAATCCCTGAGACGTCGTTGGCTGTTCTCCTGGCAGAGGAGCAGCCGTCGACGATATCAGAGGGTCTAATATCACTGCAGGTTCCGCGAGTGCCTGGTCCTGATGCTTCGGAGACGTTAAAGCGATCTCAGCCACGCTCGTCTGTAGTTGTCTGCTTCCGTGCGCCTGATACGCTGCCACTGCATTCATTTCAACATCGCTCTGCGTATCCCTTCGCGCAGCGCTTTGAGCAGCTAGAAGGCGTGTTGCAACACTGTCAAAGAGAACAATTGCAACTGCATCGTTAAGAATAGCCTCGCCGAAAATGAGACTGCGAAGACTCGCTGGAAATTTCCTCTCGAAACGGTTGAGCAGTGCTATCGTCGCCACCGGATCGGTTGCCGCGATCAGAGCGCCGAACAGGTCACACACCAGCGTATTATTCAAACTCGGATGCGCACGGAGGCAACATTAGAAGACCAACGAGTAAACACTGCAATCCACTTTCAAGCCATCTTGTATTTTCGCGTGTTTCTTTGTTCACTCGTCCTCCAAAGTAGCATCATATTTTTTGTTTATGCAAATTCTCGCTTGAAAGATGCCGATGTACAGATCACGCTGCTTTCAACTTCTAGCCATAATAAAAGAGTCCCTTCGACACGAGAAATGCCGTGATAACTGTCCCGCCCACAGCAAAAAGCAGAATTTCGAAGAGACAGGACCGGAAAAGTCTGCGGTCAAGCGAAAAACCGGCCTCGAATATTATCGGTGGCAACAGCAAGTAGAAAAACAGGTCTGGATGGAACTGCAGATCGCTGGCGTGCCATCCATGACGATACCTTGTAGGGAGCGCGGAAAAAAGGACGCCAAAAAGCGAACCGAAGAGCATGCACACACCCGACAATCCCGGCACCCACTTTGAGGCTCGATTCAACTTGATCAGCAAGCCCAGCACCAGAATGAAGATGAGGCACAAGGAGACAATAATCGACCCAACCGCGAGAGAGTCGGAGAAAGGGTCAATCAAGGGACTGGTAATCGACCCCTGTTCATCTCCAGTCGAATAAACACGGTGTGAATGGCCCCCAAGGTGCAGCACTCGAGCATCCGTCGGCTGTGGTGCCAACTCAGAAAGACTACTTGAAGATGTGGTAACCATGTTATTTTGTCCCTTCCCTGCGGGTGGCAGTGGGCTACATTTTTGGTGTACCTAGGTGAGCGATATGTACTCGATTGAACACGTCTCCAACAAGTCGTCGACAAGCAATAATGATACGAGTATATCTTCCCTTTAACCCAACGTTGTTACAATCGTGATAGAAGCAGATCGCGTTATCTAGCTATGAGCAATGTCGCCACCTAAACCGGAGTGAGAGCAGTCGAGAAGTCCCACGTCCCAAACGTTGCTCAATCACGGCACTAAGTCCATTTCTTGTACGTTTTTAAACTCCAGAGCATCCTCTCATCTCTTGCTAACAAGTACTTCCTCTTGTTCCCTAACTTCTACTTAAATTCAGGCGGCTTTCATCAAATACCGCACACCGAGGAAGAGAGAGTCCAATTAATTCCTCCATTACAGACGTACGCAGTCACTAGTCCGTAAGTAAGCGCTCTCAGTAGCAGGTCAAGATATTACAGAGATTCCTCTACCAGGAACCACGTGACGATCTTCGAAAAAAAACTAGTACTGCCACAAACACGTCAAAAACAGTAGGACGCCCACAAAAACATGTCGCAAACATGTTATTGTTCCTTGGGTTTGCTCTCAAAAAGAGCACTAATCTGAACTTTCTTGGAAAAGACAACTTTCCACATTGGGGATACTGTAAACGGTTGTATGCTTGCGGGAGGGGTACTAACAGTAAGATGCTTTTCATGGTGAGCATCGTAAGCGACGCGGCAAAACCATGCTGATATCTCATACACGTGTAATCATGATTATCCTGAGGCCCGCCAAGGTGAAAGTGAGAAATGGGAGTACCTTGATCATGTCGAGCCTGATGGTGTGACGACCATGGGTGTTTCATGCGCGCTTTTTTTGTTTCTTTGCCGTCATTTCTGTAGTAGATGAGGAAGTTTTTTCCTCCTCTTTTTTCTTCCCTCCTCCAAAAACGTATTCGTCAATGACAGCCTCAATTTTCTTCTTTTCCCCGGTTTCGCTGTCGTATAGGACCGTGTACTGCAAGACGAGTGCGCCGAATACCAACTGCAAGTACTTCGCAAACGAGACGATGGCATAGATCTCCCACTCCTCTACCCCAGACAGCATGCCTGTGACCACGAGGATAGCCGTCGGCACCGGGACCGGAGAAACCTGAATGGCGAACAATCCGAGCATACCGTATCTCTCGCCATATTTTGCCGCGGTTTCGAGAGAAGAGGAACCCACCAAGCCCGTTTGCTCAAGCACGAACTCTGCCCCACCAGTTTTCATCAAATGTATGTACGTGTACGCTGCGATTGTGCTGCCGGTACAAAGCGTCATCGGGCCAAAGAGGATACCGCGTATTAGAGACCAGAGAATAAAGCATCTTTGAAAATGATGCACTTCATGGGAAGAACAGACCGAAATTGCCGAAGCAAGACATCCATTAAGAAGACGAAAATATTGTCACACATGGACTAAAGACTACTACGACTCGATCGAGGAAATGAGAAATACATGTCAACAAACAAGTATGAAAGAAAAAAGCGCACTCAAACTCAGAAAAAGTGGCTATTTTCCTACTGTTAAATCCTAGCCAATTTCTTGAGTGTGAGTGTACTTTTTCGTTTCATAACAAGTATGACAAATTTATTGGCATTTAACAAACTCCTTGTCTACGTAGTGTTCATCATAAGTAAATTCCCGGATTCGAAAGGATTAAAATGGCATACAACGACGCTTGTACGGGACCGACGCACCACATCAGCGTGCCTGCAGCCAAGGCATTCACTGAGGACACGCTAGCAACGACTAACGGAAACCACCACTTTCTCCCACACCCACTAATGGGGCGCAGAATGCTCTGAACGCGTTCCTGGACAGTGCCCATCTTTTCTGTATCTGTGCCAAATGAAAACTATCAGAGAGTAATAGAACCAATCAGCCAGTGATGCAGTCTAATCAAATGAGTAGCTACCTACGTACTCCAAGAAATCAAATCTGAAGGTGAACGCGGTGGCAGAACAAATAGACTGATCTTGCGATTCAGGAAATCTCGAACCTGTTTAGTGATATAAGCTCGGAAAGGATGCCTCACAAGCGCCTCCAGCACTCTCCCATGCTTCTTTGACGATCTAAGTCTGGAATGCGACATCGTTGTTTGAACCGCTTACAATCAAGCTCCATCCACACAGATCATTCGTAGTGGAAGAGTCATTGCTGGTGACACGAGCCGTCTGCTCCGTGATCATACTCACTGCTAGAATCACTTATCATCCGCATATGAGGAACTGTTCACACGAGATCGACGCGGGCAGAGTCCTTCTTGTCGTATAAATTGCTATTCTGCTTGTTGTGATACGAGTGGTTCATTCAGAGAATTCGGCACGATCGTCTGCTCTCTTTGTTCTGCTCCCGAACTTGCAAAATAATGCCAAGACCACCTATCGAACGTCCATAAGAAAGCGGAACATTTCATTCATGGTCGCTTAAGAAGTCGCGCACATCCTTCATGGTCGTCGTGCTTTCCTCGCCTCTCCGGTACCAATGAGGATACGTATGACATTTCTCCGATTGCTGTTGTCACTTAATGTACTTACTTAATCACATTGCTGTGTTCCTTCGTCTTTGTTCTCCGAACGAATCCGTCCGACCGAGAATTTATATCCACCTATGGGGTCGTTCTACGGTACAAACAACTGAATATACTCACCCTTGATCTGTAAAAAATCCAGTATCTTAAAGTTCTTCACTCATTCATGCTTGATAAAGACGATAGATGCTTCTCTAGCATGCCGATGTATTAGGTGGCCCCAACAGAGAGACGACCGTGTTATTCTCATTTTTTATGAATAATTCATTTTCATTACAACTGCTTCATCTTTTCCCTAATGTTAATTCAATACTAATCACTAAATCGACGTAGCTCACTTGCTTCTACTCGTAAAAAGGAAACAAACATTTGAAATTCTTGAAGATGAAATTTCAGTTATGGTGTACATTGAAAATCTACGATCTCGAGTGTCCCATAGATTTTGACACTTCTTATTTAGTGTACAAAATTGCAATCTATTTGTACTACGTGAGTGACTTTAATTTGTATCTCTGTAAAGCATCTTGTTACATTCAAATCAGTGCTTAGAATTGGTTTTTCGTTTTATTTGGCTTCAGCGTAGAGATTTGTGCTTTTACGATTATATTTTTGACTTGTGCTAAGTTCTTCGTGTAAATAATGACTTTTGCTTCGACTGTTTCCGAAGTAGGTGTTCGTACGGCACCACCTACTCTTTTGTTCCTCCTTGGTGGAGTCGAGGATGAAACTCCTCAAGCAGCTGAGGTTGTTGTCCCCGCTGAAGCAGCTGACGTGGCAGTGCCAGTGGTGGCAGTTGTGGCCCGGGTGGGGGTTGTCGCTGTGGTCGCCCGTGTCGCACTAGTTCCGACACTCATTGTCTCGACGTCTAGATTCTTGTTTCTCGCTCCACTATTTCCATTTTCTTGGCGTACTACGTCCTCCTTGTTCTTCTTGTACTTTTTGCCATGTTGAGACGAGCTTGATTTTCTTGATCTCCGGTCTGGATCTAAAACTCGTAGTCCGACAGTCACATGGCCTTTCTGGAATGGAAAGGTTGCGAGATCTTGTGTTACTTCCGGCGAGATCATATTCTTATTTACGCGTTGGTTTCCTACTTTATTTGTTATGCCCTTCATTTTCACCACTACATGCTGGGAACCATGTTTTCCTTGCTTCCTTGCTGCTTGTTGATCAACACTGCTCGCATCAATGTTTTTCCCGTCGTCCATTTTTGGTTGCGTCCACGAGTGAAAATAATAACCGCAGCTACCGCCGAAAACCAGCACAGACACAAGAATTATAGCGACCAGTGCGAGAGTGGGGAGCGCACCACTTTCAGCTCCTTCCATAGATGATGAGTTTCCTTCTTTATCTGGTGGCTCAGGAGCGCTGCCGGCCGTCCCACCATGATTACTAGCAAGTCCACTGGAAGGAGCTCTGTAGGAAATGTCGGAAACCGCTAACGATTCAACACTTACCAGTCCATACGAGGCCATGGCATTGCCGGCACGTATTGAAGCTGTCGCGTCGGTGCTACTTGCGATTTGACTTAAGAGTGTTGACCTTCCTCCGTTCGAACTGGTCTCTCGCATCGACGCAGCCAGAGAAGCTTTCGCTTCTTCTCTCTAATCTCTATTCGTGACAACCCCACGCACCACCGGCTCATTGTTCTTGCCATTGCTATTCAGGGAACGAAGTAAAGCTTGCTCTCGGTCGCCCGCACGTGCTGGCTGAACTTGGAAATTCAATATTTCTACACCGATTGTGTACGGATGGACGTTCGAATGTTGCGCAATGCCTCTCCGCAGTCCTTCTCTTTTCACCTCTTTGTGAGGCTCATTTTCAAAAAGCTGGACGCTAAGCATGCCGTCGCTCATTGTTCTTGTAGCGATGTCAGTCTCTTCCGGATCCAGCACTGGTAGCTGTTCGGGCGCCGTGTAGGCTGCCTCGATCACCTGTAGTCTCTCTCTTCATAGTTGCTCGTTCAGATCGGAATTGCCAGTTCGATCGGAATTGCCACTTACTCCTGGTGCTCCCCCTGCTCCAGCTAAGTTCATCGGGCCTGCTATGTAATTCCCATCTGCAACATTGTTGACCGCACTTCTAGCTTCTTCCATAGAAATCGGCGTGTAGCCGCGTTCGCTATTCGGACCCAAATTATCGTGTTGGCCAACACCATTTCTAGCATGACTATCATCGCCAGCACTGCTTCTCGAAGTACCACTAGACGTGGAGGAAGCTGGACCACCATTCCGTATGCAGCACGTTGACACTTGTCGCTTGGGTGACCCCCCACCCACAACCGTCCGCGCCTTTGCGATAGGTGAAGCCCGACCGGCAGAAAGTATCCAACCGGCCCCTCTCGTACTCCTCGCAAACGTCAGGGCAAAGTTGTCGTACGCCAAGATGTCATCAAGGAAGCCTTGTCTTTCGTGTTCCCCGTTTTCGTTCCACCTGAAGCTTTCGCCCTCCCCCGCTTCGTCTTCCCCTGTGCACCATCCCGCTTCAAGGTGGCTTTCACCGGCATTCTTGATGTGCTCCGGAGGCTCACGGGGGATCCCTGACAAATTGCCCCGTTGAACATCCGCAGGAAAAGGGTCTTCCATATTGTTGTCCCAGTACGATTTTGGGACCCTACACACTGACCTCTGTCCCTCGGCATAGGCAAATCCACAACCATCCTGCCCAGCCACGTAGCCGTGTTCCGCACTGCAGAAGGCCATGACGGGCAAAGCGCAACAATCGCCGTCCTTGTAGCCTGCCGCATACTCCTCACACGCGTCCATGTTGCACTTGTTCGATCTGGTAGCTTCTAGAGCAACGTCTTTCGCCATACCATGCCCCATCAGGCCGGCGACCGGGCGAACAACTCCTGTACTAAAGAGGAAAGTGAGGAACTAGAAGATGAACAACCACATCCTCTATCTTCTATCTTCCTAATCTGAAACCTTGATCTTGTTGGATACTTATGGTCGATAGGGATCACATCTATTGTACTTTTGATTAATAGTTTTTCCAAAACGATTTTCATGTTACTTTTAGTTGTATTAGTCTGGTTTTTCAACCAAATAAAATTGAAAACACTAAATCACATTTGATGCATCTTACTTGAATGTTTTGAATGAAGATAAAAGTAGTCCAGGGAAAAACAACAGTGCCTTACTTTGACAATTTTGGAAGATAAACTCAATCTCTATGCCATATGGACTACCTGATGTAAACAATCGCTTTCTTTTCTGCACCATGATACCGATTTTGGTCATCGTCTTTGCGTCTCAAATGATTGTGCAAAATCATCGGCAAGACGAAACACTTCCTGCGACGGTGTAAAATGGCCGACAAAGTGTCTAACCTATAGATACAGGTGATACAAGAATATATCACAACCTGAATTCTCCAAAAGGGAGAAGGGCGTGAGTGCCTCCCAAGTCGCAACACGGAAAAAGAGCTTGAAACGAAATTCCGAAGCTCACTAATCTAACAACCTCTACATGAACCGTGATCACTTCGAAGAAGAACGGATGAGCCGTGTCACCAAAGACGGGTCAACGGAATTTTGTGTGATTTTTAAGTAACCGACTGTTCATTCTTGATCGATTCATATGAGCACTTGAGTGGACCTGGGAACCGATGTGCACTTCAGCCAGAAGCCGTCTTTTGTGCATGACGGAAGAGCCGTGATGCCCGAAGGCAAACGGCTGCCATATTTTTGTGTATTATTGCATGGGCATATCGGGGGCGGGATTGTTGTGGTGGCAGATAAATGGTGCCTGTTCATTAGCTATAAACATTCATCTATAGACACTGCCAATAATTGCAGCTCGAAAAAACAGAATAACTTTCGGGGGTGCATTTCTCCTGCTAGGTCCTTCTTGAGGGGATGTCCTACCCAGGGTTTTGTTCGTCACGGTAACACATCATCGCGACGCACCTGATCCTCCTTCAGATTCAATACGAAAGAATTTCAACTTACGACAGTCGAATCAAAGGGAAGATGATTGATGATCAACATGAAAAGATTCGCAACGCCATTGACGAAAAAGACAAAGAAGTAATGTCATGCGGCGCGAGCATGCTTTAATCCATGAAGCAAGTAGATTACGTTCAAAGACGTCTTGGTGTTGTTTAATTCATGCAATCTTCATCATCTAGCGCTCACGCTCGTCTCGTAAAAACACCTGTTGTAATTCATTCTTGTAATGATATTCCTCGTCGTTGCCGCAAGAACAAATTTTCGGTAGGAACACAAATCCGGACAGATCTTGGACTTGTAGAAGCCACCCATTCATCTGAAGACCGCAACGAAGAAGAAGCGGTCGTCCCAACTGAACACATTGGGGACTCATGGAAACGAGGGTCGCTGTTTCGGTCATCGTCTCTGTTTTTTGTATCATAAAGTGGAATAAGAGTCAAAGGCGTACTACAGGATCATGTCATTCAGCGCAGTCTCTCGTGACGAGGGCTCCGCGTTAGCCTAGTAAGGATATATGCTTTGATGTGTCACTGAGTTGCAACTTGTGAAGGGGTGGAGGTAGAGGAGTCCGCAAAATGCTCTCTCAGGTGCGCCTTCGCATGCCGGCGTTCCATTCATTCCAACACTCTTGACAATATCCGCCTGTTTTTTTCGCAAGCTCTTCACGCACCATGTTGCGGCAGTCTCTTCCAAAACACGGATCCACCTTCCATATAATTTGAACCTCACAAGGACGAACTACTTCTTTGCTGCAGTCTCGAGCAAAGTCCTCGATCATCCGTCTGTAAGCCCTCCAGACTCCTCCGGCAAGCCCACATCCGATGTTTCCCGGGAACGCGATGGTCAGAGGTCGAGCTGGTGCTGCAGATCCCTCCATAGTGACTGTCCTCCCGTTAATATCGTTCGAAGAAAAAGCTCCTGCTGGCGGCACTGTGCCTTGGTTTTTCATGTGTTTTTTGCCAGACCTGTTGTCTTCGCGTTCCGACTGTCTTGGCGGTCGTGCTGCTTCTAAGGTAACCGCTCCTACGGTCAAAGGCTCTCTGATTGTCGTGTTGGCCTTCTCATTTCTTGTCTCCGTTCTCTGAGCAGGGCCGCCGCTTCCCTTCTCGTCTCCATTTCCGCTCAGCGAGCATTTCTGATGCAGAAGGTCTATCGATGGAGATAAAACTTCGTCGCCATTAGCTTTCCGTTTTTTACTGCCTACACTCCACTTTTTCTCCCGCTTTCTGCCCCCCGACGGTGGTGGCGGTGCCTTTGAGGGCGTTGCGCTTGCGCTTGCCTCATCAGCTACCTTTCCCACAGACGCTGCAGGAGCTCCTCCTTCAGGCAGTCCATTCTCACTCGGACTCGTCGGCGCTTCTCCCGAACTCATTGGAGCTCCTTCCGGACTCATTGGGACTACACCCAAGTCATCTACACATGGGACGGAATCCACCTCCATCTCTGTCGCTGGCGCGACCTCAATCGCTGTCGTTGGCGCGACCCCAAAATCTGCATCCATATTCTCACTTGAAGCTTTGCTCTCCTCTTGATGCAGGTCTGTGGACACCACTTCCGAGTCCGACAGCACGACAACCTTCTCATCTTGTTCCGCACTCTCTGGTGTCGAAGCTGCCTGGTTAATATCACACCTCTGCGTTGTTTCATTCGCAGCACTTTTGCAGTCTCCTTTCTTGGGTGATCCTCCAACCTTGTCCTTGCTCCTAGAAATTTCCTCTTTTTCTACATCCTCCGTTTTTACTGGAGCGATTTCCCTTCCCATGTCCTTGCCGGCGACCTGTACTACTACATCGTCCTTTTTTACCGCCTCGACTTTGCTTCCAAACGGAGCTTCTGATGAGCCTTGGCTTTCCTCTTGTTGTCTGCAAGTTTTATCGACTATTGATCTGGCTTTCGGGACGGAGGTTAAACCACTCTTCGTAGGAGTGGTAGTTGATGCTGATGAGGCGCCATCTTTCATCAGAGTAGGCATAGGCTTTTGTGCGGGTCCAACAGCGTGAGAGCTAGGCGGGGCAACTAGCTGGTGCCGCTTCAGTTGAGCAAGGAAGTCTCGCAGTCCTTCCTTGAACCACGCCTCGCGCTCTTCTCTCGTATCGCCTTTCGGAGGTTTCGCTCCTACTTTCTTCTGCCCAAAAATTAGATGAGCAACTATACCGAAGTACCAATCTCTTAATATCATGGTGCTGGAAGACCATCATTTTCATTTTTTTTATTCGCTGATGAATGTCAATCATTCACCACTTGGTAACGAAAAGTGGATACACTGAGCGAGGATGGCTTCCGACAAGATTAGTAATTCCCCGTGGCCTTAAAAAGAGGTTCACGACAATAGGCTCGGGCTTATTACCACTTCTGCCTGAAGGTGGATGGCATAGGACTGACTTTCCGGGAATCCGTTGGCCATGTCCATGATAACCTCGTGTATACATGTCCGCGTACGGGTATCTCGTAAACAAAAACTTTGCCAGACCTGCTGCGCTAGTTGTAACACAATTCGTTTGATGGACAATGAAGTCGGCGCCGCAATTCAGCAAGTCCCCATCTACTTCCTTCAGTAGCGCCATCTTCGAACTCATTTTTTCTTCCCTAAAAGTTGCAACAAGAAGAAAGTCAACTCAAAGTTATCAAGGTAAAGGTATCTATCATGGAAAGTATTAATTTCGATGGATAGAATTAGCGAACTACTAGAACCACGTAGATCGCCTCTTAGGAAAGTGTACCCATCAATCATTCATACCTAGTGCTAAAATTCTGAGCGCTGGAATAGCCATTATGAAAGGACTCCTGCTGATTTCATACACAAGTGACTATAGATGATAGGGTCACTGCGTCGACGTCAACACTTCTTGGTGAATTATTGCGCTTTTCCGTAGTACGCACAGAAGGTCACAGCGTATAGGTCCTTCTTTTAACGCGACTATGTCAGATCAGATCACGTAATTGTCACAGTGTAATTCTATTCCGTGGTCTCGTGCTTGGTCTTTGTAAATCATGATAGTATTCTTGCCACGTCGAGAATTACTGCATTGAGACCCCCAAAATCGAAGCCAGCACATATTTTTGGTACGAGATGGTGCTGTCTTGTCTTTGTGATGAAGATCCGAACACGCACAAACCCCAACTCTTTGATTCCATGCAATGAATGTGTCTGTGTCAACATTTAGTAGGTATTCACGTCCTCTCACTGCTAGCGTGAGTTTATATCTCCGAAGACGACCACTGCAGAAAGTGCTTATGCTGTCATCTTTTGCTCAGTTGATTGCTTGACCTTGAGCAGTCTTTGTTTTTCCAAGAGTTGTGCCATGCGATGCAACAGCTGCGGACGGCCCACTGGAACGATAGAGCGATCTCCAAGTAGCTGACAGGAAAGTACGAAGTCCTCTACACGAATCAAAATCGGACGCGCAACTGCACTTTCTTCTTCGTCTTTGAAAAGTGTTTGACTTGTTTCCTCCGCACGCGGCCTTTGTTGAGTTCTACTACCCCTCTCTTCGGCCGCTCCACTACAGGAGGAGAAGCAGCAGACAGGAGAAATTCTATGGTTTTGGCTACAAGGGTGCGAACTACGGTCTTCGCTGGTGTCTATTGCAGAAACATCGTCAAGCGAAAACTCTAAGCAGGACCAGCCTAAAATTTTGTAGGCCGTAAGAAAGGTTTTTGCTTCCATGCTATACAAAAGCGGTTTCTGGTGTACACCATTTTCGGCAGCAGAATGATCCCAAATAGGCTGCTTTTTCATCAGATAGTGGTAAAGCAAAGCCGCACCCTCTTGGCTGAACACGACACGCCGTCCCTCTGTTTGGCGGTGCGTGGTACGAAGGAAGCCCACCGGCACACCGAACCCCACGATCGATAAGCAAGACTTGCTTTTGGAAAATACAGGACTCGAACCCCCGAATGAGGAGACGGCAACAAGGAATTCCCAAACGCAATTTGAAACCGCTACCAGCGTGGAAGCCACAGGGCTCAAGTTCCGTCGGAGAAAGCGCGTCGCTCGTACTACCCCATCATCTTTGTTCCTGGTGTGGTTCCTCTGGTGCATCACTTCATCCATATGAAAAGTCCTGTGCCTCTCAGCATCATTGCAATCGCTGCTCGGCATACAGCACTCAATTTTTGCAGCATCGCCCTGCTTTAAAGTTACTTTCCGAGTCCGGTATGTTGTCTCAGTCTGATGCTGTATAGGTTTGACATCCGCCACCTCTTCGGGTTGCATATCTCTTCGACGAACGATGGTGGCGATGAAAAATCCACCGCTCTCTTCTCCAGGCAGAATTGCGAAGCCAGCACGTCCCGGGGTCGCGAACATGATATCACAGGATGAAGAAGAGGCTGTACAACTGTCCTCTTCCGCCTTCGCTCTGCTGTTAAACGACTCAACATCCGGCGATCGCGCGGCAGAAGACCCCAAGGACAGGTGTGGTTCACCTGTTCCCGCAACCATGGAACATCTGGCTCCCTCCAGGTTTGCATGTTTTTCGCCTCCTCCTTCGTCCCGTGCCTCCCGCAAAAGCGAAAACTCCCACGCTGGTGCGTCACTGAACGCGTCTAGAAGCTTATCGGGATACGGCAAGGGCTCTCCGAAAAGGTCTAGGAGTCCACTTTTCTCAAGCTCCTCTTGCATCCCATTCGCTTCTTTAGCGCTTGCCTACATTCATCTTGACAGTCATCCTTGGCGTTTTTCCTTCCCTTCCTAAATGTGAAAAGATCAAACAGATATGCATGCACAAGATGAAAGCCTAGGGTGTTTCTGGTATGCTACTAAATATTTCGGTTTCGGATTGATACGATAACAATTCTGCTCAATAATCAGATGAAAGATGATCTATGACAAGCCTTAACTTCTGCAAGCACCTCCAAGACGACTTGGTCATTTTCGATGGGGTTCAAGGAACAGGTCGAGTACACAAGCACACCACCTGGGGCCAGATGCGTCAGCGCGTTCCGCAAGATGCTCTTCTGCAGTGGCTTGTTCGTCTTGGCGTGGCGCGACGTCCAAGCATGCAATTTTTTGGGATTCTTCCGGATTGTTCCATCCCCGCTACACGGCACGTCGCACAAAATCAAGTCGAACAATGCTCCAGAACGAGTACCTCGCGTAGGGTGCTCCTCGTGGTCAAAACTGCGACCCTGGTCACGGCCCTTCACCTCTTCTTTCTCAGGCCTGCAGTCAGGCACAGGTGCGGAAGCATCAGCATTTTGAAGTTTCTTTTCATAGGAAGTGAACCTAGAAAAATCTGAGCTCGCAGCATCCGCGCAGGTGACAACAAGGTTCTTCACTAACTCCGGATGCAACTGCGCGCAACGGTGCCACACTTGCTCGCACCGAGAGCGATCCACATCGTTCGCTACTAGCAAAAAATCAGACTGATGCCGAACATCATTTGCGAGGGTATCCAGCAGCTGGCAAGTCTTGCTTCCCGGTGCACTGCACGTCTCTAATGCGCGTAGACGACGAAAAACCTTCTTCGTCTCTTTGTAGTTAGCGGAATGCCCGTGTTCACTTCTACGTTGTTGCGTATCAACATCGTGACGTTGATGTTGGTCTTGATGATGGGACAAATTATAATTCCTTGACGATGTGATCATGCTCTGCAGAGCCAATATACCCAGATGCACCGGCATCTGCGACGCTACCTCTTGCTGACAGAGTTCGCCTGACACCTTCATAAAATACAAGTCATCAGGATCACTCGGACCCTCTAAATCAGGTCCGCCGAAACCGGTTAAGCACTCGCCGCACCGCATTGGCGTATGTCGAAAGCCCAGTGTAGAAAGAGTTGAAAGACTTCTGCTTGTAGGCGAAAGACTTCTGCTTTTATTCAGCTCCTCGCGTCCACCCATGATTTTTTCTTTTCTTATTCTTTGTTGCCTACTTATGATTGGTTTTCTTTTCCACTCTGTTCTTGCTCCCTGGTGTTCCACCACAAAGCTCGGTCCGCTCTCGTTCATCCGCACCGTCAACGGCAGCGGGTTATAAAGCCATCGTTCGTGCACCTCTCGTCTCCACCAAGGAGCAAGAATGTTCCGGTAATTCTCCAAGAAAGCGCAACTACTCTTCGACACTCCCTCACTCATGTTAGAGCTACCACTTCCCTTCGTTTCACTCCCCTGCGTTTCATTTTTTAGGAGAGAATCCGTGGTCTCGTTTTCCTCGATCTGAAAAACTACAACGAGACCAGAGATGCTGTTGAGGATCACGAGGTAGTAATAGCCTTAAAGATCTTATTCTGATCTGTGACCGTGCCTAATGCCGAGTTGCTTGCTTGATGTCCTTCTACCTCAACCTCTGGAGATGGAGCTTGAAGTCGAAATCTTAAGTTTCCACGCATTCGGGGACACGCGTAATGAAGGGAACATCTGATTACTTTGGAGTAGGCGTGCAAACAATTACACAGGCATCAACATGTACAGGCTAGATGTCTTGTAGAGAAGCAGGTTAAGAGGAAATGAAGGAGAGACAGGATTACAAGGACACGCGTAATCATGAAAGTCATTTTTCCTTCTCCCCGGGTTGATGCGGACACAAGCGCTGCTTCCCCGCCAGCGGATCTGGGAGGCGGAGGAGTGCCCATTTTTTGAATCCAGTGCACTATGTAGGGTTGCGCCGCACTCCTCGTGTAGTTGATGACCCTCGTCCAAGTTGTGGTGGATGATCCAAGCTGATGCTCCAACTTGCGCCTCGTGGGGTCGATGATCCAAGTTGTGGCGGACATCCTCTAGTTCCAACGCCACTAAGTCACCATCATGCACGAAGGAGTCGTTGGCTCGAGGCTCCCCATTCACGTAGACCTTGCGCTGTTCGCAGGCGTGATGTGCACTCACTGCCGCACGAGGAAAGCTGCCATCCACGCCGTTCTCCGCCACTGCCAGTTCACTGCGGAACGCATACGCTACGAACTTCTGCAGTCTCATGCAATGTTGCTTTTTGCCCACCAACTCCAACTCTGCTCTACTCTCAAAGCCGTCACTAGGTTCGACGCCGGCACTAGGCTTCACTAGGTTCTTTCCACGATTTCTCGTAGCACTGCCTTCAAGGCGTCTAAAACTTTTGTTGCAGGAGCTTTTCGTTCTGGTTCTACCCAGGCGGAACTTTTCACTTTTCTCACAATTTTCACTTTTCACGGACTCATTCTCGAGAGTCTTCTTCGAACTCGAAGGCGCCATCTGGATCTCTGGTGTCGGACGATCTTCGCCTTTGCCAATTCGAAGGGCCTCGTCCTCCTCCACTTCGGGAGGCGCGTCTCCCGAGATCGATTCGCAAGAAACCATCCACTCTTCGCCTAGTAGCGTCCTTCTCGAGTTTTCTATCGGTACGATTCTGATCTTGGCGTCCTCTTGGTCCGGAATGCTCAGACTCATGCCAGGAGACAGCACACAGCCTGAGTCGGATACAACACAGAGCCAAAACCTGCGATCGGGTTCCGTTCTCCGGATCTCATCATCCCACCACGCTGAGGACCCAAAAAGACGAAACATGACGGCCTTTTATTCACATGATACGTGCCGACTCTGCTCGTGCTCCTTCCGAGACACACAATTTAACTACTTAAGGGAATACGCCTACTTGGAAAGTCATCTAGTGACAATCGACTAGTACTCGTGACACACGTCCCTGGTGACTGCTAGCATTCCAGTAAAAGCTGCTAGTGAATAAGATTATTCAACTATTCAAGTCGCAGTTTCATCCACCTACCACACCTTAGAGAAAGGCTACCAGAGACAAAGGCTACCAGAGACAAAGACTACAACTCCGAGCGCAGACAATTCAGGTATAAAGCCTCTACCGTTCATCAACAACTTTGTTTTATAAACCAGAAGTTGATAATTGGACTTTGAATCGAAACAGTTGAATCACGAACATTTAAGTCTGGGCACACACTAGTGGTAGTCATGATGCTACTGATCTAAATTGTCACCTTGATAAATTCATCGCATTCATCTGCTCTACCCATAGGATAGGATAGGATAGGATAGGATAGGATAGGATACGACAGGACAGGATGCTTCTACTTCGCTGTCACATCAAGGTGACTGCTCCGCTTCAGCAGATTGACCGTCGCCAACTTTTTTGTCCTCCTGTCTAGAATTTGTTGCGACCTCTTCGCAATGGATACGGTCATCAGGATCATCTATCTCATGCTTAGTTCTCTTACAACCAATCTGGCCTGGACGTTCTACTTAGAAAAAACGGGTACTTAATAAACAACGACGCTTACTGTCAATTATAGAGTGTCCCTTTCATTGTACCTTTGGATCCTTTGCGAGAAGGACTATGAAGATCTAGGAGATAGCGAGATCTGACCATACCTCTTGCTGCAGATAGAGTTCCATGAAACGCGGGAAGATGGATCCCCGTTTTGTATTGCACGAGCTCTCTTCCTTCATCCATGTCGTCCAACTTTATGTACCCTCAAAAATGAGCAAAATTTTCGAAGAACAGAATTGAGGATATGATCGAGTGTCAGAGCACCAGTTACAACATACTCCTTCTTAGACAGGTATTCTCAGAATCGATACTCAACGTTTCTTTGCAGGAGGTAGCCAGCCAATTCAAATGTTGACAACAAGATGGTCTAATTCTTTCGCTTCGTGTTCTTGTATCCTTCGCTGGCAAACATTTTATCGAGCTACCATGAGCATGACATCGATCTACCATAGCGATCAGTCAATGGCTGACCTACAACATCAGGCTGATCAGATTTGTGATGTCTTTATTGTTAGGGTGTAGTGATTAGGCAGTCAATAACCTCCGCAAGGCCAACCCTGTTTGCCAATGCTTTCCCCAGCATATTTTCTCGCACCTCATTTGATTTTGGATCCTTTGGTTTCTCGAGGAGTTTATCGAGGAAGCCTGTTTTTTTTGCTTCTTGAAGATCTTGCGCTGTAAGAGCATAGAGTCGCTTAGCCACGGCGTCGTCCACTTTTCCGTTTTTCACTTGGTGGATTTTATCCCACATTGTCGCTTCCTCTACGAAGCCCGTTTTCGCTGCGTCACCCAACCCCTCAGCGGCAACTATGAGCTGTGCTGCAAAGTCCGGGTTTGCATCGGGGTGTTTCTCCTCAAGACACGTCCCCAGATGGAATGAACAGAGTCAGAGTCGGAATTAGTGTCAGACTTTCATCATCATAGAGGATGCGAGTGGTTCCTTGAATACGGCTCTCCTTGACTTCTACAACGGGAATTTCGATCAGGATACTGCACACCAGATGATGGAGTTCTAGCCTTATATACATAAGAACAGGGACCGCGATCTCAGTACTACACAGCTGCAAGCCGAACACAGAAGCGAAAGCACTTCTCAAGGCCATCAACTAGCGATCCGCCAAATGCACTACCACACCCCGACCAACCCTGATGGCCCAACAACTATGCCACAATAACAACAAAAGAAGCACCCCACGGAACCAGGTGACTCAGCGAGCTGACGCACGTAGCTGCTGCACGTCCACACTGCAGTAGCCTTGCCCAGGCTGCGGCCTGGGACCACCGCAAGAACGGCCGAGGATTTGCACCTAATGGCCCGGGTGGGCACATCCTCCCAACGTCTAGGGGCTAACTCGCTCGCGAGTTAGCGCACGCTCCGCGGCACTTGTCCCCCTACGATCCATCTATGATAAATGAACGGCCAAAGCCGTCGTGGGTTTGTAGCAGGCAGGCGGCTGCCACAGCTTGCCCAGCCGCGTGCTCAAAAGGTAGAAAAGACTGGCGATCGCATCACGACGCTAATTTCCGGCAGACGCCTCATGGGAACCGGTGGCTTATCTCCCAGGCACGGGCTCATTGCGTACGGCAAGAACCGCCACGCCTGGCACCTACAAAGGAGGGAAACTTTGAAAAACACCCGTTGACGAACTGACACACCCACGGCCCAAACGAATCGAGACAAGGCGCGGGGCCTTCCGCCTCTGGCAGTCGGAGTTCACTCGATCGAGCTATGCCACAGACCCCGAAGTATAATTACCACAAACGAAAGCAGAAAAATTCGCCAACGTCGTCGTAAATTCCCCAACGTCGTCGTGAGCCTGCGTACAAATCATGCGCCTAACTATCCAAGTGTGCTCAGTAAGTCGAGCTACCTTTCAGAAAAAAAAAGTTCAGAAATACCGACTCATAATTCACCTCGTTTGCTTCGGAGGAATTTCCTGAAGTCGGACTTCTCGTCTTTAATGCTCTGAAATAATCTCTTACACGGCCCTCCTACTCGATATAACGGCCGTGGATTTTCACTTTTGAGGTAATCGATGATCTCGGCAAGATCTTTCAAGACCGCACCCATTTCGGCAAAGCTTGGAGGGACAGGGTCCGTCAATTTTTTGACACGGTCAGGGTTGCGCGCTACCTAGTTTTTAGGAGGCCCGCACACTTCGAGAGAGAGAGAGAGAGAGAGAGAAAGAGACCAACACCTCCCACGACCACGCCCTACTACGTACATTTGGTTGTCCTAAAAATACAAGTAGAAAGAGCAGCCGCGGAGACGACACTCACCCAGAACTCCCAGAACTATCGCGTTGCTAAGTTGGAAAAGAAAGCGTGCAACACAGCGCAATACCAGTTGCCTCTTTCGCGGAGTTTGGCGTGGCTGTTGTTGCGGTGTCCCTTGCGGCGCTGGTGCCTTTTGCATTTGCTGGAGTGCCGTCTCCTCCTCGTTGATGCCTTTCTGCACCGTCGACATCTCCAGTTGCTGCTTTCTTTCCTCCAGCATTAGCTCATCTACCTTCCGCTTTTGCTCGTTCTGTAGTGCCGTAATCTCCTCTCTAACCCTCACCTGGTCCTTTGCTGCTTCCTAAATTAGAGGCTCAGGGTTTACGGCGCCTCTTAGGATTAGGCCTCTACTGCGTGTGCCTCTGATGTAGTCACTCGCGACCAACTCCGTTCGTCAGCATAGAAGCATCTCTAGTGCTTAATCTATATTACCAGCGACCGGCTTAGGTATAAATTGCAACTCGAACAAAAAAAAGCGAAAACAACCTTTAGCAAACTAGAAGTACCTTTAAAGAAAAAGTCTAAGTAGTCATCTAAAAGAGCCTTTCGCTTACATTATCTTAATTCCTCGGCCTTCTGAAAGTCGTCGCCATCCGTAGGCGCCTGCTCAAGCTCGCTCTTCTTCGATTTAGATTTTTTACTTCACAACCAAAGTCACGGGTAGGATCACATACTTTACTACCATGATCGCACATAGTAAAGGAAGTTCGCGACTGAAGCCCTTCACATCAACACCTTTGAAGGCGAGCACTGCCCTGACTACAAAAATGAATGGGGCCAACGAGCTTTCTGATCATCACGATGCCCCATTTAGTACTTCTAGCCGAATGGCGGGACAAGACAGTTCCAGCAGTGTTTTCTCACCTATCATACTGAGCAAGAGCCTCTACTTATGAATCAATGCGCCATACCTTCTGTCAGCTTGCTTTTCAGGTCGACTTTCGTCATTAGAGCAACCAAAAGTGCTGCTGTTCCTAATCGTCCAAAAAATAGTAATTATACAAACTGTTACGGACGAACAGGATCTATCTTAGGAGTACGTTTACGAGAAAACTACTCCTGGAAAAGTTTATTGCAGCACTGGAGGACTTGTAGCATGCTTCACTTCATTGTTTTCACGGACGGGCTGCTTCTGGTGTTAGGTGGCATCCACTACCTCAATCTCTCTTCGACAGTTTGATGCTAGGTAAGGACCATCTTCAAACATGCATGATGTCTCGAGTTTCATATTAGGATATTAGGAAAGAAGTGGGCTCAACTACGACGAGGCAAGCGTTCGGGGCTATAGAAGAGCCGGAAGAGATTGAACGACGCTACTCAATACAATGCAAAAAATCTCGCACAAAGTTCAGTGCAGACTGCCATAGCGGTGTCGTAGTTGTTCTCTCCTTAATTGTTGGTACTCTTGTTCAACTTCCGCGAAGCGCTCCTCTTCCACCTTCGTTTCAGCTTCTTCTGCTTTCGCTTGCATTAGCAATTTCTTGGTTTCTTCGGACATCTCCGCTTTTTTAGAAACGAGCCTTAACATTTTTTTACCCGTGTGACAGATAGGTAGTTGAGTGAGTGAGTGAATGAATGCGCCTAGCTCGAAGTGATGCAAGTTGTGTTCTATGTCGCGACCCTTGTAACAGGACATAGTGATAGACAAGGACAAGCTATTCTTAACTACAAATGCATATCTTCCGGTATAGCACTACAACGAACTCCAGTTTGTTTATCCAATGTCTTTGGCAACAGGAGCCAATACGCCAGCTGTGGCGGATATGTTCGATGAATACTGCTCTTCCGCAAGTCAGCATCCACATTTCTGATTTAGTAGTAGTCTCATCCGTCCCTCTCTACGTCGTTTGACCACCTCTTAGTATCATTATTGTAATCTAAGTGTTCAAGAATCTTCCGATCTTCTTCGACGCCGTACATTCTTCCATCGCAGCAATCCCCTCCGAAGCCTTCTCCTCATTTTGCTCGATAATCGTCTCCAATTCATAGTAGTCCCCTTCCAAACTGGAAAGTTTAGACGAGAAAACGAACAATCTTGCAAGTAGACAATTAAAAAACTAAGTTTAGAATTGTCAAGAAGAATAAACTCTGGGGTGAATCAAGAACTTCTTAGAAGGAAGAATCAGCAATGAAAGTGAAGAGAGTTATTACACTCAAAAACAATGTATATAGAGTGTTGACAGTCTTCTGTCAGGACATCGATCGCCTTCTCCCGACTAAAGTGACTCCTTACGTGTTTTTCTTCACTTGAAATAAAAAGTTAATCAGAGAACCTCGGACGAAAGAAGAAGAAGCTTACTACATGATAAGATGAGCTGAAGGAACAATTTTGTAAGTGCGGATGTGGCACTGCAGTGATTCGACCTCAGCGTATTGTGCCTCCCATGCATAGAGGTCCACATATTGGCAGTCTTATCTAAATTCAAATATGTACTTCCACGTTGTAGCACTTGGTACTACTGAACGTAAAGAAGCGTACTTATCACCTTAACAGTCTCTTCGTCCACTTGCCGGATTTCTTCCTCCAGCTGTTCTACTGTTTTACTAGGGTGCAATTCTACGAGCGTACTGGCCAAGGGGACTGCACCCCGTAACCGTCTATCGCGATTTCGTGCTGATGCTGTATCAATTGGGACCTTTTCGTCGTTTGGTTTCGATCCGTGCAAGGCCCTGGCCCACAACAACTCTTAGCGCTAAATGTTTCTCAGAACGAAAGACCGGCAGAGACACAACGACGTATTCTACCTGTACTTCTAGAGACTAAGATGTTGGTATCGCGACGACTCACAGGAACTAGAACCACCATGACTAGAATCTTTTTCGCGGGCAGCAAATGCCTCGGAAAATCAGGTGCTTCCTGAATCATGACTGAGAACAACATTATCACTTTTATAAGCCATAACAATCGGAAAAATCGATATCGAGAGGGTAGCTGCAGCAACGTCGAACCAGACACAGCACAACAAGAATGGATGCGATTGCCGTAGCCAGTTTAGCAAACCACAACCCGGAGCCTCTCGTGTCTTGCCCAATTGCAGAATTTTTAGAACACTCAAAAAATATCGACTCCCTCGCTGCAACTGCAGATAACTTTGACTCCACTTAAGTAGGAAAATTCGTATCCTACGCAGATATGTCTCTACCATCTACTCAACTCTATCATCTATTCGACACCACACAAACTCTTCATTAGGGCACCTTATCCACGCTCTTGTAACCCTAACCCACGAGCCTCTACATATCTCTTTCGATTTGGTATAGAAAAACTGGATTTAATGTTGCAGAGCCCCGTGAGTGAAAACACGACACCACAGATATGCCTTTTACACATGCGAAAGCCGTAAGTAAAACACGATCCTTTTCCAGGCAGTCCTCTGCATCCTCAGCCGCAGAGGCTAACTCGGCCTTTGCGACCCCGCCGACGTCGCCTTTTTTGCTGTCCAGCACGTACAGACCGTAGTTACCACCCGACAAAGACGGCAGCAATGGCGCAGTGTCCAATCCTTAGAGCCAGCAAGTGATCTCAGACACCAATGTGGTTTCTTCGCGTGTTGTTCTTGTGGACTATGATAAATTAGTTCAAAGTGCCATATACCACACTGCGTAACTGCACAGATACTTTTGCTTATGCTTAATAGGACTATCACAACACCGGTCCTAAGCGTCCTTTGTGCAGCTATCTTCACTTCGGTTTCGCACGCCAACTTCGCCTGCGAGCGGTTGTAACTCGCCCTCGTATTCGCTCATCTTCCTTCTGGCGTTCCCTCACCTCGTACACAAGCTTTGAAGCAGATAGAACAGTGCAGAACGACGCAGAACTACTCTACTCAGACCAGAGGTAGAATTACGAAGCCACGACACGGCACCTCTTCAGCTTCTCGTCTTTTGATCACGTTGCCGCGCTTTTAAGGACGTTGCCGTCATGTTTTCTTGACTTGGCTTGCAGTCACATTTTCTTATTTAATGGAAAGAGCAAAGAAAAAATCCAATGACACATTGCAGTCAGCTAAACTACATCACGCTAAGCCATCAACTTCTAGCCACTGGAGTAGCAATCTTTCCAAACTTTTTCCAGTCGTCTTCAACAAAGATCTCTTCAGGTCTTTTGTGAATGTGTAGATGCTCGGCAGTTCCAGCAAAAGTTTCAACTCCACACATCTTTTTCAATCGCAGGAGGCATACATCCATTGAACGGCGTTCTCCCTCACTTGATCGCTCCACAAATACAGAAGCCGACTCCGCTTTCTCTCCGCCTGTTACAGTTCTTGCTACAATCCTCAACCATGTTGGAGAGAACCACATCAAAGAAGACAGCTGCTAAATATTAAGAGCAATAAAACTTTGCAAACACATCCCTTCGGAAACCTCAACCTCCAACACCCAAACCCTAAACCTCCAACACCCAAACCCAAAACCTCCAACACCCAAACCCAAAACCTCCAACCCCCAAACCCAAAACCTCCAAACCTCCGACACAAAAACAAACAAACCCCAAACCCATGAACCCATGAACCCATGAACCCATGAACCCATGAACCCATGAACCCATGAACCCATGAACCCATGAACCCATGAACCCATGAACCCACGAACCCACGAACCCACGAACCCACGAACCCACGAACCCAGGAACCCAGGAACCCAGGAACCCAGGAACCCAGGAACCCAGGAACCCAGGAACCCAGGAACCCAGGAACCCAGGAACCCAGGAACCCAGGAACCCAGGAACCCAGGAACCCAGGAACCCAGGAACCCAGGAACCCAGGAACCCAGGAACCCAGGAACCCAGGAACCCAGGAACCCAGGAACCCAGGAACCCAGGAACCCAGGAACCCAGGAACCCAGGAACCCAGGAACCCAGGAACCCAGGAACCCAGGAACCCAGGAACCCAGGAACCCAGGAACCCAGGAACCCAGGAACCCAGGAACCCAGGAACCCAGGAACCCAGGAACCCAGGAACCCAGGAACCCAGGAACCCAGGAACCCAGGAACCCAGGAACCCAGGAACCCAGGAACCCAGGAACCCAGGAACCCAGGAACCCAGGAACCCAGGAACCCAGGAACCCAGGAACCCAGGAACCCAGGAACCCAGGAACCCAGGAACCCAGGAACCCAGGAACCCAGGAACCCAGGAACCCAGGAACCCAGGAACCCAGGAACCCAGGAACCCAGGAACCCAGGAACCCAGGAACCCAGGAACCCAGGAACCCAGGAACCCAGGAACCCAGGAACCCAGGAACCCAGGAACCCAGGAACCCAGGAACCCAGGAACCCAGGAACCCAGGAACCCAGGAACCCAGGAACCCAGGAACCCAGGAACCCAGGAACCCAGGAACCCAGGAACCCAGGAACCCAGGAACCCAGGAACCCAGGAACCCAGGAACCCAGGAACCCAGGAACCCAGGAACCCAGGAACCCAGGAACCCAGGAACCCAGGAACCCAGGAACCCAGGAACCCAGGAACCCAGGAACCCAGGAACCCAGGAACCCAGGAACCCAGGAACCCAGGAACCCAGGAACCCAGGAACCCAGGANGAAACCACGAAACCACGAAACCACGAAACCACGAAACCACGAAACCATGAAGCAATGGGATTGAATCTCGGGGGAAAGGGCTTAAAATCAAAAATTTTGGGACCTTAGCACTTCAGACTCACGGGATTCACTCTCAAAATGGCGAAAAATGTGGAAAATTTTCGAAATTTGAAAAAACGCGAATCCAAGGAATTAAATTCCAGACAAAGGGCTTAAAATCAAAAACTTTGGGATCTTAGCACCTCAAACGCACGGAATTCACTCTCAAAATGGCGAAAAATGTGGAAAATTTTCGAAATTTGAAAAAACGCGAATCCAAGGAATTAAATTCCAGGGAAAGGGCTCCAAGTCAAAAACTTTGGGACTTTAGGGCTTCAAAGGCACAAAATTCAGCCCCAAAATGGCGCCAACATGTGGAATTTTCGAAATTTGAAAAACGCGAAGCCAAGACATTCAATCTCAGCGAAAGGGCTTAAAATCAAAAATTTTGGGATCTTAGCCTTTCAAACTCACGGGATTCACTCCCAAAACGACGAAAAATGTGGAAAATTATCGAAATTAGAAAAACGCGAAGCCGAGAGCTTGAATCTCAGGGAAGGGCTTAAAGTTAAAAACTTTGGGGCTTTAGCACTTCAAACGCGCAGAATTCAATCCCAAAACGGCGACAAAATGTGGAAAATGTTCGAAATTTGAAAAATGCAAATCCATGAGGCTGAACCTCAGGGAAAGGGCTGAAAGTCAAAAACTTAGGGACTTTAGCGCTTCAAGCGCCCAAAATTCAATCCCAAAACGACAACAAAACGTGGAGAATTTTCGAAATTTGAAAAATGCAGATCCAAGAAACTGAATTGCAGCGAAAGGGCTGAAAGTCGGAAAGTTTTGGGATCTTAGCCCTTGACCTCAAACGCACGAGATCCAATCCGCAAACGATGGCAAAACGTGGAAAATTTTCGAAATTTGAAAACGCGTATCGCTTACATCTTTGCCCTGCTTAGTTTCTTACTTTGGGGAGGAGGGGGATCCTAGTGGGAGGGATGTTATCGGACGCTCCAAGCTAGTAATAATGATGATGAAAGGAGGACTAGACGGCGATAAGTAGCTGCTAATAAATATGATTCTTGCATCCACCACTTGCGCCAGACATCTGCCTACTTGGATGAAGTATGGGCAACTTATACATTTCTGGCAATTTGGAGCTGACGTGCCACGCTTGCCCGACTATTTCTCAAGCGCGAACACCGGTTTTGGTATTCTCCATCATTCTCACCCGCGCTAGGCAAGCGATCCGCTTAGAACATTGCCTTTGTAGTCGTTCTTTGGGTTTTAGTATACCATGAGTACAACAACAACTCAAGTGATTCAGATTATCCTTGAACAATAATTGGTTCATTTCGCATATCAGAAGACTGAAATCATCTTCCAATGTCGAAGGCTATGTCCAGACACGTGAGTCTCAATCTTTCGCATCGGTGACCGCTGCGAAGTTCCCAGCACAGACTTCGAGAAGCCACGACGACTCTACTGCCATGACGCCGCGCATGTAGGTCTTGGTGGTGGTAACCAACTCCGCAAAGAGCACGACCTCCGGCAGGGGGCGCGCCTGGAAGAGCCCGCTCGAAGGATGGATTCGGCAGTGCTGACGGTCGGCAGCAGTGCAGTACTCTCCGGTCTTCGCCGAAACGAGGAAGGCAGTGTTGGTGAAATTCGCTTTCAAGAAGCATTTGCGGACGGGATCGAATGTCTGCTGCACGCCTCCCTGTGTGGCACTAGAAGCAGCTCTAGACGAAGTAGTCGTCGAGGAGGTACTGCCACCTCCGCCGCATGAAGTGATGTGCTGCACGCCCAAAGCATGAATTAGAAGTTCTTTAAGCTGCGTGCGAACCTTTTCCGCGCGCTGCAATGCGAAGTGATTCAGGCCGTGCACGTGGCAGAAGTGCCTCTGCAGTTTGGCCGGATGACGTTTCCACTTCCGGTAGACCTGCAGTAGTGTGAGCTGGTCTCCCAGGGGGTGCCTCAGACTGTCTCGCGTCTCTTTCTTCGCCCGATCGTTCTCCACGTTGAGGAAAAAGACCGCGTCAAGCGAAAGCATTGCCACTATGGAGAGAACCTCCGCGACGCACTCGAACTCGACACTCCGGATGAGCGCCAAACCGAAGAGCGGATGCAGCGGCAGTCGTGCCAATTGCTGGCCGAGCGTCGTCAGTTCTAGTTTCCGGTCCAAGGCTTGCACGCGTTTCAGGAAAAAACAGGCCTTGATCATGTTCTGCTTCGGGGGAACATCTAAGAAGGGAAACTTGTCCACCTTTTGCACCCTCAAACTTTTAAGCAATAAAAACAACTGCGAGAACTCTGTGCGCAGTATCTCTGGAGGCGTCTGGGCCAAAAACTTGTTTCGAAAAAAGGACTCCGGATAGATTCGGTAGCACTCACCCGGAGCCTCCCGTCCCGCACGGCCCGCCCGCTGCTCCGCCTGGGCGCGGCTCGTTTCTACGATTTTCAAGCATTCGACCCCGGTAGTGGGATGTGCGATTTTCAACTTCACATAGCCAGCGTCCACAACGTATCGGATTCCGGGAATCGTAATTGAGGTCTCCGCGATGTTTGTTGCCAACACAACCTTGCGCGTCCCCGAAGCTGCCGGTGTGAAAACGCTCATCTGCTGGTCGAAGGGGAGCGCCGCATAGAGCGGACAAATAAGCAAGTCGTCCTCTAAAATCAGCGGCGGAGCCTCAGCGCCGTCCTCTTCTGGTACGTGGACAGGAGCCTCATGACCATCTTCTTGCTGTACTTCCCACGGAGAAGCATCGTCCACCGCCCCTGGCGAAGTTTGATGCGCAGCCGCGCTCGCTAAGTTTGGATTGTCTTCAGCAGGCCCTTCAGAGTGGAGAGGTACTTCCTCCTTGTCGCTTAGACGCTTAAGCTCGGTGTCCACTCGTCCACTACCAAAATCGCCTTCGTTCCGCCGCCGTTCTTCGAGCAAATGGTGCAAGCTCTCGATGGCTTCTTGCCCGGGCAGGAAACAGAGGATATCCCCGCCACTAGGCTTATTGCGATGCAGCTGCAGGCACGCAGTCGCACATGCCAGGAGGTAGTCGTCCGTGGGTGTTGGCGTGTAGTATACTTTCACTGGATGCTGGCGACCGGGCACCTCAACCACCTCCACTTGGAAAGGATCATCGTCCTTCACGTTTGGGGAGCTGCCATCTGCTGTTCTATTATCGTCAGGTGTACTGGCGTTCGAGAAAAAATTCACAAAGGTTCTAACTTCTAACGTTGCACTCATCACGATCACCTTGAGCGGTTGCGGAGGGGGAGTGGCAACTGGCTCTTCCTGGGTGCATTCGTCGGCACTTGCACCTTCATTCGTTACGGAATTCTTTCCGCCGCTTCGCGTCCACTCTCGATGCATCCGCCGCCGCTGCACCAAAGCTTGTTTAACCAGACCCATGAGAATGTCAGTCTGCACACTACGCTCGTGCGCCTCGTCGAGCAGGATGCAGCTGTACTGGGAGAAAAGCGGGTCTTGGACCGCCTCGCGCACGGCCATACCATCTGTCAAAAAGAGAATCTTGTTCAAAGCAGAGCAGCACTCCTGAAAACGAACGCGGTAGCCTACATCACCCCCAGCGCCCAACGGACTGCCCATTTCGCTCGCTACTCGTGCAGCAACACTCGTGGCCGCCACACGCCGCGGTTGCGTGCACAGGACTTTGCGGTGCACAAACTTCGCCAAAAACTGTGGAACCTGGGTCGTCTTACCCGATCCCGTCGCTGATTGCAGCACGACCACATCGCTGCGGGCGTACGCGGCAAGGATCTCTCGCTTGTGACGCGTCACTGGTAACAGGTCCTCTGCGTCGTCGCCACACTCCGCCTGCACATCCGCTTGAATCGGAACAGCATCGTGTGGCTGTTCTCCATCTCCGCCGACGATGATTGGAGGCTCCTCGACTACCCTAGCACCAATATCCTCATTTCCCTCGTTTTTGGTTTCGCTTGACGACTTAGATCTTTGTTTTCTCTTTTTCAGCAGCTTCTTTTTCTTCTCGATCGGAAAATCGGGTACGGATGCCACTGCCTCTCCGACGTCAGAGTCCTCTCCTGCATCGGGAGCCACCGCAGCGGTTGGAGGCTGTCGCGTTCGCTTCATTTTCATCCACTTGGATTGGTCATTGGTTTTGAGTGTCGCTACCGTACTAAATTAATCAGGTGCAGGATGTCGTTAGTCCAAGTTGCTAATAAGTAATATCTTCGAGTACTTATAGCTCTCATTATATTGATATGTATACAAATAGTCGCTGTCAGGAGGAGCTTGTTTTCAACATGTTTACACAATTCATTACAGTACACAGGAATACAACATGATGACTTCTTCTGTATCTGTGGGGAAAAAATTAGGCAGGATGCGTCATCATAATTTCGGCTCAAATAATGGTCACTCTGTACCACTGGCAAAACGAAACAGTTCCTGAAAGGATCCCGAGGCACATGAACAATAGCAAGAACGATTCAGAGTCCTAGTGTCGTGATCTCCACTGGATCCATGATACAAACTTAGGGAAGATCGAATTAGAAGATCTCTGAAGATCCAAAATCGCAGAACAAGATCTTCTTGGTCTTTCCACAACAATGATCTCTGAACCTTGTACTTGTCGTTATGGATCTACTACTTGTTCTTGTGGACTTAAGTAGTTCCAGATGATTGTCGTGAACGTACGACATCAGATCTTCACATAAGTAGAATCAAAGACTGATGTGCTCACTCTCGCTTCGGCAAAGAGACGCCAGAATCTTCGACCGCGGCTGAAACCAATGACGAGAAGGAGCTCCCATGCCAGCTGAATGCGGTAGCTACAGTAGCTAGTTTGCTTCATAACAACGCGTCCGGAGATGGAGATAAGTATGCACAAGAAAAGCAGCCAGGGAAGATGCAACAACGTATTGAATCGTACAACTTTTGAAAATATTATCAGGTTACGAAAAGGAATTTTGATGAAATGTTTTACGATAATTTCCCTCATCTTTAGATAAACTTTGCGCCAAGTAATCAGTAGGTCTGATTTTCTTTAGATATTTTCACAAGACACGAGGTTCAACTCTTCTTTAGATTTGGAATGTAAGTCAAGATTCTCTTGAGAGTACTCCACCCTATCGAAACTCTGTAATATGCGCCTCTGATGCGACCGTTCGTGCTCAGAGGAAATGGCAAGATGACAAACAACTAGTCCTCAAAGACGAAGGTTTTTATTCCCCAAAGTGCAACACCAGGTCTGTCGCCTTCACTATATGTGTCGACACCTTCTTCTTGATGTCTTCTCCAGTTCATCTTCTGATGATTGACTGCTCTCTACAACTCTGCCTGTTCTTTCTCCTGTTCCATGACAAAGCGATGGAAATCCTCCTTCTCGAATTTATCAACTTGCCAATCGAGACCCCGCCATGGCTGCAGCTGCAGAAGCTTCGTGTCTAGACTTTCAGAGTCTTGACTGTCTCCGAAATTTTAGAGCAGACATTCTTGACCAGCATGATCTTCGGATAAAGGAGGAAGAGAGATGCTGTTATAACTAAATGCGTCATGTCATGGTGCCTCTTGTATAGCATTGCGCATCTATGTATCAGGCCATTCAGTGAAGTGGTACCTCCTAGGGAGAGTCTATTTTCATATTTACTAAACCTACTTCCACGCCAACATTGCAGAAAAACGGCTTCTGCTCTTTTTCAACATCTAATGCCAACATAGGGCTCTATGCTAGGTCAGCTTTCAAAAGGAACTATGCGCTCCATAAGACCCATTATTTTCTCCTGCTCCGAAGCGGGGACGAACTTCAACGCAAGTCTTGTTGTAGTTTCCGGGGCCCAAGGAGCGACACTCACCGTCCGCGCCACCGCAGGTGCAAAATTCTTGGTGTAAATACGGCACTGTCGCTATTGAGACTTGGCTATCATCCAGGAACGTGCCCATCGCAAACGTCCGAAAAGGGTTGTTGCCCCAACGATACAGCCATTAGAAGACCTTAGTTACTTCATCGCGCCTAGCGCATCTCGGGATGCGCGTTCTTTTACTAGCCGCGAAATATTCCTCGAAGTTGTTGTCTTCTCAAAGTTTTACAACTGTCTTCTTATTCTCGTCTTAAAGATAGAACCCGCCAGTTGCATCCATATATCGGAAAAACTTCTGATACTCGCCAGCTGGGTCACGGAACCAGGGTAGATACAGAATTTCGATATCGGACATGAAAGTCTGCTGGTACCTTTGATAGTGGTGTTTGGAGACGATGAAGAGACTTCTTTTCTTATTATTATGAATTCCACGGATCTTTTCTTCCAATCAAAAGCAACGAGACAACATGATCTCCAGGACGAATATTGAAAAAATACAGTACGGTCAGATAAGAACATTAGAACATGCTCGTTACGTTCATTAGAAAGTACGTTGAAGTCATGTTCCTGCCACCCTCCTCCAGGACACGAATATTCACGTTCATCAAAAACAACGTAAGAGAAAAGTAGTTGTACCACTTCCAATTTTTTTCGACCAGGGACGCGAGAACTCTTGTGCGACGTGGGTTTAGATTGTGCATCTTGCAATAAAGCAGATAGTAGTAGAGGAAATTCACTGCGACACTTGCTGCTTCTCGACCTAAGTGAGGAAAAGCTGCGACTTTTTTTGTCCGCTCCAGCATTCGGAACGGGTCTTCTTTCCAGGGTCCAGGAAAATAAGAATCAGTATCCAGTGTCATGCCATAATCGAACCGTTGCAGCACCGGTTCCTGTACAAGTATGATAATCATCATCATTCAACACAGTCGAGATAAGGGCCTCGAGTTAGTGAATATTTAACGGGGATGAAGTGGTATAGTACATTCGTATATATCGTTTCAATCTAAACATCGAGAAGTCTTTGCACGTAAACGCCGATAGAAATTTCGTGGAAAACATACCAGAAAGACGGGGCCGGAACGCCACCTGCACATGTGACGATAACCCAAGGCAAAAGGCATCCTATGAATGTCAATCTTGTCACGCCAAATCTCAGGAACTGATTCCAACTGCGCAAATTTTCGTCCGAGGTTTGCGAACCTGAACAAAGGTGGATTCAAAAATACTTGATCTAGCACTCATGTTGAATTCTGACGCTTCTATTGTACTTAATATTTCTAGGTCATTACAATCAAGGCCACTTCTAAGCCTGCAAAATGAACTTGAGTGTGCAAACTGATTGACGATTGTAAAGTGAGATATTAATCACTCACAGGAGCGCTGTAGCAGGCACCATATCCGATTCTCGCTTGCTAAGACGATGCGGCGCCGTGCGGCTTCCGACATTCCCTCGTGGAAGATGACAACGGGGTAGTCGTAGTCTCTATTGAAGTTGAGCCATATACTCGGCAATGCCCTTTCTATATCAATCAAGTCACGTTCCGATTCGGGCATCACGAAATGCAGCACGGCACTGAGACGCTGTTCGCTGGCCTGACTGCCTCGTTCTGGAAAGGGTCCCGATGAAGACGCTTCTGGTGCTCCTCCGAACTTGCCAGGATCCTCGAGCTCGCACTGGACCCCTCGGTAAGGCGGAAAGCATTCGCACTCCCCGTCGAAACACCTCCCCCGCTCGTCCTTCTCAATGAACCATTTGAGCAAGGGCTTCTCGTGGATCACGCGCGCCGCAAATGCCTGCGTCAGCGTGAGGCCGCCTACCTCGACGTCGCGCAGCAGTTCTGCGTCCTCGAACGCAGTGACAGGCGTGGACGTGGGCGGCACCTCGTTTATGTAGCGTTCCGGTGCTCTCTTCACCTGGTACACCTGTTCGTCGGGAGCTGTCGGTAATCCAACTTTCATTGTGTCAGGCAACAAAGATTTTCGATCTGCTTCGGAAAGTTTGCCTTTTGTTTCATCCGTGGACGACGGCCCAGGAGATCCAGAAGCTGTGTTACCCCCTCTTTGAGTAGAGAGACGGCTACCGCCACCAGCGCAGGAAGCTGGTAGATTGTGTGCGAATATAGGAATTTTTTCCGCTTCGAAGTACTGATAGAGCAAGCACAGCGCATTTTCGCGCTCCTGGTGGCTCTCAGCCTGGCATGCAGCCAGGGGCGAAAGATCAAACGCCATTTCGTACTCGATCTGGGCGACGACGCGCGCCATGGGTGAGCAATACCAACCCTTAAGCCACTTCTGATAGAGAATACTGGGTCGAGTATTAGAGGTTATGGCTGGCATGAATCTCTGATTGCTCTATTACATATTTATGCTAATGTGGAAACCAACTAGGAGTCATGTAAGTGCCCCTGATATGGCCTTTCGTGGCCACCTCCGTGGGTGAGCCAATAAGAAGTAAAACAATTTGCACTTCTTCTTGATCGTCCTTCTCGACATAATGTAGGATATCAGACACCGGTCGGCAGGATGCGCTTCTTCTGGAACAATCGCAGGGGGATTCACGGGAAAGGAGGCAACGGAGCCGCGCCGCCTCTTCGTTGCGATTGCCTGCTGATCCGTTCCGTGGTACGCTGCGTGCTGTGTTTCACTCGCATCGTGCTGCTCGTTCTCTGGCTTTTTTACACTGGCCTCCGGGGCTGAAGCTTGCGCGACACCCGGTGCAGTAGGAAAGGTTTTAGAGGGCGACTGCTGTTCTCGTTCACCGACTGCTGCTGTTGTCGCTCCTTTCGTCCCGTGGCCTTTCAAATGTTGTCCCAGTCCGGGTTTTGCCGGCGACACTTGAGGTAGAGACGTTGCCGCCACAGGCCGAGCGACATTTGAGGTAGCACCAAGCGTGCTCGCTACTCTCGTCTTTCGGTCTTCTTCTTCTCGCTCCTCCTGCGTGAGACGCTCTTCTCGGGCGATCCAAGCATCATGGGTAAAGGCTTTCTTCCAGACGTACACTGCAAACATATGCTCTATGTGGTCTAGAACGTAGCCGTGTTTGCGCATGACGCGTGTCTCTACGTACTCGAGGGAACACTGCAACCGCCAAGGCGCAGACTCCCGGTCCTCATGAAAGGGTAAGCGATGCTCATGGTCAATTAGCTCCCAATATTGCCGAAGGTCTGGCGCGACCTCAATCGGAGGCGGCACGGCGGGATTGATACCCACAATAACAATTTTCGGCTGATGTTAGAAAAAAGGCTTTTGTAGTTTATCATGACTGTATTGATTCTAGGATCATTTTCTTCATTTGTATCGCGTTACTTCCTCGAAGCATTTTCGCGAGTTTTCCCTAAAAACACACAGACACACAAGATCATCTACTACTCAATTCATAATTTACAGGTCCGCTCTCTAGCAATTTCTTCAGCATTACGCAATTTCCTACAAGAGGATGCAGAAATAGCAAGTCGGGCGAGTAGTGATTCACGCTTTTGTAGAGCGATATCATGCTGCTCCACTGCGCCAGCCGACTCATGGTATTTGTGGTGTGGATCGTGCTTTTGACCAGTCGGGCTCCCGGACCCAGAGGTCGTCCTCGGTATGCAACCGACACGTTATACGGATCTGTTATGCTACTGGTGAAATGATAGTGCGCCCAGCCCGCTTCGCTCGGAAGGCAGTCGCTCGGATCGTAGTCTAAGAGAACGCCGCGGCACCCACCCTCAGGATCCACGATGAAGAGAGAAAATAGGGGACAAGCTATTTACTTAGTGTCTTCTAAAATTACTCAGGTGTCTTTTACAACCTTGGTATGCTCATGTATTGTTGAAAGTCAAAATCTCGGACGGGCGGTCGACCGTAGACCGCAATCCTTGAGCAATTTTGCTCAGGAGCAATTCAACATCTCGTCACGTCGTCAGCGAACATTCAAAAGGACTGCTACCGCCAACAACAACTCATAAAGTGTGGTGAGTCAAGCGTGTAGGAAATGACGAAGAAAGACAGCACTGCCTCGCGATCAGCCATGCGGAGGAGTTGGATCGGCGAGCGCTCAGCACGCGGCACGCCTGCTGCATCTGTATTACCCGCTGCTCTCTGGTGTCTAGTTTGCCTGGCGATTTTCTGAAATTCTGACACCATTAGCCGTTTAGCTGGGTTTCGTGGATCGTTGGCAGGGCCAAAAAGGTCTTCCTCCACGTTTTTCCAGTGCATTTCAAACTTTTGAGCACTTTTAGATGCGAGCGAGAGCGCCGAGTTCAAAACGTGATCTCCACTAGGAGTAGTTGCACCGGTCGCAGGCCCACCATCTCCACCTGCCTGCGCCGCGTCATGGGCGTGTTCACCTGCTAGCTGCCGCCACAACGCAGACTGCGCACCTCCTCCAGCATTTCTTCCAGGGGGAAGAAAAATATCGGCCGGAACGTCGTTGTAATCCTCGATGTCATACTCGTGGAAAGCGCCGTGCTGCCGCCCCCCAGTGCCTCGCATGTACAAACAAATGCGCTCGAATTGGTTTCCGCTCGACAGCAGCTCTCGCTTTGGATTTGCTAGGTTGTTCAAGAATTCTGTGCTGAACACCGCGTTCAAGTGATTGCGACTGGTATCTTTGTTTTCGAGGGAAACGAAATTCGAATCGTCGTTGCTTCTGTACGCATTCTCAGGCGCGTTCAAGTCCATACTGAGAACATTTCGCAAAAGACCTGGATCCACTGCGGTGATCATTGGTTGAGCTCCTCCACGTGCAGAGGACACTCCACCTCCTGCTTGGTCGTCCTGATTAGCTTGCGGCTCCACGAAAAAACTTCTTGTCGGAGCTACGCGGAATATCGAGGAGAAGGCTGGAAACATCGCCCGAAACGCAGGGTGCTCGTGTCTCGGAATCAACTCCTTAGGCAGATGGTTCGGAACGATGCATGAAAGGGGTCACCAAATGTAAATCCAGGCATGTGTAAATCCAGGCATCGAAAAATAATAGTGCCAGGCCTCTTGTGAATACGTACCTGATATATCTTCTGTGTACCTCGAACATATGCCAGCACTAGCCCCTCGTCCGAGTCCAATTTCTAGTCTCCATTGTTCGAAATTCACAATAGCATAAAGAGTAGTGCTCCGCGATGTCACCCAGGATTGGTTCGAGGAAATGCAGGACGTTTGCCAGAAGTTCACGATGGACGTCTAGAATCCTCACCAGCTGGTCGGAATATCCACGATTCCCTAGCGCGCGAGCTACAGAGATCATCAGCATGTCCAAACTGCCTGTCAATTCGTGCAGACGTCGCCTCGCTGCCTCCACCCCCTCTTGCATTTCCAGCATGTAAGCGATCTGTTGCTCAAACTGGGTAGTGTGCCACGTTATCCTAGAATCAACGAAGAGAGGCGAAATACGCAAAGGACATATCACCTGCATCAATCCCTGGCGATTATGAAGCAAAGCAGTATGTAAGCATGAAAATCAAATCAAGTATTTCCAAGGAGTCTAAAAAGTGCAAGCTGTAGTTATTCGATGAACCCACGAACACTAGATCGTTGAGAGGAATAAGACAGGTTATGCTAAATGGATCAATTAAATTCTGTCATACTAGGTGGATTCGAAGAGCCGCAGGGCCGAAGCAATCAGCTGATCGGCTTGCGATGTTGAGACGAGCTCCACGACTTCGAAGTGCCGGCTTCCCACGTAGATACGGTGAAACTCGGATAAATATGCAATGCCCGCTGTTTGTTGCTGTTGTAGTTTTAGGGCAGCATCCTCAAAACACACGAACTCCTCACCATACTGGCTCGCGGTGCCTTGCTGCGCCTCCTTCTCCTGGTCATTTTTGTCTCGCGCGTTTTGGGCAAGCACTGCATTCGGCGGACACAAAAAAGTGCCCAAAAACACACTGATGCAGAATAGGCATCCTACCAAAGGACTAAGCCGTCCTTGCCACGATTGCTGCCACAACGTCGCTCCGCGATGATCTCGGAACATCGTGCCACGACTAGCACCTGGTTTCTCGCACAAACAATACAACGACCACGGCTACCTGTTGCTACTCCACCTGCGAGAAGAAAGATTTGGCTAACTGCTCACTCACACCGCCGTGGCAGTGAGCAGACAACTGCTCGTCTTCGCAGCCGACGTCAGCCTAAATGCCCTGAATAGCGACATCAGTGCTGTGCGCCATCCCTAGCATCGACACTGGACAGAGGCATGAGTGGTTCGACGTGTTGAGCCGTGGCGGACCTGGACATGCTGTTAAGTCCATGCTCATTACTGTTCAATACTTCAAAAACAAACTGTCTCGCTCGATTCGGTAGCATGACAGCCTCTCGTCTTTCCGGAAGACACTTACTCAATCCCACGCTCAACTCTACCTGCCATCGGCACTGCCACAACCTTAAAAAACTTGAAGAATTATCGTCTGACCAATGATCACCCTGAACGCGTTACATCCTCATCAAGGGTCTACTCGCTCGCTTCTCTGTCGTGTCAATCGTGCTTGAGGTTCAGAGATCTCCGGATCACTACTTGTAAAACCCACAATGGATCATCATGCTGGTATGTGTTCACCATACTAAATAACGAACACACTTTTCCGCGAAGGTGTGTTTTATAAAACTAGGTGTGAAGACCACAGCACCCAATCGCGTTGTTATTTTCAGCGCATCGATGTTCTTGTAGGCTTTTTTGTGAGGATTCTATCGCGCACAAATGCAGAAATCAGTGCTTTCTGGGAAAAAGTACTACGTAATTATAAAACGCAACTGTGTAGCGATGGGAAGGTGGTGGGTGGGGCGCGCACGCACACACGCGTAGTCATCGCTTTCACTCTAGGAGTATGCTACTTATCATTAACTCCTTCGTTGACGCCCGCGCGGTGTGCAACGTGCTGATCCATCCTCCCACCCTTAAAGAGTTACTTTTTATGAGGATTAGTAAGACCGAAACCGCACAGTGGATGACATATCCAAACAATTGAATTTGAAAGTAGTTTAGAATTAGACGAGGTACGACTTTGATAAAGCAACTAGAGCTCTTAAGTACCTACGTATTAGAAAGTAAGCGCACTCATGGAGCTACAGCCGAAGGCTCGAATTCATGTCGTAGCGGCGTGCGCTTGCTGTTTTTCCAATATCGCAAATTGGTATCCTTGCGTCAGCACCTTTGACACAATGGCCACTGAATTGAAGATAGGCCTAGTAAAATAATCAGGCTCTTCGGATGGTGCGAATCTATTCGGCAATCTGCCTTAGGACAACATAATCAGGCTCTTCTATCACTATCATGTTCATTATACTGCTTATTCAGTTTCTCTGATCTAGGTATCAACTCTGACTCTCTAATATACTCTCCTTGGATCATGTCTCTGGCGAAGTTATAATTCCAACATATAATTACTTACGTGTACCCTACTAGAGACAAACGGCAGCACTAAGGGTAAAGATTCTGCTTTTCCCAACGCGACCCTGATAGTGTGTAGACGCAGTAGCGATTTCTGGCATTCCGGCCATTGGGAAATTCTATACATCATAGATATCTTTTTTGTATATGTTAGAAAGCTCTACGGAAAAAAAAAACAACAATGCAGTAGAACGGAACGGCGCGCAGACTCAACGAGTAGAAGACAGAGGAGAAAACTGTCCACACGAGACATACCACTGCGAAGAAAGTACTAGCAGCTTTCGTGTTCCATCTACTTAATTCCTATGTATTTGTCCGCAAACAAATGCAGACGGCTGAGGACAATAAACCTCACATTAGTGCTGCAGCTGGGCCGGGACGAGAGAAGTAAAGAAGAATCTAAGACCATTTGTAAGCTACAGATCGACCACCACGGGATCTTAACCCGGTGCGATTACGATAAGGAAACACTGATAAACGTTTTGACTTTCCTATATCACTGAAAAATGAAAATCAGTGGTATTCATTACAAGGAAGACGCGCATGAACTTTTCCAAATAATAGGCAACGCACGCTAAGCTCGACGGTACAACACATGATCTTAAGCTGTGGAAAGTATGCAACACATGATAAACTGAAGAAAGGACATCCCTGAGGTGACTGCATATTGATCCACCGTCACTTCCGGTATATTACGAATACCTCACGCGCCTAAAATTCGAGTCAATTACTGCAGAAGAACCATCGAGCTGTATATTGATGAAGACAACAAAAGAACGCGTCTACCTCATATCCAAAGAGGTACTCGTAGAATGGCCATTGTGGGTCACCCTGATCAGTATTATACCGAATCTGGTTTAATGCCAGACTCAGATCCAGATGGGCTGCCACCTCAGTCCTGCGCCGTATATTAGGTAGATACTCCAATACTATCTTCAAGGTGCACAGCCCGTTGCAGATGAGCAACGGACCGATCACATGATGAGTGCCTCCGTCAAGCTCCGGGACATTGTATATACTGCAAGTCTCCATCGACTTTTCCTGCCCATATGTTTCGGTACTCAGTTCACACCACGGAGGCGGTTCCGTATCCCCATGCGGGCGCAGTCTATGGAAGCCAACCGTTTGTCTATTCCTGGACCTTTGTTTTCGTCCTATTGTAATGGTCTCTAGATGAAGCGCTCTAGCGAAGAAAGTCAAAATACACCCTCTGCGCGCGATATTAGCGTACTAGTAAACTGTTGTAAGATGAACTCTTGTCGTCCTCCAAGCGTTGTCGTGCATTTTGTTTTTTGATACGTAGCGTCTCATAGTACATTGTGTTCTCAGCGAAGATATAGTAAGGTTTACAACTTTCACATTTGGTTTACATTTCAATTTGGTTCCTTGCGCGAAATGACCAAGTGATTTGTTACATTGAATGTTCGTTTCTTAAATACATCAACCCAACGTTCGTCGAGGTTCGTTTCGTAAATACACCAAACAATAGAAGTCGCATAGGTAAGACGTAGTAAAAGAACCTAGGCAGGTTCTTGGAGGAAGACGACGTGCGCTGTTCTTTTGCTCCCCCCGCAGCTTGAGAAACGGAGAACTAGTACTTTGCTAGTCTGCATAGAACAGCTTCCGCAGCTCCTAGTCCGAATGATCCACTGTTCATTCATAGGCCCTTTTCACATTTGGTACCAAACGCGAAGATGCGTCGTTACTCCGGTGTATCGTTCGAGGACATAGTCTTCGCTTCATGTAGTAGACGCTAATAAATACTACACAAAGAAGATCACCTCCTACGTGTAGTAGCTGGGTTGCCACTTCATCGTGTAGATGTTTATCGCTACCGGGGACTCGGCAAATACGCAACCAGACCTGGCGGCGCAGAAACGGCTGCGAGGCTTTCAGTCCCGTCTACATGTCGTGGTGTCCGCTCTGCTCCGGGGAAGGTCGCAGGTGCTGCGTAATAGCCCATTGACTCTACATTTTTAGCTGCCGCGGCACTCCTGAAACAATTGATCAGAAAAAGATTATTATCAAAAGATCGCTCGAAGGAAAGAATCTGGTCGTTACCATCAACCAAGAACAACAACTACTCGAAGAAGAGCTTTCCAACTGGAACTACCTCAGCGAAGAGGACATCAAGTAAGCTTTGAAGCAGAAGGGACACCAGTGCGTAGAACTTAAACAGCCTTTTGCAACATCGACTTAAATCATTGAGTACATTCTCCCATTTGAGTAACTTGTGGCACTTTCCGGCACGCCTGTTAGGGCCCCGTCTTCGCCTCTGTATCTCCCGCTTCCAGAGCCGTCCATAATGTGGGTGGCCATCTGTGTTATTGCGGTGGGGGCTTTCGGGGATCCGGGAGCCAGAGCGATGGACTGCAGCGGCGTGCCACGGACAGGGGTGGATCCGAGTGTCGTGGGAACCCCACTGGGTGGCGCCGCAGCGCTATGCAATGCTGATCCACCCGTACCGGTCCCTTTTCCAAGGTATTGATCGTGGGGCAGATAGACCAGAGTCCCGCCACCCGCTTCGAGGGCTTCCTGCAGGCGCTTTTCGTCTTTCTCCTGCCTTCTTTGCTCCATCAGCTGGAGCCGGCGCTGCCGTTTCTGCTCCTCGTGCTCGTCGAGCTCTGTCTCGGTCATCATTTTCAGCCGCTTGCCCGTTTCAGCCTCTATCTCCTGCATGTACCTCGACAAAAACGTCAGGTTCTTCACTCCGACATGCAACCGCAATCCGACAGCATGGCACACCTGTCGTGGGTAGGAGAAGCCTTTGACTTTCGCTCTTTACAAAAAGTTTTCATCTAAAAAAAGAAAAAAAGTGTACAAACAGGGCTTATGCATCGTGGAGATCTCGATCTACTAGAAGTACTACTTAGTAACATCAATCATAGAGAGAAACTACTACCTCATAGTAGTCCTTGATATGCCTGGTGGCGTAGAACTTGTGCTCGGTTTCCGTGTTATTCCCGTTAATCCGACAAAGGTCCAAAGTGGTGATCGGATGCGATTCATCGGAATCATCAGGCAGCGGCAAGGGTTCGATCGCATCTCTGGCTTCTTTTCGCTGCTCCCAGTCATATTCTTCCAGGTTCCCGTTCGAACAGAGGTGCTTAATCACCGAGCAGTTCGAGAAGGAGCGGTCCCAAGAAAAGCTCGTCAAATACTTCCGATGCTTCACCAATGTCATATAAAGCTGGACGTCGCCTTATTTATGTTGGTTTCATTTATGGTAGGTTTTCAATCTCATGCTCATTTGTCTTTCATGAAAGAATTAGAGTCACTTACAAAGTTCTGCTTTTGGCTAGAACACGATGCCTTTGAGAAAAGATCGAAGCAAAGAAAGCAAGTAAGCGGTCGTGAATGTTCAAATGAATTTCGAATTTCGATACTTACTTTATGATAAGGTCATGAAATAATAACTCATCGAAGAACGCTGTTCACATACCATCTCGTGGTGGCGCTTTTGCTACAATGCCAATTTTGTCCAGTCCAGCAAGAATGTTTTCCAAGGCGGCTTCTATTGCGTCTGCTTGCTTTGAATGCATTGGCACATTTATCACGGGACCGGTATTAAGACCTGGGAATTGCCAACAAGGATAATGCTTAGGTTGCTTCAATCGACATGACAGCATGGGTGCATGCTAGCTTTCATTTCTTAGTTGACCTAATTGTTAAACGATTTATCTCTTCAAACCACGTAGTAGACCTTCGACAAGAAAGAAAGTCAATTTTAAAGTTGTTGACGTATAGAACTCGAGTAAAAATTGAGTACGAAAGTCTCCGCCTTCGAGGTCTACATCTTGGAAAAGCTTGTGAAAATCCATTTTATCCATCCATTTCCGGACGCGTTGGAGCTCCTCATCAGTCTCAATACGGAGAGCGGCTATTGTCAGATGAAATTGCTCCTTCCGCATCACCTGCAATCGCCGTTTCTCGTATCGCCGGAAATCAATCATGTAAAACAATGTCATGTAATACAGCTCCCGGAGTACGTCGGGCATGCGCACGGCTGTTGTTTGTTCAGAATGTAGAAAACTGAAACATCTAGCTACTTATACGTATACATAGGTTAGTTTTCCAAACATGGTGACTTGTTGTGTCGACTTCAGTGCTTGCCTTGCTAAAAAATATGTTGTAGACTTCGTAAAAGTGTAGCAAAAGTGTGTCCCGTGGAAGCGAAAATCAAAAAGCAAGTAAACATTAGCAGTACAAAGCATGAAGTTTGGCGGTTTTGCATCGAAGTAGATATCGCGGTCATCCTCCGTCCTCGCTACACTACTTCTTTCCAGGAGCTTTTGCTCTTGCTTTTCAGCGACTCCTTTCGAATTTGAGGGCCCAGGTCCGTTCTTGGGAGTGCCTGTCTTCGTGCGGTAGCCGGAGGATGAAGAATGATCCTTGTTGCTGTATTTGGAGCCTTTGCCGGTTCCGCTTGAGGAACTGCCCCCTTTTGAAATGTTCCCGGAGTGCGAGGTTTCGGTGTTAGGTCCGCCGTTTCCCGGGCCGCGATGATAACTTCCGCTGTGGCCGCTGCCCTTCGCCTTGCCGTAACCGGCGGGCCGCAAAGCGTCGAGAGCACCTCCACGACCTGCGTAGGCCCCCGACTGCTCGCCCGCCTTGCCATTACGCGAAGACCCGCTGACGCTTTGTCCGACCGCAATGCCACCCAGTGGGGCGGTGGTGCGTGACAGCAGTGCGCCGCCTATATTCTTGCCGCCGTGGCTCCCGCCACTCTTGCTGTGACTGTGACTATGTGCCGTTCGCGACATGGACATATCGTTGTACGCGGAACCAAGGCCGGCCGTGGCCCGTCCCGATGACGCCGGCGGCAGCATGTGCACCGGAGTCAAAGCTGCGGTGGGTGGATAACCGGCCGCTCCCTCAAGTACAACACCGCCGGGTGCTGCCACATAGTACGGGGGCGCACCACCTAGTACGGGTCGCTCTGCTCCGGGATGGTACACGAGCCCTCCAGCGGCCGGTAGGTAACCCGGTGGTGCGGGGTAGTACCCAGGAGGCAGTGCCGCAGCAGGGTATACACCTGGATAAGCTCCTGGCGTTCCTACGTAGCCCACAGCAGCTGCGGCTGGCGGTGGACTTGTATACCTGTCGAAGAGAATGCTTTTGATTGATAGCACATCTTCCAACAATCATGAGTTTGCATGTGCATCAGAGTCCAAGTTTACTAAAATAAAAACTAGTATCCAAATATATGACTCAGGGCCGGACGGTTCCCCCCTCCCCCCTGTGGTCTGGTCTGTGGTGGCGCGCGCGCGCTTTTCCGCGGGGATTTTCGCGGATTCTAGTGGTGGAAGGCGTCAAAACTTGGCGCGGGCCTCCCCTTGGGCCTCTCAGCGTGTCCCTGAGGGACCTCCTGGCCTCTGCTGACCCTCGCAGGCGGGAGGGCTCCAGGGTGAAAGGCCGCCGAAGGCGGCCACGGTCGCAAGAGCAGGCAAGCCGATGACCGAAGCCCCGGATGGTACAGGCTGCACGGCTCAGGGGGTCCAGCCCCTCGCCTTTTGCCGCCTTCGGAGGCCTTCCGCTGCGCGGAGAAGCGGGCGCAGGCGGTCCCCTGGGCCCCTTTTGAAGCCTCCCACCATCATCGGAGGCCCCTCGGGAACAGCCAGGCAGCTGGAAGGGAGCGGAGGGGGGAGGCCACTTGGCCCCCTTTTGAGGCCTTCCCCCACGGCAGACGCCGTAAACAGGGGCCCAGGGCGCACGGCACCCCCCCGGGTATCGTCGCCCCGCGCCCTGGAACATATAAGTTCCAGGCCTCCGGGCTGGAGGCCCCCCCGGTCTAACTTTTTGAGGGGGGGCCTGTCAGCCCCGGCCCATCTTTTCGAGGGGCTGCCGGGCGGGAAGGCCTCAAAGCGCCCACTTCTGACCCCTTCCCGCCTTGTCGCATGTACCCGATAGACCTGGCAAAGGGGGCAAAGGCAGGGCCCCGCTGCCTTGTTGCATGTCGTGTCCCCTACAGGCCTGGCAAAGGGGGCAAAGGCAGGGCCCCGCTGCCTTGTTGCCTGTGCCCTACAGACCTGGCAAAGGTGGCAAAGGCAGGGCCCCGCTGCCTTGTTGCGTGTACCCTACAAACCTGGCAAAAGGGGCAAAGGCAGGGCTCCGCTGCCTTGTTGCAGACCTGGCAAAGATGGCAAGGCTGGCGCCCTCTGGCGTGTTGCGGTACCCGACAGAGCTGGCAGAGGAGGCAAGGCGGGACCCACCCCCTTGGCGTGCTGCATGTGGCCAACCATACAGACCGCGCAAAGGTGGCCAGGCTGGACCCCTCTGGCGTGGTCCACCACAGATCCATCCACAGGGGGGGGCCTCCCTCCCTGGTACATATATGATAGTACGAGTTCAACATTCTTGATGTAAATATGCTCGCATGAAAAATCTTTAATCGACCTTGCATATTAGGACTCTCTGAGGGCTACGTGTAACATCGGCACGAGCTGTAGGTAGGAGATACAAAGATGATCTAAGAGAAAGTGTGAGCAAAATTAATGATCATACGCTGCAGCCGCTGCTGCAGCTTGTGGGGTAAAAGCGTACGGTGACGAGTCGTAGAAGAAATCGTGTGCCGCTAATGCCTCCTCCGCTTCCGAGCGAGAAGTGTAATCATGTTCGCTTATCGAGTCATTTAGAGCAGTGGCGGCCATTGCTCCTGCATCTGCGCCTCCTCCCAGGGGACGTGTGATGCGCGGCGCAGGCGCGTACTCGCTCGCGGCGGCGGCTCCTACGACGGCCGATGGCGAGCCGTACTGGTCTCTTGCCTGGCTGCTCGTCGAGCCTCCTCCATTGGCGCGGCTTGTTCGCAGCTCCCGTTTTAAGCTCTGGGCGAGTTCGTCCCGTCCAGAGTTACTCTCTGTTTGTTTAGACCTCTTGTTACGGAGGCCCGGTGGCAGTTGAGGGGGCGGACCCGGAGAGGGAACCGCGACTTCGTCTTCGTAATCTGACATGGCTCCTACGACAGCATTGTCCACCTGAAAAGAATTTCTAGAGGATCAAGATTGTTTAAAAGGATGAAAACTATGAAAATGCTTATTCTTCAGAAGTCGAGTAGTATAAACCAAAAAATCTACAGGATCTAGATGCAGTTTGATATGGAACTCAAGATTATTAGAGCAAAGGCCTTGATACTTGTGTTGGAGTGCCTAACTTGAAATAGAAAAAATTTGTAGTACCTCAGAAGTGGCGGCGGCAGAAAAGCGGCTACGATAGTTTTCTATCTGAGCCGATGTGGGTGGCAAATCTGAGGCCATTTCACGCGCTGCTAGAAGTGATCACCGATGCTGATGCACGGACGGTTTGTGTTGTTAGTGCCCAAAGTGGTACAGCTGAGTACGTAATTGGGCTGCAGAATTTTGAACGAAGAAGTAGGTACTATGAGTGCCAGCGTCAAGTTGTACCCTCCCGTTGTACCAAATGTTGTTCAGTCTCAACAACGTCGAACGAGCCTCACTGATTGATCGTATGCAATGTCCTTGTTGTGCTCCTCCTTTTGGACGTAAGATCGTTGTAGAAAATGAGCCTGTTGTTTTTCTTGTTCTTGCTCGGCGTCGGATATTCTTGGATGGCGTCTGCTCTCTGGGCTCTGTCCGACCGATGAAATCTCTTTATTCTTCTCCTCTTTCTTCTTCTTCGTCTTAGATCATGCAAGAGGCTGGTTTCCTCTTCTTCTTACACAGGATGAAGGTTCAAGTTCTCTTCTTCTTCTTCTTCTTTGTAACGATTCTGGTAGAAAAGTTGCTTCACTTCGAACAAACAAAGGGACAAAACTGTAAGTTGCAATCCCTCCGCTAGCGAGAGTGGGTGATCCACAAAATTTGATTGATCCTATGAATGGAACCAATCTAGTATGGCACAGCGTGACTATTTCTGGGCTTGAAGATCTTCGCACGGTCTAGTCAGTAATATCGGTTCATTTTCATCTACCACTGGGCTTCTTGTGGATTTGCACGACGCCTTTTTCTCGGTCTAGAGGCAAGGACCGGACTTGGATTATGCGTAGCACAGCCACAGCGATTAATTCTCCTTCTTGCTTTACAAAGCGAAGCGCGAGTTGTCTCCTCTTTCACTTGTAGTAGTACTTCCTTGTCGTCTCCTTGAGAGACAACTTGCGCGCCACTGCGTACTCTTCCAAAACAGAGCTCTTTTTCTTGTCGTGGAGTCAGTGCCACCAGCGTCTCTTTGTACACCAGGATCTTGTCCCTTTAGTACCTGTGCAAAAGCTTTGCTCGTTTGGTGCACCCACAACGCTTCTCAGGTGGCTTATCTGGTGACTTGTCCGCAGGTCTTTGGCTGTTTTTGATCGGTCCTCCGTCTACTTTACAGTTCGTCTTCGCTTCAAACGGAATGGCAGAATGCTCATTCAAAGGGAGTAGTGCTCCATCATCGATTGTTCAGAACTAAAAGAACTACTTACTTAGACAAAAGGAACCACTTGCTTCTTATAAGCAAAAAACGACCAATAACTTGCTGTTGGAAAAAAAATTAGAGTTGATACTCTGAGAGAGTTATTAAAGAACCAGTGAAAAATCTTCTCCCTCGACCTCTTATAGCAGCATGAAAATGGGAGATGGACTAGAATGGTGACAAGGATCAACGACAACAATAGACAACGAACCCACCGCCTTCTTCTAAACAGAAGGAATAGATGGAATTGTCGTTGTAGGTGAGGGGCTCTAGGATAAGGTCATCTACGTCCATAGTAAGTATACTCTACAAGAAATGGACGGAGGTTTGTGTAGATCAATCTTCAAAGCAAAACAAAAAACTACCTCCACTACAAATCAAATAAAGATGATGCTGCATGTACTTATGTGTTGGGACGATATGTATGTGTAGTATAGTTCTCTGCAGGTAAGCACCCTCTTAATTGTCGGGTACGAGGGCCTACTTCTAAAATCCAAATGAATCAACTCTAAATCCGATCAGACAGTTAGTTTTTCTATGACGTTTTTCAAAAACATTCAGATACAAGAAGAATGCCTGCTGCCTCTTTCTATCACAGCGTTGCAACCAAAATACACCTGAAGAATTTGGGGAGATATAATCAACCTCCGGATGATTGATGTACTCTCATTAATGTTCCATGCTTAGAATCGCAAAAATTTAACAAACGGTGTTCGAATGCGTGTGATATTTGATTTCTTGATAACCGAATGGAGAATCGTGTACGGCTACGGAGCGGTGAGAAAAATGAATCTTCATATCAATGATCACGGGGAGAGAACGCGAAGAGGATCATCCAGGTTGATTCTCATTTGATCATCACAATGTCAACGCTGACGAGAAGATCGAGATCCAACACGTCTTGGAGTGAACCAGAACCACCCAGTTTCACCGTTTTTCACCGTTTGGTGGATCGCGTTTCAGAAGAACCCGTTGTATTTCGTCCAAGTTTACGGTGGAACCTTACTCGTATCGATTGATGAGGAGACCCAGTAGATACGTGGACGCGACAAATAAAAGGATCATAAATACTTACAACAACAATGTCCTCCAGGATCTTCTAGTACTAGTAATCCAAAAACCTCCTTCTATGTGTGAGGCCTTCTAGTACAACGAACTACTAGTATGCCAAGAATTGTAGAGGGAGAAAGATGCCTGCAAATCCCCATCACATAAATAGGAGTAGATGGTGGGCCAGAGAAAAATAGAACAGTGGTTCCTATATACAAGGTCTTTATTGCGTGTGTGGGATCGTTGTGGTGTGCACGACGATTTAAGTAAAAGAGAGAGCGTGACCAGAAGTGGCGCTTTCCTGGCTGAAAGAATTGTTGAGAAACAATGAATGTTGATAACCATAGGAAATCTTGGTCAGAAGGTGCGTGCCTCTTCTGATCTGACTCTGATCAACAGACTATGCATCCTTCAAAGCCTGGGTCCATCATCGACAAAGCAGGAACACTCTAAGGATAGATCGCGATCCTCGTATGCTTGTTGAGTACAACGCGGCCGACACTGACACTCAAACTTACAATTATAAGGTTCCTGAGTGACAGAGGACGCTCTTGCTCTCGTCTCAACAGATCATAAAAGGCTAAAAAGTCTACACTGCCACTCTCCCTCTCTCTGCGCCCTAGCTGCTATCTCAACATAATTCTTTTTGTATTGCAGCACTTCACTGGTGACACCTCTCGAAACTCTCGCAGCATCACTCTATGAACAGATTCCAGATTTGGATTAGGAGATGCTCGCCAACAGAATAAGCGAGTAAACCTTAGATAGTCAAAAAAATTCCACATGAGATGAAACAATCCCGAACACAGGACACACAGAGTTGCTCGCCAACAGAATAATTCTAAGATCCTCGCTCTCCACAAGTTTCGCAAGCTTAGGCCACTTGAGTTTCTGTCTGCTGATGTCATATGTGTGCTCTCCTCATGACTCAACATAATCATCGAAGAGGCATGGTCGCATCGAAGGTCTGGACGAGCCCCATAATTCAACATTAGTCTCGCCCACACACGCGAATCTGTCAGACTGGAACACGCTCTTGCTTGCTTGCTTCCGCGCGAACAAAAGGCTATTGTCTACTGTTCTGTGATAGTGATGAGAGAGTGATTTTCCTCTACCACGTAAAAGTAGAAAAAATGGGGATTATCGAGTTGAGCAGTGGGGGTGAAAGAGGGCTCTCCTCGTATTGAAGAGTTACGATTATCTTTGAAGCGTGAACATTCTTCTCTTGAATTTGCTGTCGAAAATATTCTCGATTCGTCCACCTTAACGCTATTCAATATTCACCTTCCCACTCCCTCCCACTTTGGCGATGTTAGTCGGTTCGGATCGGGCCTACGACTTCCCTGAATCTTCGTAGTTGAGTTCTTTACTAGTGTCTTCGAGAGCTGCTCTTTTGCGGTCTTCTCTTCCAAATGCGGGCAACGTCGCGAGCGAGCGGCCAGTGTGGCAGTTCGAATGAGTGGATAATGTCGAAGTCTCTCTCAACTAGGTCCTGAAACTCGACAGAGAATGATTGTCCACGTGGGTATTGCGGGAAGAGACGTAGATACCCGTTACAGCTATACCCATAACTAGGAGGACTTTGAGTGTGAGAAGAAAAAGTTAAGGTTCTTTCTTTGCCTCCTGGACATGATCCCCATTCTCCTACCAAGAACAGGAACTCACCCTCCCATCTGCGCACGCACTCCAATCCAAACGTGCCTTTCGCCTCATAGTCCGGCCACATCAGAGCCAAAGTTTTAGGGCCCCGTTGCTCGTCTTGTATCATCAATCCCGCATTTTCCCCTTCATGCGTGTTCTTGTCCAGGAACAGGCCATCGAGTACATCTGGGCCTCCCACTTCGATCACAAGGGGCGAAGCCTTTTCACTCCTATGATCGTCTGATGATTCTTCTCTGTGAATGTGTTGTTCTGGCTTGTCGTCGTCCATCTGCAGTGTTGTAGTAGTGGGCTCTCCTGCTTGATTCTTCGCAGCGAATTTCGCATCCCAGGCACCTAGATCGAATGCACGAATCATGTTGGATGCGTTGTTCCCTGAAGTGGTAGAACCACCCTTATGGAATCGTTGATGCAGTGTTTGTGCCCACAACCCACGTCCAGCGCCCAACTCAATCATTGGCACATATTGATAATCATGTTCTTCTTGTGATGATGGACGTTCTCTCGTCAACGTCGAGAACAACAGCTTGTCGAACAACTCTGGCTCATAGGGAAGTATGCTCCAGGCGTGTTTTTTCCGGATGTCTATCGCTTCCATGCACATGGTGGACATATCACTTTGCGACAAGAGACCATCACAAGCCAAAGCCTGCGCAAACAGCCACCGGCCCCAAAATGATGTCTTCTCTAAATGCAACTTCGTGTAGTCGCTGAAAATAAAATTTTTCTCGACTTCTATTTGGGCTGCTCCACTGTCTGGGATTTTGGGGAAAATGGCGTCAACATGTGTCTGTAAACTTTCTTCTTGGAGGTGTTCCAAACCATAAGCAGCTCGAAAAAGTAGGTCGCATACAGAGGACCAACATCGATTCGTAGTGAGAACCGATGAACTAGGGTAGCTTGAGGTTCTTGTGCTTGATGCCGAGCAGGAATCAGTCTCGTTTGTTGATGTGAGTAGGATGCTGAAAAGCTGACTCGTGTCCGATCGCATTCGTGCCACCTTTGCCCGACTTTCTTCGAGCTTGGACCTTTCTTCTGCAAGAAGAGAACGCGGACCACCACTCTCGATTTGCATAAAGTCTTCCCGCTTGCGTGCGATTGCTGCAACCATCGATGGTAGAGCCGTACGCAGCACAGCGCGAAATGCGTCTTCGCATTCTCTCAAAGAATCCTCCAAAATTTCCTTTTCGGAATTGAGCAACGTCGCAGCAATTTGCTGTCGAATGGGATCGACAGAGCGGCCCTCGTGCTGTTGCGACGTAGGAGCACCAACATGTTTGATATCTGAATCTTCGTATCGCTTCAAGGTTGCGCGAAAGTGATCTGCGAAACCCCTCGTCGCTTTCAACTCCGCCCGCAACAGCGCAAAATTGTCAGTGTTCGATTTCATAGGCGCAGATGTAGTTGTCGAGAGATCACTGAATAGAAGTGCCTCATGCAGAGGATAGGAAGAGGTTCTGGACAAAGTCAGCAGCTCCGCATCTGAGAGTTGTTCGAGTCGTGCCAGCGCCAAAAACTCTCTGGGCATTGCACACTTGTTTAACAGTGTTGAATCTTTGATATTTTCACCATCACTTTTTGCGTTAATATAGGACCTTCGCTTGATCTTGGCAACAACACGTGGACAGCGATTCGGTGGGTGTAAACCATCGTCCTCGTCAGCGTACATAGTAGGTGGGACACTCTGATATTCCAGTAATTCGCTTTCCGCACCTCTTTGCAAAAAACGCATCGCAAGTTCGACGCGCACCTCTCCGCCAGCTGGTGGCACTGCCAGGCCTTCTTTAGCGAGGTGGAATTTCTGCAAGTCAAGAAGTACTTCGAAAAAATCATGGGCCGCGTTGTCCGGAATCGTAAACCCATAGCCTAGCAAAAGCTCGTGATTCGACTTTGCACCATAGGAAATAAACACCTCTTTTCCCTCTTTTACACCTCCAGGTTGCTGGCATAGCAGACGAATCTCGTAGTCAGGTTCGCGCGTCCTCGAAATAAATTTAGACGTCTCGCCGTCAACTTGATGTGCGATTACTTGGACTTCTCTCGTCCCTTTCTCGCCGTCTTCGACGTCGCTTTCATCACCGGTCGTAGAGGGTGTAGATTCTAGAGATTTTAAAGTACCTTCAGAACTGAGAGTTGTAGCTTCCTTCTCAATCAAGGCACCGCCAACTATTGCTTCTCGGGTACTGCAACCTGGGGTAACAGCCACACTGTGATTGAATATGTCGAACCCACCAGGAATCATCAGCGTTTTTCCCTCGATCTCGGGCACGGCAGTACGGAAGGCCATGCGCGTCCGATGACGACTCGCAACGCGGGTCCAAGCCCACAAGAATTCGTCGAAATTCTCTCCGCACAAGCAGTCTAAAATCGATTCATCTGCTATATTTCCACTACTGCAGTTGATGTCTCCACCAACTCTTTCTGTTGACATCTTCACAGTCGAAAAAAAAGCCGACAAAGCGCCTCTACAACGATGTCGCGCCTCTTGCACCTGCTCCCGCTGTTTTTTTGCCAACTCGTATCTTGGGGAGGCACGTAGGAGTTCGATTTCCGCACATGTCCACTCAGCAGGGAGTCCTACAGTAGCCACAGGCATTTCTTCGATCAGTCGTGTAAGGCCCGGGCACGCCGCTGCTTCATCCAACAGGCACATCATATTGTTCGTTCCACAAATGATCTTCAAAGGTGACTTATCATTTTTTGCGACGAATACAGAAGTTGTACTAGTGCTCTCAGCATCTTTCCCAACATCAGACGCTGCACCTCCAATGTAGGACGAGCGCCATTTTTTTGCAGCAAGCACCGCCAGAACGAGTGCGTTTTCGTCCGACACTGCTTGTAGAGCAGAGTCAAGTGAATGTACTTTCTGTAAGGCTTGCAAAGGAAACCACAGCGTCTGGCGATCCGCACGACTCTCCAAGGCCACTGTGTCATCCGAGGGATCGTACTCTAACACCGGTAAAGTTTCCCCGAGGCATGTCAGCCGTGCAGTATCATTGTCCTCATCAATTCCGCACGCGCGACACGCACTCAGAACTGAGTCGGAGTCTCTTCGGACTTGAACCCACATTGTATTCCTAGTTCCATTTACATCACTAGACGTGGTACTGCTAAAATTGTCTGCCGCAGTACTAGAAAAATCTGCAGGACTGAAATCCAGATTCGAAGATAGTTTTCCACAAGAAGAACCAAGCTGCTGCTGCTCAAGTTTCGTGGTTTGCGGGCACCACCTTTGGATCCACTTCTTTAGGACCTGCCGACATCGACGCGGAGTGACTAGTAAGGGTGCTGGTGCTCTTAACAGAGCTTCACCCTGGTCCAAGTCCTTCAATGCGCGCATCCCGCGGCCAGTAGGTGGCCCAAAATCAAACGGAGCAACCTTCGCCATTTTTTCTGTATAACTTACTCCTTCTTGATGTTAGAGTTAGTAGTTTCTGATTCACATATTTTTCTAGTCTAGAATCGTAGAAGTTGTAAAATCATGGACTCACGTTATTATTCCAGGAAATGCAACCCTCCAGTACAACCAAGAGAAACATGTACGACGAATCGCTCGGAAAAAAAACAACTGTCGCCTTTGAAAGTAAGTAAATAGCGCGGTCAAAATTATCGGAATGTGTACAGCGTCTTCGCCTTCTTCCACTTGTTCTGTAGGAACTCCGTGATCTTCTGGCCGAAAGTGATTACGTATCGATTGATCTCCATAATTCATTGAAATCTTTTGCATTACATGAATCAAACACGCAAGTAGATCGAGAAAGAAACTTCGAGCCGGGTTCTTGATCGACCGTTCTTGTATTGTTGACCTCAGTTGGAGTTCGAGACACCATCGGAGCTTGCTGTACAGACCTGGCCTTTTGGGACAAAGCAAGATTGGAAAGGCTTTCTTCATCATTAGGAGAGCCTAGGGAAACCTTTATAAGGCAAGGCCACTTTTGAAGTTCTGTTGTACAAGAGGAGCAGTAACATCGAGTGCATGTGTGAAAAAAAATACTTGTTCGGAAAAAGAAAGCCTTTCCCAAGAGGATCAAGTTTCACCAGCTTCAAAAGTCGATTTATATAAATGGTCGTGACGTAAGCGCAAGAAAAAGTCGTAAATTCTAATCAGACCATCGTCAATGTTGGTGGGAAAAAAAGTAAGTACTAGGTACACATTTTTGACACACACTTTGGCACTCAGCAATTATCTCAGAAACATAGGACCGATTAGAATGATCATCCAAGGAGATAAAAATGAGTTAGAATGATGAGAAGATAAATGACAGAACACCACAGCCATCCCAACTTGTTGCTTTGAATCTATTCGGGAAGGTGCCTAGGATTTCCCTGGCGACATAAATAGTTTGCCGGGCAGAACTGTCCCAGCCGTCTGGAATTATTGCACGCGGCTGAACGGCTGGCACCAAAATCGACTTTTTTGCATTTATATCAAAAAACGAAGAATCTCGGGCAAACAGTGCCGAAAGGAAGCCCAGCCCTTCGAGCTCTGCGCGGGTTGGCTCGCATGTCGCTGCTGTCTGCTCCTCTCTCTTCCCTTTCTCCTCCCCCGGTGATTCGAGGGCGCGCCGCGGTGGCTGCGGCTGGCGTGCGCCGTGCTGTGTCTCTCAGGCTGGGCGAAGTCTTTGGACTGGCTCCGCCCTGTGGTAGCTGTCCACTGTAGCGACGTGCCCCACGGATTCGCAGGGATCAGCTTCGAGAAAGCAAGCCAAAGCCCGGCAACCGTCCGCACATCTTTCCAAAAGGAGAAGGGCTAGCAATATACTAAATTAGGCGAAATGGTTAGAACTATCAAGGGCGACACTTGCGAACAACAGACGGACCCCATCCGAGACAAGCACGACACCCGTCCGGACTGATTTGGTTGCGGATTTCAAAGAAAAAAGCGGCCGGCGCTTTGTTTTGTGTCCAGATCCTAGAGCAACGCGAAAGGGCGGGGGATTTATATCAGTGGGGGCGCGTAAAGTTTTAGCCTTTTGCACTTTTTTTGCGTCCAGATTCTAGAGCGGCGCGAAGGAAAGAGCTGCGAACTTTTTCCGGGGGGGGGTTCGAGAAGTTTTAGCCTTTAGCACTTTCCTGCGTTCAATTTCTAGAGCAGAGAGAAAGAGCGGGGAACTTATTCCAGCGGGGGTTAGAAAAAGCCTGCTCCTTTTTTGCTCTTTTTTGCATGTTTTCAACTGGAAACCGACACGCTTGGGAATTTTTACCAGTGCGGTTTAGGTTTGAAAATAGTGCGCTTTTGATTTATTCAGCCATTTGCTCCAGCCTTAAAAATTCAGACGGCTGGGACAGCTCTGCCCGGCAAGCTATTTACTTCGCCGAGCAGCCTCCTAGATATAAAAAAATAAAGAAGAGACATTCTCTATTTGCTTAGATCTAGGAGGCTGGGCAGCGAAGTAAATAGTTTGCCGGGCAGAGCTGTCCCAGCCGTCTGGAATTATTGCACGCGGCTGAACGGCTGGCGCCCAAGTCGATTCTTTTGCATTTATATCAAAAGAAGAAGAACCTCGGACAAACAGTGCCGAAAGGAAATGCTTCGCAGATCTCAAAACCGGAGCGAACGCGGCGAATTTGCAAGGCCACGACATGGCTAAAATAACTCCGAAACGAAAAACGCCAGCCACCGAGGACGAAGCGCCTACGAATTTAATCGGCTGCTTAAAAGCAGAAAAAGCACGCGCCTGCCCTGTTTCTAGTGCGCGCACAGGCTTACTCGGATGCCAGTGGTACCATTGCCAGCCGATTACAAAGAGACCCAAAAAAGCAAACGACTACAGCAAAGCCGGGAAGCTTTTCCACGCTTGAGAAGAGGCACTTACCACGTAGTTGCCTTTCCTCAGGCGTGCCCGCTGCTGCCCGGTTCAGATGACTCCGGTGGTCTGCAAGTGTCTCCCAAGATATGGCACCAGGACCGCGGCACAAAGCGACCGCCCTGAGTTCCCATGAATATCCCCGGGACAGATGAAGGGTCTGGCACTAAGGAGAGCCATCGCCACGGCAGTGCGAGCTCTGCGCGGGTTGACTCACATGCCCCGCCGCTGCCGTCTCCTCCTTTCTCTTGTCTTTCTCTTCCGCTACCGATGACAAAATGGACGGCACAGGAGCAAACCGCGGCCACGCCTTGGGCAGGATCGGGGGAAGCAGATGAAGACAAGAGGGGGCAAAGAAATCCAAAAGGGAACCGGGGCAGCGCTGCCCGTTAGCGGTTTCGCTTACCTCGCGAAACTCTTAAGCGAAACCGTTAAGGGGCAGTGGCACCTCTGGGCCGTTTTCGACATTTTGCCGCTTTTCTTCACAGTTTGGCACGCCAGTCCCTAGATCGCAAGGCCAGTCCGTCTCTCTCCTCTTCCCATTTCCTTATCGGTTTCGCCTCTGTCTTTCCGGGCTCTGTTCAGATGCTTCCGCCATTCTCTTATCGGTTGCGCCGCTCGCTCGGCGTACCCGACTCCTCTGCAATCCCTCCGGCTACCGATACCAACCGAATGAGACGACAGGCGACAACATGAGACATGGGCCCGCCCTCCTTTTTAAGAGTCCGGGGCATCATTACAGGCAAAGGCTAGCCCTGTGCGCCTGTAGCTCTCAGAAGTGCGCCCGGTATAGGTAGCACACGCACACGAAGAGAGCCAAGGGGATAACTTCAATCGCGAACGTCTTTCGGTAAGACCGCAGAAGCTTGGCAAGACGCCCCGTCTTGCGCATCGGCCGCCAGCGGGGCGATTGGGCACGCCTTAGCTCTTCAGTTACACGGGCGGAAGTTTGTCTGACGCATCCCCCCGCCTCCCGTTGTACCCCGCGCCCCCCGCCCCCCTTGCACAGTGTTACACGGTTGGGCACAGTCCGGCGGCGCACTCTTCGGCGCAGGCTCGTTAGAGGGATTCACCGTCGCGCAAACATTTAACCTTGTACAAGGGGGGCGGGGGGGCGAGATTGTCACGCATTGCCCCCTCGTCCCTGGTAGGCCGCCAGAGGGACGACGCGCCACGCTTTGCCGGTGGGCGCTGATGGGCGCGCGGCGTGCGCCGCATAAGCCAGCGCGAACAGCCCAGCAAGGCAACCCCCTGCCCCCCTCGTCCCTGGCGGCCTAGGCCGCCAGAGGGACGACGCGCCGCGCTGCGCTGGTGGGCGCCGCATAATCCAGCGCGAACAGCCCAGCAAGGCAACCCGCTGCCCCCTCGGCCACGGCGACCGTAGGCCGCCAGAGAGACGGCGCGCGGCAAGAGCACACGAGGAGAGCACACGAGAAGACGCAGAACACAAGAGCAGCCAGGCCAGAAGAGCACAGACCGACCAAACTGGAACAAAAACGAGCCAAGCCAGCAGAACACAAGACAGCGGCGACCTCTCTCGCATATCTCGCGAAATGAAAGGAGTGCGAGCAGATGGATGACGGAGGGGCGCGCGGCTTTATCGAAAAGCCGCCACGTGGAGACCGGCGAGACCTCCCGCATCTGGCCAATCTTTTGGAAGAATACGACGAAGCGAAACCAATAAGGAGATCCACGAAACCCCCGCAGGGATTTTTGTTAAAGACATCGCGCCTATAGGATTTTGTGATTAGTGAGCGGTTGTTTCTTTAATAGGGCTCCTAGAAGCAATATGCTCACTGCAGTGGATCATGACTGTTGTATTCAATCACATAGATCTGGTGGTCAGGTGCCGGTCTCTCTCACAGAAACAGAAAGGAGATGTTGATAGGACTGGCATTAGATCATTAGAATAAGCGAACACAAGAGCAGGATAAGATACAAGAGTCATGACTCATTTAGAGATGTTGTGGTGGTTGTGTCATATCTAATGAGCTCCAAGAAGCAACAAATGGATGTCAGATGCAGTTTAAGATTCAAGATCATCGATGTCTGTACGTCTCAACCGGAGACTAGTGGTGAATATCAGGCGCGCCTCTTCCTGACCTATGAAGGTTGGTGTGATAATTGATTTGTCATTGGTCATGATTGGAGTATTAAGTACTCAATGCTTTAGTTCTTATCATTCTTGATTAGGGCTCCGAAGAGCGAACGATTAAATATCAGAATGCACATCCCAGTGCCTTCAGGTGTGGACATGCTCTTCTCTCACAGATGATATTGTCACAGATAACCTTCATCTCTCGTTGTCATGCGATAACATTCGTCTTGTCTTTAGATTCATCCTTCTTCTTCAGTTTCAGATATGATGACTGTGAGAGCATGAATAATTGGTTACGATGGAATATTATTTTCATGTGGTTGAAAATTCACTACGTTTGATACACCCCCTTCTCGATCTACCTTTTAATTTGCCTAGTTAGTCGAAATATGCTGTGGTGGATATTTAGTTTTCCCCTTTTTCTTCTTTTGTAGTGACTCATCTCCATCTATTTCGTTGTCGTCCACGGGTACGCAAAATCGGTGAGCTATCCTCTTCATCGTCTTCGTGGTTTGTCCTCATCGTGCTTTGAGCCCACGTTGGTGGTTCTTCAGAGTGATTGCGGTTCCGTTTTCGTTGAGGCGAGCGTTCGCGAGATCGCACCGCTGACACACTAACTGATTCGCGTGATGGATGTATCTCGGTCTTGAGACCCTTTCTTCGGCATGGTTCCTCGTGCTTTTTGGGTCCCTTCTTATTGCTCTGGTTGTTGGCATAACTTGATGATGAAGAAGATGTTACGCATTCGACCCTATCGAGCTCCTTCTCCTGGATTTGAGTGCTTCCCTTTTGTCGAGCGATAATGTTCTTTTCCTTTATTTCATTTCGCCCTTTTCCGATTCTAGCGCTCTTCTCCATCAGCATGCTTTCACTTCCTCTCTTGCCTTCAGCTTCAGTTACTTTAGTTACTTCCTTTGTCGAACTACTCGTGGAAGATGGAGGTGGCAAGATGCTTGTCCCAATTCGACTTGAAGGAGCTTGATATTTGGTTCCGTTCCAACTCCCGTACCAGCTCATGTCATCGTCTTGTTCCCTAGGGTCAGTGTCAGATTTATTTTCCTTTCCTTTGCCACGTCCTTGAGGACGGAAGCTCGTTACCGGGTTGATATTGTTGTAACTACTGCTCCCGCGCTTCCGACTAGTATCAAGATGTTTTGATTGAGATGAGGAGCTTGGTCCGCCAACGCACGGTGTCTCTGTCTCCTCGTTCTTCCAGCTGGGTTCTCGTTCTCGTAGATCTACGTGATGATACTCGGACGGTGTTTGGTCTTCGAGGGAGGGAAAAGGTTCAACATTTTGCTGCTCATCTGGGTTTTCACACCCATCGGAAACTGGAACTTTCTTTCCACTCGTGGTAGGATCAATTCCTAGTTTCTCCAGTTGTGCTGCACTAAAGGGATGTGAGATGATGGCCCAGTATCCAGTCCCTGGATTTTGACACCACCAGTAACCACGGTAGAATTCAGCGATTCGCCCGCAGTTATCGATATATCCTCCATTTCCGCTGGGGTCTGGAATCGCGAAAGTAGGCTTGGGGCGTGATTTCCCAGCTCCTTTCCCAGTTTTCGATTTTCCTTTTCCTTGTTCCTTTGGTGCCATGATGTTCCGGTAGCGATCATCCTTTTCGTATTCAGTATTCAAGGAGGCAGGATTGAGCCCGGTTTTGTGGTTCTGCCACCATCTTTCGTTTCGACCTCGTGACGGATTTGCCATTTCGGCCCGCTTCTCCGCAGTGGTTTTGCAGATATTTGGTTCAGCTCCTAGAAGCTTGTGACCTCCTTTTGCCAGGTCCTTCAGGCCTTGAACTCGTCCTACTTCGTCGAAATATTGTTCGATTAGGATGTTAAAAGTGGGATCCTCATCTGCTTCATCCTTCTTTCCAAATGATCCGCAAGTTCCTAGAAACTGATCTGTCCAGTAATAGATGCTTCCAGGAAGACGCCCGAGAGCGACTTCGTCTACTCCATCTTGGTTGTAGGGGTATTCCCTTTTGAGGAAACAGTCCATCATACCGAGAATTGCGTGGTCAAGACCACATCGCAACTTGTTATGTTGTTGATAAGTTGGACAGTTGCATGCCAATTTCATCATCATTCCTGGACATATGATACGCCGTGCGATCTCCAGTCCCGTCATCTCCGGCCAGCTTCCAAGAAGGTCTTTCACCTTTTCAGTTACATCTTCTGAACAGAAATGATTGTTCTTAGTAAGTCGTCGGGTATTGCACTTCTCCACTACCATGCACCACAGTTTAGTCCTAGGTATGGGATCTCCAAGTGCGTCACCAATAGCGACCTCATCTTCAAGAAAATCAGGCATTTGGTCGATTTTCAGCTTTCTCCAATTCACTTGTATCCCGTTCCCGTTGCACAGGATAGCTGAAGATGTGTTCCGGAAATTATTATGAAGATTATTTTCTCCGGGAGTCCAGGCATGGTTTGCCACGTCTCGGCCCATATTGGCGAACTCAACGTTCCCCAAGGTCTTCGCGGTATTATTCGCTGCATTATGTTGTTGGACTATTTGGTCTACTAGGTCATCATATTGTCCTTTCTTTTCTCGAGCGGCATTTCCCGCAATCCATGGATTTGATGGTCCTTGCCCTGGTTCTTCTTTTCGAGCTCCCTCTTCCTCTCTCGTTGAGGGAAGTTGATTTGGGAGAAATTCCACGTTGTTTCCTCCGAGAAGGTTGCGTTTAGCTTCCGGCTCTGGCTCTTGCACTTCTGATGAAGACCCAGCTGGACTTGACGCAATCACCGAAGCATTCCCATCTAGTATCTCCTCAAGTGCTTTGATGTCGTCCGCTTGGACCTTTGTATCCACTTCGTCTTTCTTGCTCCCTGATGCTCCAGCACACTCAACAACACCTTCTTCCTTGTTGGCTGTTTCAGGAAGGTTGTCTCGATTTTCTCCATTCTCTTTTGATTCCTTCGACCCTTCCGATAGTTCTAAGGTGAAAACTACTTCTTCTTCTTCTTCACTTCCAGTTGGAGATCGGGTGGTAGATTTTGGATTTTCGTCAGTCTTCTTGTTACCTGAACTCCGCCCTTGTGATGTTGATACTTTGGTTGCCTCTCCAAGAAGAGGAAAGTCTTGGAGGTCAGCTTCAGAGAGGATCGCCGATTGTCCTTCTTGGTGGTTCCACTCTCCGGCCTTTCCTCCTGAAGCTCCACTCATTTTTGTTCCTTCTATGGACTGATTAATTAGTTGTTTCTTGGCTTTCTTTTCAATTCGTCGTCTTTTTTGAGCTCTTTCAAGATCAGAACATTCAGAGATGAAACTATCTAATGATAACGAGTTAGCTGGCGAACTAGCTCCATCACCGAAATCAACTTCATTAGTGTCCATCCCGATGTCTTTTATATTACTTCTTATCCTTGTCTCACGTAACTGGCTTTGGAAAAGGGAATGTTGAGATTTCCATATTTTTATTAGCAAGTTGACTTAGGGCTCCGAGAAGCTTCCACATGTCATCATCATCGGTTCTCATAATTTTCTTTTTTTTCCTTCATTAGTTTGGGAACACTAGAAGTCAGATCGGCTTAGCTTCTCCTAGTCATGCTTCCCCTTTTAATTTTCGTTTCTCATGCTCCAAAAAGCATTTTCACAATCTATTTTCCACTGGTAGACATGGGTTTCATCACGTTTCTGTGGTCAAGGTCTTGAGAAATGATGGAGTGTTTGAATTTATGTGACTCCGAAAAGTCTCTGATGATGGTTTCTTCCTTTTCTAAGCATCTAGGAGGCGCTAGTATTTGTCATTCTGCTCAACAGTTGTTCAATCCGCTCAACTCCCTTTTCGCAGCATCGTTCAGCGATCCGCTCAATTTTACGGGTCATTTCCTCTTGCATGGTCGCCATCAGTCGTTCGATTCGATTTTCAAGATGCTGAGTTAGTGCTGTTGTGATCTCCTCCTTATGATTCATAATTTCTTCTCGAAACATGGTACTGGCCTGGCTGAGTTGTCCCTCAACTAGTTCCTGCAGATGATTTGCCGTTTCGCGTGCATTACGCTGAGTCACTTCTCGTAGAACATCGTGCTGATAGAAAGCAGCTGGAATGTTTGCAGCATCATTTGCGGGCATCGGACCGAGAAAGTTATCAGGATTCAACTCTTGAAGACTGTTGGTTGTTGATCGTGCTCCTAGGCGGGGTCCTCGTTGATTGCCCCTAGGTCGGATCCCGTTATGAGCATCTGGAAATTCAGCCATGTTAGCTCCGACGTTGTTCAGATGTGCCAGTTCATCTTTCCCGATTCTCACATTGTTGGTATTTCGATTTCCGGCTCGAGTGATGTTGCAGATGACGTAGTTTTCTGGTCGAAGATCAATTAGCTCCTCCAGCATCTCTCGTCCAAACCGTTTTGCTTCGAGTCGGACAGAACTGTCAGACTGATTTCCCCAGTACTTCAATCGTACAGATGAAGTTACTTCCCCTTGAGGATCTCTCTCGCGCCAGTAGATTTCGTATGTTTGCGCATCTGGATTGTTGATCTCCAACTGAGGCACGATTGTTGCCAGGTCGGATATTTCCCCAATACTGTGGAACTTGATGGTCTTCACTCGGAAGGGCTCATCCCCGACCAGGACATTGTCGATCACTCCTTCGCGGATCAGACGGTTGATTTGACCACGATGGTGATCAACTGGGGTACTCATCTTTAGATGTGGCGAGGCTGTCTTGATTGACTAAGGAGGAGTGAATACGTATTTCGATTACCTTGATAGTAGAAGTACTTACTTGTTTTGTTTCGTTATGAGTCTGCTTGTCCTGACGAGGAGTTTGGGGCATATCAATGAGGCATTCATTTTTCCTTACGCTCAAGGTTAGGGCGCCGAAACGCAGCATGATTCCTTCCTTTTTTCTTTCCAAAGAGAATATCTGGGAAGCACAAAGAACAATTGCGTCTCTTGGATCGGCTCCGGTTTCTTTTGGCAGGATACTTGTTATTCGCGGTAAACATGAATTGAGTATCCATCATCGAAATGATAATAATTCATCTTGTTGACGTCACCAAAATGACACACTTTAACTGTTCTTTCATGACGAATCATGGTAATAATCAATCTCTGTTAAGTTCTTTGTTTATACTTCATCACTCCAGATTTCCATTGGTTCTTCTACTAGTACTATTTCATCTTCACATGGTTCTTCGCACGACTCATCTTCTGGGTAGTGACGACGTGAGAAAATTCGCCGCACGAGGCAATTTACATCAGGACGGGGGATCCAAGACCAGTCCGTAGAGATCTACCTGATGTTACCGCTCTTTATTGATCATGGTTTCATGGATCGCATCAGCTCGTCCAGGTATACAACTAACTGTGGTATCACCTACTGCACTTTGCTCGAAAGCATCTGTTGCATTCTTAAATTTTGAAGCAAAACACCGCTTGCTTCTACTTGCCTTCTTTAGCCGAGTAGTTTTAGTCTTACGGCATCCTCTCAGTATTCCATTGCAGCTTAGTTGATACAAAAGATGCTCTCGTGTAAATGTAAATGGCTTGGTAAGTGCATCAGCTAATTGATGCTGGGAGTCAATATGTCTAAATTCATCACCGTGGTCACTCTCAAGCCATTGTTTAATTCTCTCATTCGCCAAGGCGAGGCTTTTCTCCTTGCTCTGCGAAGCGGATAAGCATATTGGATAAGTTTTTCAGATTCCGGCCAACTTTTGGCCCTTCTTTTCCTCTTCACTAGCGCCAGACTTAATAGAAGACAGACGCAAGGCCTCGGGCCTCGTTGGTAGCGACATGAGAAGCAAGAGGCGTACCTTTCTTGTGTTCGTCTCCTTCCTCTGCATCTAGATAGAACGAGTACGCGACCACATTCCAACCAGATGTTTGCTTTCGCTTCGCCGCCGTTTCTGTGGACCTGTAAAAGAAGGCAATCACTTCCGACGCCATGGCTTCCTGTGATAGCTTCTCGTCCAAAATCTCCAGCAGCTGGAGATGTTTCGCGTCCTTCGCCTGCGGGTCTGTACTTAAGAAGCTCACAGTGCAGTAGCTGTGGTCCACATGCGAGTGCGTCACCACGTAAGTGTCCCGCAAGTCCTGGCCGAGGTCCAGAAATAATCTATACGGCAGGCGAATGCTACAAATAATGACTTTCTTGCTCACGAACTCCTTCGCGTAGTGGCATACAAACTCACGCCCACAAGCCGTCGGAATGCGGGGCATTCGCTTGCCATGCTTACTCACCACGCCCATCCCGTGCCCGGCTCAAGCGAGTATACGATTAGAAGCCCGCAAAGCACACTACTCGAGTAAACACATAAATACAAAAACGCCTCCCCTTGCCTGTTATCCTTTTCCACACGGCTGCCGAACTGCCAGACCACAGAACGACAGGCAGGAACCTCCTACGCCACTACTGGCGCACTCGCTCCGTCGAGTTTCAAAGTCGCGAGAAACCTCGCCCAAAGCTGCGCGAATTCGCGGGGGTGGATGTCCTTCGTGAAGTATAAATTAGCGGCGGCACTCCTTTGGCAATCTGCGGTCTTCGACATTCTCGGAGGACGCGCTTCTTTTCGAAGCACGTCGCCAGAGAAGGCACCAGACCCCAAAGCCAACGGGAAGGCCAATCTTAATCAAGAAACTCGCCACACTCGGATGCAGCGGAATTTGACGCGGATCATCATGCAGCAAGCTGAGGCCCGCCGACTCGAAAAAGTGCCACCCGTTCCACTCTCGCTTCATTTGCTCCAACTCACGCCACAGCCCTTCATCCTCAAAGGTCACCGCCTCTTTCTCCGCATTGGCGCGGCGTGCGGTCCGGTGAATATCTAAGGCCGCGCGCCCCAGGTCGACTGGCTGGGCCAAAGACGTTGCGCCACCTTCTACACGAAGGAAGTAGATCAGTTCATCGTTCTGATATCGATCCATCTCATATTCCGAAAGCTTGTGCGTGTTGCTGTCGTCTATGAGCAAGACCAGGACAAAACGCCGGCGATGCTGCGCTTCGTACTCGCGTTTCTGCTTCATCACACTGGCCACATACTCCTGGAAAATGCCTCGGGTGCTGTATCCGTTCCGCATGTTCTTGGGAGACACCGAAGCGGCGCCAAAGCTCGAAATGGCTCGCACCGCTTTGGCCAGGCGCTCCTTCACATTCGCACTCACTCCATCGTAGTACGACGCCGGTAAGACCACTGGAGGAGCACGCAAAGGAATGTGCGCCGCTGAGCCCACCTGTGCCAAAATTGTCCCGCTATCGGCGCGCACATCGTGCAGCTGCAATCCCGAAGAGTCCACGGGCACTGACGACGGCAGCAAGCAATACCCCCCACGCGTTCCATATTTTTTAAGGATGTTGACCTCGTCCATGTTCAACATCTCCACGTGACTGTGCCACGGAACACTTGCTGCGCCCCTCCCCGAGTCCTTTCCACCATGAGGAAGAAGCGCGTAGGGGTTGGCCGCCTTTAGCTCATCAATCCTCGCCCGGATCTTGTGCTTCAACAGGCGCCAAGATGCCCAGGTGTCGAAAAGTGCCTCAACCTTCTTCAACCGATTATAACGCGCACCGGCGGCCTTCGGCTTCTTCTTCGGTAATGCATTCAGGCCACACGTTTTTGCCGTTAGCGTATTATAACACTCATAAGCAGAAAACATGCGGCTCACGGCGGCGCGCTCCGAATCTTCATGAGCATGATGGAAATTCGGACAGGAGAAGCGCATGCGTTCCAAAACGTCCTGCGTGGAGATTCTGCAAGTGCGTGCGTTAACGAGCTCCTGCAGCATCACAAGCTCCGCCTCTTCATTTGCCCGCTTTCGGCACCGCTTCTTGTATTTACGACGCACGACCCACTCGCTGTCCCCCTCATCGTCCAACTGTGGCACAAGGTCGGCTTTCTCTGCTTCAGTTAGATCATCCGCGGCCACAAGACGGGAGCGCGCGTCCCCGTCGGGATTGAAGACCGCGGTCCCAAGTACCCTCTCCACTGCTGCCCTCATCATTCCGCGGCGATTACTAGACGCGGCGCCGCCTACGAGCGCGCCCTCCGCTGGGGCCAAGGTGGAAGACGTGCTCGGCCCACCAACGTTGCCGCAGTCTCCCCCCGCGGTAGCATCGCGACCCTCTAGGCCTCCAACGGCCGCCCGCTTCAAGCGCTTACAAGGCGCGGGGACCTCTGAGGGATCCGCAACACGCTTCAACACTTTCCCACGGGTCTTAACCTCCGCCCGGGCCGCACCGAAATCATCTGGCGGAGGCGAGCCAAGCATGCCAAGGGCCTCTGCCAAGGGGGTTTCCAATCTGGGATCGGGTACACCTGGACGCGGATCACCCGACTGCCAGTACGACTTGCGCTGCGAAACGTGGCGGCCGGTGCCTTTCGACGAAGCGCTGCGATCTCCTCCGAAAGCTGTCCCAACATTTTTTGCAGCGCGCTGCTTCTCCTTGATAAGTTCTACCGCTGCATCCCAGCCGGGAGTCAAAGGCGGAGGGACAGACTTCCAGCGCCCCTTATACTTGTCAAGCCAACGCTCTGACACGACCGGCAAGGCGTCACCCGTTTGCGCCGCACCACAGGGGAGGCACCATTAGACTGGGGGGGCCTCCTCTTTTGGAAAATTCCCGTTTTGTTCGCGGTCTTTCCCAACCAATGAAACAGACAAAACGGGAATCCCTATGAGAGGACGCGCCGCATAACCTATAGCGCGGCACTCGAACTGGAAAATCGGAGCCTCATTAGGGCCGAAAAAGTTGCGCTCCGTTTTACATTTGGAACAAATGGCCGAGCGGCGGAAGGGGTCTAGAGACGGCGCCGCCATGTTGCGCGAAGTTCGTCGCCTTGCACTAGCTTCCGGAGTCTGATGCCCTCGACGCAGTGGTTTGCTATGTTTTCAGTGTTTCTATTCTTGAGATGCTACTTGGCGTTCTGATTATACCTTGCGGCTGTTACGAGTTTCTTGATGCTCTAAGAGATGAGACCCCCTAACACCCTCGTATTTAAACGAAAGATGGCGAAAAGCCCGAACGAGAAAAAACCTGCGGTGCGAAATGGAATTTGATGGCAAAAGAGTGCACGCAAGTGCGAAAGAGCATACTTATTGCATATACGGGAACGCCTAGGAGTTTCCCAGGCTCATGGGATCTCTCTGCAAAGTTGGGCGCTGATCTTCAAAATTTGAACGCTGGCTGATCTTCTAAATTTTCAGAGGATCTTCTCACGAACACAATCAAGCACAGGGCCGGCGAGAAATGCAGCCAGCCTCACGGATCATTTTTTTCAATTTGTAACACTGCGTTCGACATTCTAGACAATATTGAATGCCGCTACATCAGACAGCCAACCGAGCTGAACTGTCATGCCATCTCCTTGCGTTTCCTTCTGCAGTGTGTCTCAATGTGTCGCGACCTCTTCCACTACAAGGCCGCACCATTCGCGACGCGCGAAGCCCCCCTCGGATGCGCTTTCGCTACTCCTCCCCCAGCAGGTTATCTTCCTGGCCCACTGGAGCGCCGTCGGATACGCTTCCCGCTCCTCCTTCACCTGCGTCCAGCTCGATAGGCGGGGCGCCAGAGACATCCACTCCACATTCCTCGCCGTTCACCTCGCCACCTGGAAGAGGCGCGACACCAGCAGAAGCACCACCAGCAGCAGCGCTTCCACTCGACGACGCACTTCCGCCAGATGGGGCATCCACACCCAGCCCAAACACGTCGCACAAGTCGCCCCCGACGGAAGTACTCACATCCAGTTCATCCACGTCATCTAAGGACATGAACTCGTCGAGCGAGGCCATCTCCGCATCTGTAAAGGCGAGTGGATCCCGAGAGGTCGAAGCGCGGTCCTTCTTCAAGGAGTTGGCCTCTTGTAGGGCTGCCTGGCGGTAGTTCTTCCCGCACTGGTTCATCTGCTTCACGATGAGGCGCTGCGAATTTTTCAGGCAGTGAAGCTTCAAAAAATCGTTCCGGCTCGTCTTATTCTTAGAGGCGGCCACCCTCCACGCCCGCCAGAGTCTCACCTTTCTCGAAGGTGAGATCCTACGCGCCTGGAAGGTGGCCTGGCTCATAATGTGGGTTTTGATCTTCTGCACGATCGCGGCAATCTTCTTCTGCACGGATTTCAACTCCCGCCCAAGGACCTTCGCGCGGTCCTTCAAGTCACGCATAATCTGAGCCTTTCCCATCTTGAGATAAGTCCGAGGGCGCCTTTTCTCTTTTTATCCTTCTACTCTTTTCAACTTTCTTCAATTTTTTAAGTGTAGTTTTCTCTTTAGCTTTGTAAGTGTTTGAAATTCATGCAGTCTGTTTTCTAGTGTTTTCGATTTGCGTTCGTTATTGTAAAAGCTCAAGCGTGTCTCTGTCGGGTTGTTGTTTAGTGGAGAAGGCGCGCTAAGTATCGGGCGAGGTCTGTCTTAAGTGATCTTCTCTTCCTCTCTTTTGTGTGATCTGTTTCCGTCAAGGTTGCGCTTCTGATCTTGTTTTCGGCACGCGTGGCGCCTTCCTTGATCCTCATGGTCATATTTCAGAGCTGGGCGCTATGATCTTCATGCCAATTTTTGTCATGAGCAACGCATTTCAGATCTCTATCAAAAATAATACCTGCCTTGCTTGCTCCAGAACACAGAGAAGACGGTCTCGTTGTTCCACCAACTCGGCCAGTTGGTGGCGCAACAGGACCGCCTCCTCCTCCAAGGCCCACGCGACCCCCCCAAGAGGAGGGGCGGATGGGTCCTGCAGTTCTGCAGCAGCCGCTTGATACTCAAGGTCGGACATCGAAGTAGAGATCTCCCGAAGAGAGTTCTCCACTTCGACAATCCTGCGGTGCGAATCTTCTAGCCGAGCAAAATCCATAGCGTAGTTCTTGCTCATCTTCAACCGTACAACTACTAGCTGTTGATCTGCTACACAACTGCAGCTCAAGCTCAAGAAGCAGATTCTTAATCTGCCGTAACACTAGCGCGCCCAGATCTGGATGCAGCAGAAGGAGTGAGTTCTTACTGTGCCGCTCAGATAAATCACGAGTACGAGGTGTTAGTTCTTGATGTGAGATAAAACGAACACCGCAATAGCAGGAATTGTGCCGCACTACTAAAAACCAGACTCGAGGAAGAAGTTCTTGATGTGCCGCAAATATAGCACCCGCGCAAGATGAGCTTGACGTTGATGTGCCGCGAAACTAAAGGAAACTTTCTGATGTGCTGCACTACTAGCCCGCAAGTAGAAACAAGTGCTGCCACGTCTTCTGTCCCCAAACTGAATCTCCAGCGAGAAGAGGTTCCACTTCGTTCGACGTACAAGTTGCTGAAAACCCCCAAAAACGTACTTCAGGCACAGTGCACGCTATTGCAGAAACCAAGCGTCGATGTGGGGTAGACCAGCGAATTTCCACGTTGATAGCAGGCTATAAGACAACGACGAGGAGATGATATATTTTTTCACACGATTCACCACCTCACAAAATTTATACCCAATTTGGAAACACAGCGATAGTTACAGATATATAGGCTTTGCTAATCAGTAACGTTAAGTACCCAAATCTGTTGTGCTATTGTGTCAACGAGGATGCTTTACTGCAGGAATTGCAAGAAGGAAACTCACTCCTTAAAAATTGGGTCTCCCTATCAGAGTCCTCTTAAATGAATTTTTGAATTCAGATGTGGGTATTGGGAAAATGCAATCATGCAAGAAGCTGTCCGAATAACCTGTTAGTTCAAGGTCAACACAATCCGAATCATAGTGGGGACCTTCTTTCTTGCAACAACCGATCTCTGCTTCTCGTGTCATCAATCACGTTCAATTCGAAGCGCCGCTCGTCTGATCAGAATGGTCAATGATTTTACAGACCACAAAAATTCAAAAACAGTTGCTCTCCCTCTCATCTTAAACCAGCAGAGCTCCTCCGGTGAAATCACACCACGAGCCCATCCTCGATCTCTGGACTCATAAACAGAGCAAAGTCTCGCATTCTATCACAGTTAGTGATTTTACTTCAACAAATTCCTTTCCTGTAAAATGCCGGGTTACGCTCGCTCATCTGAGTGTTCATCTCGTCTTTCCGTGTGTTAAACTTGCTTTTTTCAAGACATGTAGAGACCGCGATATGAGTAAAGAACTTATGAAGACAGGAAAATGTACAAAAACCAAACTAACAGCATGTTGTAATAACAATAAACATAATAAGTTTCTTGCTCATAGGGTGGCTAAATGTGGTTACTTCTGATAACAATACTCACACGTCGTGACCGAGGATGTCCAGATAATGAAAGCATTGCAAACTCTTCCAAATATTCTGAATTAAATAATTTTCCATCTAAAAGTCCTGCCGTCTTCCTTCTCCGTTAAGCATTTCGCTATCCCAATCAAAAACTGGCTCCTCAACATCACATTCACCAGCGAGGTCTTCAACCTCATTTGATGTCGTTGGTAATGGGCCACTTGTTAATAGCGCCTCTGTCCTTATTCGTTGAGCCTCGTTGGTTAGAAAGTGCGCACTATCTGCTTTTGGCACTCCAAAAGCATACTGCGCTTTTGCCATTGCAAAAGCTTACTCCTATTACTCCAATGCCATACGGCCAAGTACTCAAAAATTTTTTCTGTACTGTCCAAGGCCACACGCCCATGTCGCAAGTCCGATTTTTAGAAGAGAATCACGATAACACCCTGCGCTCCCCCAACGCCCAAAAATATAGCCATAAGACATGATGTTTGACCTCTGTCCTTGATTATTCGCGCCACCGAACGTACCAAAGCCACTGTTCCCAAAACCGCCATTCAATCCCGACCCAGAAAAACCACCTTTAGTTCCGGAGCCACCAAACGCGCCATTGAATCCCGACCCAGAAAAACCACCTTTATTTCCGGAGCCACCAAACGCGCCATTGAATCCAGCGCCAGAAACACCACCATTATTTCCGGAGCCACCAAACGCGCCATTGAATCCAGCGCCAGAAACACCACCATAATTTCCGAAGCCAGCAAAAGCACCATTGAATCCCGCGCCAGAAAAACAACCATTATTTCCGGAGCCAGGAACTGCGCCGTTGAATCCCGCGCCAGAAAAACAGTCACTAAATCCAGATCCACCAATGCTGCTTGTGCCTCCTGCCCCAATTCCAGACGCAAATTGAGATGTTGCGTTCCCAGAACCAGCGCCACCAGATGTAGCCGCACTAGGAAATTCCGAAGTGCTGGCACCGCCTCCACAACCCTTACTTTTCCCCGACTTAACAAATTCAGATGCTGTTTTGCTGCCCACGCCACTACTAGCTGTTCCATAAGTTCCAAATTGCGACCTTGTTGTGCCACCATTACTTTTCCCATAAGTTGCGAATTGAGATGTTGTTGTGCCACCACTAGTTTTGCCACAAGGTGCGAATTGAGATGTTGTTGTGCGACCACTAGTTTTGCCAGAAGGTGCCACTTGAGATGTTGTCGTGCCACCACTAGTTTTGCCGGAAGTTGCGAATTCACATGTTGTTGCGCCACCACTATTTTTGCCAGAAGTTGCGAATTCAGATGTTGTTGTCCCGCCACTATTTTTGCCAGAAGTTGCGAATTCAGATGCTGTTGTCCCACCACTAGTTTTCCCAGAAGTTGCTAATTCACACGTTGCTGCGCCACTCTTACTTTTTCCGAGCGAAGGAAATTCCGAAGTTGAAAGCACACCACCTACAGTATCGCTGCTCAATCCGGTGCCCCCTTCAGCACCTGATGCACCTGAAGTGACGTTTTTCCCTGTCGTGGCCACTACTGAAGTTCCAGTGCCTGACCAGTTCGTTGATGTTTCCCCGAGAGGTGGACTCACAAGCCCCGCTGTGGTATATCCACAACCATCACCAACAACACGAGGATGCGCGCAACTGCTTGCTCTTTTGCTTTTCGTATCGCTTGCCAACTTTCGCACAGGCAGCTTCACGTTAGATCGGTGCGTGTTGTGGACCTGTTCACAGGACGGCGCTGTGATTATTGACGAGTTGAGAGCATCCGCATCTCCCGGTGCTCCCTCAGCAATCCCAGCTACTTCTTCTACCTCAGAAAGGCCATCTAGATCGACGTCAGACCCCTGCTCGCCATGAACACTACTAGCCGCCCCATCATCGCAGTTGGCTACTCCCTCTGCAGGTGTCACAACTTCTTGCCCAATATTTGCCGAACAAGTTGCCGCAGTGGTAGATCGAGTATATGGACCAGGCCGGGTGGAAGTTGTACCTGTAGTTTTCTCATGCATAAATTTCAAAGCGGTAGACCAGCAGAAAGGACACCACGCCGAACTTCACCCATATATTCCATACATTCCCGCACGCTCTCACCAACAAATAGAAAACAGACGCACTACCTCCTGTCTTTCGCGGCCCTCCCTCTTCCGCTGGGTTCTGCTCCTTCTTTTGCTGCGCTTCAGCTAGTTGCCTGTGTGTCAGTTCAGAGAAAATACGCAAGACAGTTGCCACCTAAGATAAATACGCAGAGGCACGCAGTAGGCTGATGCCGGCGCGTCGCCGCTATTATGTAAAACAGAGGACCCACACCCTGCCCCCTTTTGGGAAGCTACTTGCCCCGTTGCCCCAAACTCCACCGAAGTCCAGCATTTGCCGCGCCGCGCCATCATCTTCACGAACGTGCGCCACGCCTCTCCCTTTGCAAGAACTCCCGCCCCCAGCGCGTGCCGTGGGCACCCATCACCGCGCGGCTCGTTGATGTTCCCGGTGTCTGCTAAATAATCTACGGAAGCACCGCACGCACGCCGTGCCTCTAGAGTCTGCCGCATGGTACGAGGCTCATACGCCTCCCAGCCGCAATTCGTCGCAACAAATAAACCGCAATCATACCCGCGCCGCTAATTTCAATCTTTGCCGTTCCATGTCCGCGGACGCCGCCAGTAGTTGCTCAGCGTGCATGTTTTCCGCCCAAAAGTGCTCGGCTTACAATGTTCCCCGACCCTCGTGCAGTGGTTGCCCAGTTCCCCGACCCTCGTGCACCGGCTCCAGGAAACGCCCGACCCCCCCGCGCCCCCCGTGTACAAGGTTAGGTGACGGGAAACCGAAGGGCAGGGGAACGCTAGCCGGCGCAGTGCTCTGGTCGGAAACAAGTCGCAAACCATACCCGGCCCCACCAGCGTTCGACCTTTAACCTTGTACACGGGGGGGCGGGGGGGGGCCTGGTTTCAGTTCGGGCAGCGGGCTGGGCGTCGGCGCGTTCGAGGTTTAACATTGTACACGGGGCGGTGTTGCTGCGTTGAAATGGTTAGGATTGTAGAGTACAGAAGAGAATGAAAAGAATCAGAAAGAGTACCGCTGAAGTGCGAGAATGGTCTTCTGGAGGTCTTCGACGAGGTCACCCATCTGGCGCAACGGCAAGAGAGCAACGAGGAGGGAACGATGGCGTATGTTCTTTTGCGTGGTAGAAGAGAGAGGATGCCTAGTAGTGTATTCATGGAAGTGCAGAAATCACGTCGAAGGATTCGACCACAATTCGCGCGGAGGTCGCTGCTCAAGGGATTGGAGATATAGATCCTCAGCCACTTCATGCAGGTAACCTTCCCACCGACTATAGTCTTCATCTTCAGCGGGATCCCCAGAGGCGAGCGACGTGGCACGAGATGGGCCGTCTAGAGATCTGTGGTATTGCGCTATGAGAGTGCTCTCATTATCTGAATCACTCTCGACAAGTGGCCGATCCGGAAGCTCTCCGTGGATTCTCTCCGCGAGTTCGTCCGCTTGATATTCCTCCCATCTACTAATTGCTTCAAGCTCATCCGGGTCACCAGATGCAACAGAGGGCTCGCGGGAAGGGTCCGCGAGGGATTCGAGATGCCAAGCAATTAGGCGATCGGGGTCATCTTCAACGGCATCGAAGTCAAGCTGCACTGGGCGAAGAGGACTCTCGAGAAGGATTGGCGCACCCTTATTTTTTCGACTATAAGAATCGCAAGCGTGGACGCGTCTCCAGTATTCAGCCCGAAAAGGTGCACGACATGGAGTTGTGCGAAGCTTACAGAACGACTTACTTGCTAGGCGCGACATCTATAGAAAGTGCTCAGAGTAGATGGAAAGGGAGCGCAGTACAAACATGAACTGTCTGGCGGATTCAGATCAGAGGAGAAAGTTTATCGTGGGAGCACAGTGGCCACCTCTGCCCGGCACCTCGGCAAGCCTCGGGCAAGTTCATGCTTGTGCTATTGCTGAATGTACTGCACAGATGCCTTCACACGCTTCACGCAAGTTTATGTTTGTCTCTTGTAGGATTCAAATGGGAAGGGACTGGACGTGAGGGAGGTTGTTCAGATGATCCATCGGTGGGTTGTATCCGTGGGCTTGCTATGTCAACGCTGTAGTTGCATGCTGTGTGAAAAGTGGTCGACTTTCGTTGAGGGGTATGCATTCTAAGACTTGGAAGATATATGCCGAAAATGGAAAACGATAGCCTGTCAATAAAACGATAGCCTGTCAATAGTGTGACGCATTTGCTGACGATGCGACCTTGTGTTTTCCTGTGCATCTACCACAGAAGCGCCCCGGCGCATGTCTCCTGCTGGTCCCAACTTTGACCGGGATGCGGGTAGCGGATGATTAGAAGGAGAGGAAAAATGTCGCCACGTTTATAAGTAAGGAAGTGGATGACTCACGGCCATAAGTCCAGAAGCCAGTGAGGCTTGTCTTCTGCTGCAGCTATCACGGCACCACACCAACACTGGAGGCAGCAGACTTT